TTATATTCCTTGGATTCATACACAGTATCCATTTCTGCGTAGGAGGGTGGTGGGGTAGGAGGGTGGTGGTGGTGGTGGTGGTGGTGGTGGTGGTGGTGGTGGTGGTGGTGGTGGTAGTGGTGGTGGTGGTGGTGGTAGTGGTGGTGGTAGTAGTGGTAGTGGTAGTGGTAGTACTACTACCATGTCAGTGCTGAAATAGTATTGGAATGTTAGAAACTTACCTTTGTCGATATTTTACAGAACTTAGTGGATTTGAAAACGAGTGCAGTGTTTTATTTTCGAGTGCGTGCCAAGAACTGACGCGCGCGGGGTACCTCAGAACGAGTGCGCGTCAGGTGTACACGCGAGGTGCTGGCCTTCTCGACCTACCTACCTTACCTTACCCATCGACAGTCTGGACGAACCTGCACCAACTTCCCTTACTTTACCACCACCACCACCACCACTGCACCCACCCACCTTCCCCCCCCTCCACACCCATACCCATACCCATACCATCAACACATATCGCAGGCGGGCATTCCACCGAGCAGAACTAGGGCCATACCCACGACGCGCGCCAATTGCGTCCGAGCATTCCACCGGGTACAGGCAGTCTAGTGTGCAGGGAGCGGGACGCGCGAGAGGAGAAGGCAAACGCCCGACGCAGGTCACGCTGCACGCCACGCAAAAAGACAACAACGCCAGCCGGGGCGGCGTTGCATCCATATAAACAACACTCGGCCATTGTCCGCGTGCACACCAACGAGCGTGCAGTAGTGTGGTACAGTATAGTACTCTCTACCGTACTGCTAGGAGCTGGGAGAATACGATCTACACGGCGGCCCACCCAGGTAGACGACGAAACGCACAGGGTGCGAAGGAGCGAGCAGCTTCCCATCCTCAATGGCCTTCTTCGCCGACGCAGCGGCGCCCGCAGGTATGACGACCTCCTGTTTCACGTTGGGTCACAACCAACACCCATCCACCCATTCTTGCTGCTGCTGCACGCTTGTCGTGAATTGATACACGCTGTGCCAGACCACGAACGATACTGACCACTCCTGCGCGTGTGCCCAGGCCGAGACCGCGCGCCCGTTGGCCTGCTGTTGAATCTCCCACCCTCCTCCAACGTCCCTGGCCCGATGCTCTCTCCCTCCTTTTCCAGCAACAACCCCTTCAGAAGAGCAGCCTCCCCGTCGCCTGCCATCCCGACCTACTACAACTCCTCCACCGCCGGCACGCCGCCCGCTGTTAAGCAGCCCGAACGCCCAATGTCTACCAACCCATTCCTCGACGATAGCGAAGTCGCCCGCCTGCAGCAGCAGCCCGCTCGTCCAGTGCAGATTCCGGACGATATCTTTGTGAGTGGTCTCGGGGTTATTACTGTTGTCGTCGTCGTTTGCGCTGCGCATCCGCCGCCATGCACCTCCCCTGTCGTAAAGCAGGGCTGTGTCATCCATCCTAGCAGAATTCTCTCCTATCTAACCGCCCTCTCGCGGTGTGTGTTGTACACGTGTCGTTAGTCGATGCACATATGCACAATGGAGCGCTTCCAGAGGTTTGCAGAGATGTTTTCTAATTTTCCTTCGCTGCAGAACGACCTTTCACTCCTCGACAAACCATCTTCCAACGGACAAAACGGTGCAAGTGAGTACTTGACGTGAGTCACGATCATGGGCATGTTCACCAAAACTCACAACTGGTACAGACATGGTCAAGCGTCCTGAGAATAGAGCTCCGCCGCGACCTGGAGGCGCAGGACCACCACCACCACCATCATCGTATAGACCACCGCCCGGCGATCGCGAGCGACCACCGCGACCACTACGCAGTCCGGATAGGAGCGGATTTCCCCGACCGCGGCCACGACGAGCATCAGACTCTTCAGTCATGGAGAAAGATCGACGACCCCGCATGGACCGCGAGCCATATCGTGAGCGCACGGAGTCCTCGGAGCGCCGACGGGCGGAGCGCCGACGGGAGCGAGAGGAGCGCCGGCAGCGTGAGAAGGAGAAGGTCCGCAACGGCGAGAAGCCGAAGCGCAAGCCGCAAGGGCTAGACATTATAGACAAGCTGGATGTGACTGGTATTTACGGTCAAGGCCGTGAGTTGCACCAGCTCTATGAAGAGAGATGAGCGAGGCTGACAGTCACAGTTTTCCACCACGATGGTCCATTCGATGCCTGTAATCCTCATCGCAATGCTAAGAAGGACCGACGAGCACCAATGCAGGCGTTCCCAGCAGATTCCGCGAACATGCAACTTGGTGGCGCTGGACCTCTCCGATCACGCATCGATCTCGACACGTTCCACGGCCGTGGCGAGGAAGGCTTTTCGGAGTTTGCGGGAACTCGGAAGAAGACGGAAACCAACCAGTGGAAGACAGAGCCGATCACTATCGACCCACGGCAGAAAGTCGAGCCAGTGCACGGCGAAGAGACGTTTGGCCTGGGCACTTCTACCTTCCTAGAGGGTGCGCCTGCTAGTAGGAAAGACATGCAGCGACGGGGTTCTGAAGACCCAGAAGTCCATGGTGGCGGCTTGTCTAGAAAGAAGTCAATTGCGCAACGATTCCGTGGCATGTCGGCCTCGAAGCGTGATCGACCAGATGATCTGCGTAGCCCCGAAACGCGTTACCAGTATGGAGGTAAGGCTAGTCCGCCTGCGCCACCAACAAGTAAGGCTATGAGTGCAGGCGGTCCAGTCCAGGCCAGGTATAACAAGGATGACGAGGTCAACCCATTCGACAACGACTACGAGGCGGCATTCGACAAGAAGGGAAGCCAGATCCGCATTGCCGAGCAAGAGAAGCCGTACAGTCGACCACGAGCAGGAAGCAGCCCGAGAGCGCCACCATTGACCAGAACGCGTACCAGTGACGCTCGACTGCCCAGCCGAAGCGGCAGAGTCAGCAGCGGAGATGAAGAGAGACCAACTACTTCTGGGGTCAGTGGCTTCTTGAACCGAATGCGCTCTGTCAAGGGAGGTTCACGTCGACCAAGGGCCGCCGAGTAAAGTGGCACAGTTGCGGAGCGGAGACCTTGCTCATATCTGAATGTATTTGGTCCGAAGGCATGACATGGGCGCCAGAATGATTAGGAGCCAGAATTTGGAGAGATACCACTACCGGACCCGGTTTGGATGCACTTAATATTGCGCCACAACTGCGGCGACACGGCATTATAACGGCCACGTGCAGGCATGCGGCCGGGAACAGGCAGGAAATTGCGGAGCGAATTGTTAAGAGCAGCTTCCATAAGCTATACAGACAGGAAGCAGACTTTTGGAGCATACTTTGACTGCTGAGAAGTGCTCCACATGCTCGCGTGACATGTTCTAGCTTTTCCTCATCGTGGGTATCATCGAAGCATAGGTACGCTAAAGGTTCATTCCTGTTTCCACTCCATATCCCAGTATCCTCATAATCGAGTGAAGGTGAACGCCATGACCAACCATAGTGTGAAATCATGAGTACCGGATATGATCAATTTTCGCGCCATTCCCTTGTGCACTCTACACATCTGTAGAACCTCGTCATCGGCTCATCTGCACTTCGAATCTGCACTTGCCTGAAATAGGCATTTCGACTCTCGCAGCCTTCTGCAGGACATTTCGCTATACAAATCACAAGCCAGAGTCAGTGCGCACTTCCATGCCACAATTGAAGAAATATCAGGAATTAAGCAGTAGTAGATGGTAGTCGTAAATAGCAGCAGTCGTAGGAAGTAGTGATTGCAAAAACACAAAATTTAAATTGGACGTACCTTCAGTTTGGTCGACATTTTTCCAACTATCGGCTCCACCGAGAATGTCTCCGACATCTTTGAGCTTCATGTTTTTGCGCTCGTAGTAGCGACGGTCGAGAACCATTTGGTAGGGACATGTTCGGCATTCGAAGCGGTTTTTGCCAATGTGCATGCTGTCTTCGGGCGCGGTGTGGAAGGAGGGGATTTGGGAGACGATGAGCATGTTGCTGCAGGAGGGGCAGAAGAGGAGCATTGTTTGATTGATTTGAAATTTCTTTTCTTTTTGGGGGGGATTTTCCTGCTCTGGCTTGTTTCTGAAGGTGATTTGGACGAGGTGGTGGTATTTGGTCTTGTTTTCGTTGTTGTCGTAAGAAGGTTGCGTATTGTGTCGAGTGAGTCGTTCTTGGGATTTCCTGGATCCGCTTTCAAGAGTGTCTGGTCAGAATTGGAGGCTGTTGTGATGAGTGGAATGTCAAGAGAGGCAAGTTGGATGCAAGTCTGGGACGATCATGGTATTCACATGAAGATTTTGATCGATGAAGTGAAGAGAAGTAGGTACAGTAGCGTAGAACTAATTCTCGCTGGTGGGTCCCGGGATTCCCGTGGTCATCTTAAACGCAACTCCTCAGCTCACCACACATCGATCCTCAAACAGACCTGGATTGGACTGGAGGTACGGGGATTTACACAACACCGCATATTCTAACACATTCTCTGCAGCAAGACCGCTCGGCGATAGCACAAGACCGAATCATCCATCCTCCGCCACCACTACCATCAATCATGGCTGATGACGAAGGTGCCTCTCCCAAAGAACTTCTCCTGGAAGCCTGCCGTCGTAACAACACCACCCTCTTGTCTGAAGTCTTTGAGGGCAGCCCCCTCAATTCCAATGCCGACGCCATTGCTGCGTTCCTCAACACCAGCACCGATGCTCTGGGCGCCAGCGCCCTCCACGTTGCGGCGCACTTCGGCTCCTATGAAGTGCTAGATGCAATATTGGATCAGGAAGGAGTTGAGATCGATGGGCAAGATCGAAGAGAGGGAGACACGCCACTGCATAGCGCCGTGCGGTTCAGCAATGGCCTCAGCACGGAGGAGCGGGATCGTGGGCAAGCTGTGGTGGACATTCTAGTTGATGCGGGCTGTGACCCGAGGTATGCTTTCCGGACATGATGATACCTTCGAATGTGAGGAGCACTAACTCATGGAATACAGGATACGGAACAAGGCAAAGCTGAAGCCCATAGATCTGGTCGATCCACGTAATACCGACTTAAGAGCCGCACTGCAGAAAGCTGAACTCGCGATTTTGGCCTCCAGCGATCTTGTCAATGAAGACGAAGACGACGGTCCGGACGGCCCTGGCAGCGAGAGCGACTAGCTTGATCCAGCGTGCCGGAAGTGACTGTCATAATTGAGGCATATGCCGCATAGCGAGGCACTCCTGGTGTGCAGGGCAGGCCCGATGGGGCCTGCGAGCGACCTCTAGAGTCGCCGATGAGGACACCATTGTCCAAGAGCTATGCAGTACACAACTGTCTGCCTATTTGCCTCTCGTGTACAGAAATAGCATGAAACTCTCACAAAGGAAACTACGATCACATGACAGCCGCCAATAGCAACGCCACGATCCGTGTCGAATTCATATGTGCACGCGATTGTAGAGACGAGATTCTGATTACACACATCAAGAGCCGCTCCGGACACGAGCACCAACATCATCAATTACTACTATGGCTAAGGTGCTTCGCTTTCAGAACCGCCTGCCCATGTGGAAGTGACTATCGGTGGAAGAGGTGGGAAAGTTGTATTCGGGTAGTCATTGACGACGCAAGTCAGACTGTCTAGTGAGATTGAATCGAGCTTTGCAGAAGCGCCCAGCCAACAAGTCGCGGTGTCCATCACAGCGAAAGGACAAGGATGATGCACCTGGATACCAAAAGAAATGCGATCGCAAGCACGTGTACTCGCGACGTACCCTCACAGCGCGCCGAAGGATCGTGCTACGGGCAAGACGAGGGCTTTTCTGATACCTAACAAGATGTCGTGGTCGGAGCTGATCCCTGTGTAAGTGTAGTACCTCAGTATTGATCATGACGTGGACACCGAGGACGATGCACCCATGTTCAGACGTGAGCAAGCCCCGACCTGCCGAGGATGACATGTCAGAGTTTTTCTCAAAGTCAGACCACCATGATGTCGAGTCTATGCACTGCCAACCTTGGCTCGAGGTCTACGACAGCACACGTATATGCTCTTAGGTGCTCTGGGAGAAGGTCCGAGCATACTCATTCACAGCGCGTGAAATCACACTGGCCAGGATGGAGACATGCGGGCGCTCTACGCCAACCGAGACGCGGAGAAACGGATCAGACCCTTCTGCCATGGATGAGCTGGCCGAAACTCTTGCAGTCGAGAAGCCAAAGCTCACGCCTTTGGTGATAGGGAGACTTGATGCCTGAGCATGAGAGAGGAGAAGGCCGATGCAGGCGTCCAGCCCCTCGCGGTTGTTGAGCCCCTTTTCCACGAAGTCAATCGTCACCACTGCGCCGCCGTGGCGCCAGCCATGCGCCTTCCACTGGGCCGGGTAGGCAACGGTAGCGGTCGTGGCCTTGATCTGGGCAGTGAGCAGTGCACACAGCGTCTCGGCATTCCTGCTGAGCTCCAATACGCGACTCTGGTAGAGATCGAAGCTCAGCGATGGAAGAAGCGATATGCCTCGTGCGTACATGACTGCTCCAACGTCTCGTCGAATCTTCCGCATTTCGGCCTCAATGCTCGTCGGAAAGACCACTAGTCCACCCATCTGGATATCTAGGCCGAGCTGGGCATACTTGCTCGCACTTTCCGAGTAGAGCACGAGAGGCTTATGTGGGCCTACGAACCAGTCAAACACAGGCAAACCTCCTGAGACCATAGTGCCGTCAATGACTACAATACGTGACTCCCAACCTGCTGTTGATGACACAATCCTAGCGAATTCTCGGACATTCGTTGTGGGGAGGCCTGCGACATTTGCCACGGGGTCTATGCAGACCACCTTGGCGTTGCACTGCTCAGCCGCAGCGATCAGATCTGCAGCATCGTAGCTGTCAGTCGAGCAGACCATGAATGCGCCTGTGTTGGAAAGGGAGACTATTTGCTCAGAGGCCTCGAAGTAAATGTAAGGAGGCAGAAGAACAGTATCAGAAGAACGCAGTCTCCGCACAATGTAGTGGAGAATGATCTGGAATGCCGCCATCCCGCTGGACGTGAGCAGAAGAGCAAGATTGGTCTCGTGAGTCTCGCTGGGCCGTAGCGTATTGAGCAGCATCAATTCTGCATCACGGAGAGCCAATGCGCCATAACGATCATAGTTGACCATAGCGGAGTTCTGCGATGCTGCATCTGCGAACCACTCCGTCATCGCCTGGTCGTATGAAGGACTGGCGCGATCGAAGAGGCAGCGACAGGTTGAATACAGCTGGAGCAGGACTCGATACCTTTCCTCTGCAACCCAGTAGGGAAGGCCTGGTGTGGATAAGTCAGCCTGCAGCTCTCCTGCCAGTGCCTTCACATGCGAGAATAGGGCGTCGGCCGCGCTCTGACACCACAGGTCGTTCCGGAGGTGCAGTTCCCTCGAAAGTTCGCGACGGTGGTCGTCCAGCGTTCGGTATGTCTCGAGGCCGTCGATGAGTCGTTGAACGAGGGTCTCTACCAGCGTTGATGGGCAGACGGCAGCTTCAGGCCAATCTGCATCATCAATTACCAAAGCCGAATCGGACAGAGCCAGTGCCTTATCCTCGCAATTACCGCTGCTCATCTCTGGTGCATTGTACCTTTCGGCGGGGTTGAATATATTGCGGAGGCCCATTCTACGACGTAGGCCATCGTTGTCCACATCCTGGACAAGAGCGCGAGCAATCACAGAAGGACTGACATTTGCGCCAGTCAGCAACAGCAAGACTTTCCCAGATAGGTTATCGGACACCTGGTGGTAGGCGGCAATGGCAGCCGCAGCAGAACCTTCAAGGGCTAAGGATTGAAATCGCAGCGCTTCAGCTATGGCCAATGTCACCTCATCCTCCGAGACAAGAACGACTTGGGCCAGGTGATGGTCAATGATATCCGCTAAAGGAGTCGTGTCGAGAAGCTGTACCCCCAGGCCGTCACATTGGCTGGGAGCTGTCTTTTGGGACAGACATTGGGAAAACTTCAATGTTCCGCGATCTTTGTCGTTCCATTTCCGAGAGAAGACTGCCGGCTGCACGGCGATGACGCGCGTTTTGGGGGAGTGAACAGAACACCATGCAGCAACCCCAGAAGCCAATCCTCCGCCTCCCAGTGGAACCACGACGTAATCAAACTCGCCCGCATCCTCCATCGCTTCTATCATCATGGTGCCAGCCCCGGCGGCCACATTGACAGCTGCATATGGTGATATATACTCTTCATGATCGCCGCGATCAGCCACACGATGTTGAGCGGCTGATGTCGCTTCGTACAGATCGTTTCCATTGAAGGATACCAGGTCCGCTTCATCCAGGATCCGTTTGGCTTTGATTTCGGACACTCCAACAGGCACGATGATATGGGACTTCTTGTTCTCCGCCTTGGCTGCGGCACACAGCGCTAATGCGTGATTGCCTGCCGATGCAGTGACGACCACTTCCGCTTTGGACAATATCACTGCGTTCAGAGCACCACGGTATTTGAACGACCCGGTGTGCTGGTGCCCTTCCAGTTTTGCATACACCTCCCCGGACCTGCCCGATTCGTCGTTTCCGCCTAGCCATTGCAAACGGGTCGTTGCAGTGCGCACTACTCTGCCTCGCAGTCGATCATATGCCTCAGATACCAACGTAGCCAAATCACGAGCTTCGATCTGCTCAACCACTGAGGTCCTGCGTCTCGTAGTCATATCCATGGGGCTGTTCTCCAGGACCCTGAGCCAGGGGAAACTTTTCAGGTTGGTGAGAGGTCTTCGATGTCACGACAAAAAGAACAGAGTTTTGAGGGCTTATTGTCTGCAAGGACCCCTTAAGGTGGTGCACGCCGACGGGCTGTTGGCGGGCTTGGTGCAGGTATCAACATGGTTCATTACATGGTGTTGCGGCTATCGCTCGGCCACCGGGGCCTCGCCGATTGCGTATTTCTGTCTCAACCTGCGCTACAGAAGCCAACGCGGTGATAGAAGGCGGAGCAGCGCGAAACTTGTCGTATCAACAACATCATCTCTGAGACGTGTCGTAAGACCAAGACGACTGTTGCTGAGCTAGAAGAACGGAGGTTGCTCCGTAGTGTCTGCCGCATGCCTGTAATAGTTGCCACCCTTTTCATACCTACCAGATAGTAAAGAGGAGCACCTCTTCTTTCTGGACTCTTTGTACAGTTTCGCCAAATGCGTCAAGCATACGACCGACTTCATCAATATAGAGCTGCGCCAGGTTACTCACCTTACAGTATAGGTAGGTACAAAAGGTACAAAATGTGCAAGATTACCTGCCTGAGGCACTTTTATAGAGGGGTCCCCAGACTCCCTACAATGAGGGTGGTCCCCAATCAAAGTTGTGCCAAGACTTTGATTAAGGTTTGGCGTCAAACCTCAATCAAAGTTAAGACTTCCCAACTTTGGCAAAGTCTTGGCAAACCAAACCTGAGGCCAGTAGGGAGGAGAGAGAGAAAAGTAGGCCAAAAAGTAGAAAAAAAAATCGAGAAAAAAAATCGAGAAAATCCGGAAAAAGGTGTTGTTTTTTTCTATATAGAAAACAACTCCTACTATTTCCAAATCCTATATGTTCTTTTATATAACCCTAGGATACCCGGTAACCCTAGGGGAGCCTAGGCCCTAGGAAGCCCGGGAGGGGAGGTACCTTCCTCCTAGGGAGCCCGGGGAGCCCGAGGAAGGGGGAGGATTAGGTAAGACCTCGGTATCCCGGTCGATTAGGTAAGATAATTGAGCCAATCGGAGCTTATTCCGCCGAGGTAACGTAGGAAGGTCAAAGTCGTCAAAGTTATCAAACTTCAATCAAAGTTGAAGGGGGTCTATTAAAGCTTAATCAAAGTTGAGGGTACTGATTACATAATCAATCAAACTTTGGGCCTCTCGTAGGTTTGATTGATTGGGGACCACCCTGCCTACAATACCTTATTACCTACCTTAGGTAATCTGTTTTTTTCCTAACATCCTATCTTCTAATAATCTGATTCTTCTCGAATGCCTTCAAGGTTCTCCCGTACTGTTACTATGTACCCGCGTCGGGGAGACGGGATACTTCAAGTACTTGTACCTTGTTATTAGTACACGACTACATAATTACATGACTGCATTGTACATAGGTAAAATTTCCCCTTACCTATGTACTCTCCTATCGATACCTTGACATGAATGATAAAAAAAAGTTGTACATGTTACATATACATGTACCTTACCTTACCTTACCTTACCTCCTGCTGCCTACATACATGCCTGACAAACCTGACATCTACCTACTACAAGGGACTACTCTGATGCCTAAGCAGCCCAACTGTATACCTACCTTACCTTACCTTACCTTAGGTAGCTAGCCCAATCAGGTACGCAAGCAACCCTACCCCTAATCAAGACACAAGACACAAGACAAGACAAGAACCAAGAAAAAAGTCAGATGAGCGGTCTTGGGGGAAAAACTCCAGCTGGAAGGTGTCTCTAGACTCTATACGAAGTGTAGGTAGGTACCTGAGGTAAGGTAGGTAAAGTATGTACATGTAATTCTGATGATTTGTAGGTTTCCCATTTCACCCGTCTTTCGTCTCATTCACATATGTATATCTTGGCAACTTCTGCTACTTGTTGTTCTTCTTCTCCTTCTTCTTCTTCTTCTTCTTGGAAACACCCATCGCCACGCGCTGCTGCTGCTGCTGCTGTCTTTGTCCTCATGATGTGAGCCTGACAATGTCCTATCTCGCTCGCGCTCTTCAAGAGATGGGAGTGCTCGCCGTATTTCCTGGGAGCTAGGAGCCTTCGAAGTTCTGCGCGGATACCTTTGGCTAGCTTCCACTTCCGCACCGCACGGCATCGCATCGCATCGCATCGCATCGCATCGGACGGGTACATTCATCTCTCGCCGGCTTCCCGACGAGCTTGATTTCTTCCTCCGACGTCACTAACAATGACCCCCTGTTGGTGCTCCAGGCTCGCGTTTACAGTAATTGTAATAGGTACACGGCCGAGTCGTTGGATTAACTGGCTTCGCGCATGAGTAACACACTTGCGCATTACAGGGCGGTTGCCTCTCTAGTGAGCGGTAATGGATGTAATTGTCAACCGCTTGAGGATTCTTCATCATAAAGGCATCTTGGTCGGAGACCCAAGATGCTCCTGCGGCGTCTATCCAGATGTTATACGGGATGCCGTCACGGCCCCACCATGCAACAAGTGACTTTTTGAGAGGGGGCCTTATTGCAAACGTGGTTGCAGTCATAGCAAGCACTAGGAGTGCAGTCGATACGGAATTTAGTTTCATGGCGAGAGTAGAGCTGGCTGGACGTTTGATGGTAATGTAGTTGTCGTGGTTGTGGTTGTCGTTGTGGTTGTGGTTGTTGTGGTTGTGGTTGTGGTTGTAGTTGTGGTTGTTCTCCTTGTCGTTGTAGGTAGTCTACCGTATGGTTGTTGTCGTTGTCTGAATGGACGGATACCTGCTTGCCGGATGATCACAGAAAGGTCCTTGGTGATGCCTGGGTGACGGCGACTTTTATACACATACGAGGGTGCCAGCATCCAGAACGTTCTCTTCAACCTTCATGCGGCCAAGTAGGGCATCCAGATTCCACTTTTGCCTCGACGGAAGAAACAACATTGTCGAATTTCTCGTCATCTTGGAAGGAGCTAGCTGCCGTATCCAGGATCCATTCGGCCACATTAGGGTCCAAAGTGTAAGATACGACGCACCATGTTCCCATAAAGTTGGCACAGCCATCAGCCATCAGCAATCAACAGATTCAGCAATCTTGAGACAAATGCGCTATGAAGGGTCCTGATCCCTGTGCAGCAGAAGAGTCTGGCCACCTAGGTACTGAGTGACAGGTACTGACAGGACCGTAGTTGACTTTCTGGTATGACCGTATGGATGAGTATGGTGGCCTCTCTTTCTGCCTGTTATGATTGGCGGGGGTAGTAAGCATACAGGGCCGCAGATCATTTTTCATTTTTTACACGCACACGCGCGGCATAATCTCCGCGGTCTGACTCCCGGAGCACTACCGGCAAGGGACTCCTGGGGCCCCGCACATCAAGCACCACATCAAGGCAGGTACCACAGGTACCTCTTACCTCTTAAGGTTACCTCCTACCTGCCTACTACCCACGTGGGTCCCTCGGTATTGTGGCTGCCGACAGTAGTGCACTGTTTTAGTCTGTTGTCACTGACAGTCTGACCCTTATTTTATACCTGTAGGTGGTACAGTCATCAGTACCTTACCTACTGTTCCTGTTGCACCACATTTGGAATCCCGAATACCGGACCCATCCAGGAGCTAGATGGTAAGGGGGCTGCTAGGACTGTTGACTGTCGCCCGCTTCTCGTCTGCAAGGGCCCATGGCATAGGGGCTGAAATTGAGCAGTATATGGTTAAACTGTAAAAAAAAAAGGAAAAAAGAAGAAGGACGAAAGAAAAAACTTACAAGGGCTGTCATCATGGAGCTTTTGCAGATTGCACCCCCGAGCATCCACCCAAGAATCTTCCATCTCGTCGCCATGTCCGTCCGTTCGCGCTTAATGCAAGTTGCCTCATTCGCAGTTGCCGGTTCGATGAGGCGTCATCGTCCAATTACCTAAGGAAGGGAGGTAAGCAGTGGAGGTGCACGCGGTGACGGTCGACACGTCGTTGCGTTGCGTTGCCTGCTGCCGCCTCTCGGGCGAGCTGTTTGGGTCGGTGCCCGTTTCCTGGGCCCCGTGGCCCCTGGTGCATGGTGCATGGTGCATGGCTGTTGGTTGTTGGTCCTTGGCCCTGCATACGGCGGCGGATGAAGTGCTCTCACGGCGTACCTGGCAGTGCCAGACACTAGCAGGCCACCAGTCAGTATGTCTTACGCGGCTGGAACTGGGGGAAGAGAGAGGAGCCAGGCCTAGGTACCTTAGCCAGCCAGACCGCAGCGGCAGGGCTACGGGCAACCCTAGAATTCATCTACAGGCAGTTCGCAGTCCTGCCTACAGCATCTGAGCATACCTGTACTGCTACGTTATATACCCCCCTGATCATGAAATCAACGTATTGGCGATATTCATCATTCTGTGAATAGTACTGAATAGTGAATACACAGTAGATCGCGCTCGAAGCATATCGCATTCAAAGCGAACCGTGTTCCAAAGTATATCGCATTCGAGGCATATCGTGATCAAAGCATATCGCATCCATAGCCGATCGCATTCCAAGCAAATCAGACCCAAAGAAGATAACATTCAAACTGTATTGTATTCGAAGCTGGTTACAACAAGTATTGATATGTTCCAGGTAGGAACAGAGGAAGTGCGCACAGCAGATACAATATAAGGTAGGTAGGTAGGTACCTATGCACCTGCCCGTGACCTATTCTCGTATAGACGCACTGACGCAGTAGTTACGACCTGAAGATTTACGTCAATAACAAGAATTGGACGTGTGTTACTGTTACCGTGTTACTGTTACGGGCATGTACCTACCTACGGTCGGCGGGGCTATAGGCAGCCCTTGGATTCGTCTAACCGCAGCCCTAGACGTAATACACCTCGACATCTCGTTATCGACGTAATGTACTCTGCTGCCTGAGGCCCGCCTCTATATCGCTACTGCTGCCGCTGTAGCCTGTCGTAAGTCTCGCTGTCGCGACTCCCGTCTCCTTTACGAATCTGCCTTTACCCCTTTAAAATACGATTATTAATCGCGAGCGTACGATACGTATACCTATTATCGGACCTATATATAAGATAATCGGCTTCTACAGGTAGCGAGGCAGATTCGTAGGGGAGAGTCGTAATAGCGGTAGCGACGTAGCGTCGCCGCGACATAGAGGCGGCAAACTTCGAAGTATTTTACGTCGATAACGAGAAGTAGACTTAGCGGAGCTGCGGAGGTAGGTACATTACGTACTGTTTGGGTGTATTATATCTAGGGCTGCGGTTAGACGAATCCAAGGGCTGCCTATAGCCCCGCCGCCTACGGTAACGTCGGTAAGGTAGTGGTGTTACGGGCTGCCTATAGATAGATCCTAGGAGGTAAATCTGCCTGTAGCCCTACGCCCTCCGAGGCCCGACCAGACAGGAGAGAAAAATCAGCTTCCTAGGGAGGCGTACGAATACGACGAACAATGTCGGCTTTTTCGCGCAGAGTGGAGCGAGTGTCGAAAAGGGGCTTGCTCGAAATGAAGAGAAACGTAATGAGTAGTACTAGTCGTCGTATTGTGAAAGGTAGTGTGGGTGCTTATGGGCCGAGAAAGAGATGGAGAGAAAGAAAAAAAATGCCCGTTTGCGAAGTGCTCTAGAGACATTGGGAGGTACAGGTAGTAGGAGGTAATACAGACAGGTACTAACCTCTTAAGGTACGGTAGTTGCCGTCACCTTGGCGTAGGTATCCACTCGCAGAGTTGCCGAGCCTGAGGCTCATCCAGGTACTGAGGTGGTACGACACCTGGACACCAACACTGTGACTTTGCTACTACAGCTACCCTAGTAGGTTGCCTTACCTCAATGAGGCGAGGTCTAGAAAGAAGAAAAAAAAATTACTTCACCGTCAAATTCCACTCGTGACAAATACCACATAGCCTTTCACGACTTGCTTCTCGACCACTAATCAATCAAGGCACAACCTTTTCTACGCCCGGTGATTATTATTATTATGGCAACCGTCAGATTGGCAGAGTGGGATGAACTGCCCGAGCTCGCAAGAATCGGCGCTGCCGCCTTTGGCCAGGACGAGATCTATCTCCACTTCAACCCATGGCGAAGCGTATACCCCCAAGACTGGCACGACAGCTTCCTTCACACTCTGCAGGGAAGGTTTGCAGAGGCCGGAAGCGTTGTGTTGGTCATTGAGGTGCGGCACAAAGAGGGGGAAAAACCTGTCAAGGCGGGCTATATCACCGCTACTCGGAGAGGTGCAGATAATCGACCCCTCTCGTCGTGGATGCAGCAGCGGTCGACTTGGGGTCTTCAGATTGCTACGCCTGCTCAGCGGAAAGAAGGTGAGTGGTAAAAGAAAAGAAAAACAAGGGCAACAAGTTCTGGCCTCCCGCAAGTGCATAGAGAGGCTGTTCTTCTCCTTCTCCTTCTCCATCTCCTTCTCCTTCTCACACGTGTCGTGTACAGCCGAAGCGTCACGGCTCGTCACCAACCGCAGCTCCAATCCAGACGCCATCGCATATTACTACGCCGAGGCCTCCAGGATCATGGGAGGTTCTCTAGCCAATACGATGGAAGTGCAAACGATAGCTGTAGTGCCCGGCTTTCAGCGCGCGGGCATTGGAAAAGTCGCTCTGAAGTGGTGCTTCGACATGGCCGAGGCGGAGAATGTCCCTGTGGTGGGAGACGCGTCGAAGAAGGGGATCAATCTGTACTTGCAGACGGGCTTCAAGATTCAAGGTACCATTGTCATGGAAGCGAAAGTGGCTCGTTTGGATGGAAGGGATGATGTTGTGGTGGAGATGCCACGTCTAGAGGTTCCGGTTGTCACATGGACACCTGGAACTCCTCGTCGTGTTCGTCTCGTCTCGGTATTGTAAAGTCTGTTGTTGAACACCGTGCTTGGGCATATCGAAGCACTCCCAGGACATGTATGATACACGCAAGTACGCACCCGAGTGAACCGCGCAGTGCAGACTCTGGCTCTCCCTGTATCACTAAACGCAGTCTTGATTCATGATGCAGGCAGGATATGCGATATTTCAATCTGCCTATATCGACCTCCTTGTAGAAGGTGGCAAGAGGGGTAATTGAAGAGTTATCTACGTTGCCGCTATAATCAGCATTCGAAGTCTAGAACCTCAGACATAACAGAAAGAGTGAAGTTTACTGATCATACCTACAGGACATGTGACAGTGTGTTGGATTATGTCCTATCGCACTCAAGGGGGCCCTTCCATCCAATCTGTCCTTTTTAGGCTGTAGCCCAACAAGCTTCGGTATAGGTTTGACAAGGAGTTGGTCTAAAGTTATTTAGGTATTCTAGAACTGGCTGCTTGGCCAAAGTGCCAAACCCCAGCTGTATACAGGACTTGAGTTTGGTACGGTAACAGCGCAGATCTGATCGGTACATGTATAGACCCTGTTGAGCCTGATGAGAAATGGCTGCAAGTTCGAACAAGTCATTTTTGTCTCTTGTTTGAGCAGGGCGCGCGCTGGAGTCTATTCAGCTATACCAACTCCAGCTCGTATCTGTTGCAGTAGTGATGGGCTAGAACATACACGTACCTAGGCATAAGGTTATGCCTTCCCAGGTACACGTATATGTAGGAGGTAGGAGGTAACATGATGGGAAGAACGAGCATTAGTTATATTACCAGGTATGTCAGCAAGAAACGGGCAGCTTATCTTTCTCCTCTTTCTTGTAACGAAGTATCAACTTTCTCTCGCGGATTCATAACACTATCTGTACATGTATCTGTACTGTTTGCGGAGAGCCTGAGACATATGACTTCGGCCCGACGGCCATTTTACTCACAGAGATATGAGTTTCATCGTAGGGTCTCGAGATATCACGAGTTTGCTGGCTTAATCCTCATTGTCAGCGAAGCAACTACCAGGTTAACTGGAGGTACCTGTAGGAGGTAGAAATGGACTCGAGGTCGGCGTCGGGCGAACTTACCTCCTGCCCATTCAATATACAACGTGGATTTGATTGGAGACAAGCCTCACGATCACGTGTATATGTACTCATGTCTTTACTCTGTACACAGCCATTCGTTGAGATTGACATATTTGCACACATCAATACGAATACCGTATGCATTCATGTTCCGCCGCACTTCCACAGCCCCAAGCTGGAAGCATACACGGCTCTCCTCGCTGTAACACAATGGCGGCCATTCGACCCATGGGACCTATGGACCTGCTCAAGTTCAATCCGTGCAATCTGGACCACTTGACTGAGACCTACAACATCGGCTTCTACCTCGAATACTTTACAAAATGGCCACATCTATGCAAAGTCATCGAAGGCCCCAACGGCCAGATTGAAGCTTACAGTACGCACGCTGAGACGAGCTGAAAAAATAGTATGGACAAGAGTGAGTGACTGACTGACTGCGTGACTTCCTTCAGTACTCGGAAAAGTAGAAGCATCGCCATATCCAGCGCCGATTGAGCCATACGATCCCGGACTCAAAATTTATCAGAAGAAGTTTTCCAACTACCTACCATGGCATGCGCACATTACGTGCTTGACGGTGGCGCCCGCTGCTCGCCGACTGGGGTATGCCACGAAGCTCTCGGAAGCGCTGGAACAGATGGGCGATGATGAGAATGCCTGGTTTGTGGATCTGTTTGTACGAGTAGAGAACGAAGCTGCCATTAAGCTCTACAAGAAGATGGGGTACGCCAGATAAAAAAAACGCATCCTTGAACGCGGAAGGTCAGGTAGCTTGATGCTGACGCACAATTGTGATAATAGGTACTCCGTATACAGGAGAATTACGGATTACTACAACGACGGGAGTGATGCGTTTGACATGCGCAAGCCGCTGAAAAGAGACAAGCAACGCAAGACTGTGCGTGCAAATGGGGAGAATATCAAGGTCAGCCCTGATGAGGTGTGGTGATTATTGAAGCGTCTGGTGGCTTTCATTTTTGAAATCCTTGCAAAGACTTCAAACACTACCTACCTTACTCTCGTCAGCCAGTGTCCTCCGGCCAGCTCCACCATTCCAGTCCTGGCCTTCCGTGAGGCTGAGCTTCACTACACTACGCTCCGCCTCCTGAGTGATGGCGGCGCAACACATATTGGGAGCCATGCTCGCAGCCCGCAATACGGAGCTCGGGAAACGATGGTCGCGAGAGTAGTGAAGGTGGAGACGAGCAGCGCCGGCCACGGGAAGGACAGCATCTGCTATGCCTTTGATCCGGGGCGAGGAAGCTGAAAGTGAAATCAGATTTCCACGTAGTCCATGTTCCGTAGTCTCCTCCAGACCTCAAGACATGTGATGTGTTTCCCATTGATCGACTCAATACATAAGGTAGGTAGGTATAATAATGTAAAAAATTGACGACGTTCGTGGAAACGCGGAGCGGAGAAACGGGGGAGAATCGCCGACCACTTATTGGCCGAAGATCTATCGGAACCTCATGAGATTCAAGGTTCCATGATGACCATATAATTGTGCAGCGCTGTATTAGTATTGCAATGCTTTGCCCAACCCAATGCACATACGCCCTGCTCTCACGGCGTGGCCGTCCTCATTCGATACCGGGTCTATCTGTCTGCGATGCGTCAGGACGATAGCGCGGGTGCAGCCCGCGCGGCGGACCTTCTCATGCGCAACTAGGACCCGACAGATTGCGGCCGCCAGAGACGATGAGGTGGATAAACGATTCTTCTGGGCGAATACCTTCCACAATAGCAGCAGCAGGAGGAGGGGGAGAGAATTGGGGATACTGTCGCGAGTAGCGGCGAGGGAACCATCAGGAGATGTGCGGCAGACGGCACCATCCTTGATCGAAGAAGCGCCCCATCGACGGCGGAAACGACTGAAAGCGGAGGCAGCAGCTGCAGAGGCGGCGGTAGAAGCACCTTTACCGCTCGATGCCTCATCACAGCTCTCCAGTGATGCAGCAGCAGCACCAGCCAAGTCCTTCCGACGAGCCTTCTCGACCTACCTTTCCTTATCCAAGCCACGACTGGCCTTTCTTGTAGTCCTAACGACGACCGCGTCGTATTCCATATACCCCGTGCCAGCATTGCTGAGCACCTCTGTCACTGATGCGCCGTCACTGAGCACTTTGACTCTCCTGTTCCTCACGAGCGGGACGTTTTTGCAGATAGCATCTGCCAACACTCTGAACATGCTGTTCGAACCTCAACACGATGCGAAAATGAGCCGCACGAGAAATCGACCTCTGGTACGAGGTCTCATCAGCAAGCGCAAGGCGCTAGTGTTCGCAGTTGCTACAGGTCTCATAGGCACAGGCTTGCTATGGTATGGAGTGAATCCCACCACGTCACTACTAGGCGCTGCCAACATCGGGATATATGCAGGAGCCTACACCGCGCTGAAGAGGATACATCCGGTCAATACGTGGGTGGGGGCCATCGTGGGAGCCATTCCTCCGCTCATGGGCTGGTGTGCAGCCGCAAGCCAATACAGCACGACCGATGCCAGTCAAGCATCGGTGTGGGATGAGGCCCAAGAGCTTCTCTTCACGCAACAAGCCATTGGTGGGTGGTTGATCGCAGGGATCCTGTTCGCCTGGCAGTTCCCCCACTTCTTCGCATTGGCACATGCAGTTCGACAGGAATATGCTGGTGCGGGATACAAGATGCTCGTGTCGACGAACATCCCCATGGCTGCGAGAGTGTCCTTTAGGTACAGCTTGGCCATGTTTCCAATCTGTGCTGCTCTGAGCTACTATCACGTCACTGATCCGGCATTTGTCGTGACTAGTTCCGTCATTAATGCGTGGATGCTGAAGGAGGCTTGGAGGATGTGGAGACTGAACGGCGAAAAGGGGTCTGCCCGGGCGCTGTTCTGGGCCAGTGTATGGCAACTGCCCATTGTATTGGTCTTGGCCATGGTGCAGAAGAAAGGGTTAGGGAGTCGACTATGGAAAGCCACGTTTGGAGAGGATGAGCTGGATGACGAGTGGGAGGAAGCTTGAACCGCCGTCTTTCTCGACCGCATCTGATGCGTGTGCACCTTTTTTCTTGTCACGCGATAGATGCAGATAAAATATGAATGAGAGAGAGAGAGAGAGAGAGAGAGTGAGAGAGAGAGAGTGAGAAGCTCGCAGCGGGATAGGTATCCGTTGTTACAATCTGCTTGTTCTACACATGTACACTTTGCACTCGAGAGCTACATGTAACGTAGTAATCTTCAGTGCCTCCAGTGCTCATCCCAATAAACGCCTCGCTATGATGCCTTATACCCAGACCCATCAATCATAAAAAACTTCGTCAAACCCCGCCCCGCTCTCCATGTCTTCTAGTGCTCCATGAGCTCAACCGGTGGCCGTGCGGTATGGATAAACTGCTTCGTAGTACCATCCACAGGACTCAGCGGAAGAGGGCTGTCCGTAGTATCCTCTACCGCAATCGCCGGCAAATCGGGTGAACGACCATGCTCCTGCGGGTCAAACACCAAAGTGGAACTCCTCGACCTGCCACCACCTGCCGAGACGGGAGTCTTGCCCTCTACATCGTCATATAGTGCCTGATCCGCCGCTGGCCGAGCGTGGAGTTTCGAGAGCGCCACAGCGAGATCATCTGCGTGGACTTCTTTGTTTGGCGGCTCTTCGTTGCGCACCTCCCAGCCGACGGGAGGACTGGGAGGTGGGGAGATGAAGAAGAGCTTTTGGCTCTGTGGTGCTTGCAGATGTTGATCTTCCTGATCGTTGATCTTAGTCTCGGTGCCAAAGTAGACGCGGACTCGGTTGCCCAAGACGGATTCGCCGTCGAGCACTTGGCGCAGGTTGATTGCATCTTCGACTGTGTAGAAGCTGACGATGATGCGACGGAAGGATTTGAGTGGCGAGAAGGTGTGGATGGTGGCATGCTGGTTGATGGCTGCTCGGATGCTCTCGAGACTGGCGCCTTGGAAGATTTCGGGAGCGTTGAGGTTGGTGATGAGGAGGGTATTGCTCGGCGTTGCGGGTTGGGAGAGGGCGGGGAGAGTGGACAGGTCGATGGACAATGAGGGCGAGTGGCGTCGCTTCATGGCCCCGGTCGGCGAGGATGTCGAGACGGGAGACATTGTGATGGCAGCCATCTGATCGTCGTAGGATGCTGGTGGTTGTTGCTCGGTGGTGGGAGTAGTAGGAGGAGAAGCAGTGGGAGTCGTGGTGGTGGTGGTGGTGGTAGTGGGTAGATGCATCATGACGGTAGTGGCAGCAGAGTAGTGGTTGATATACCTTACCTCCTACCTCTACCTCTCTCAGTGACCTACCTCCTACCTGTCTGTCTGTATCTTGGCAGAGGCGTGCAATGTTGAGCTGCGCCTCCAGCCATCCATCGCCATCGGCCAGCGGAGGAATTGAAGATCGTCGGTAGTCAAACAGGTCAGTGAACCCCCAGGAATGGACCGGACACCGATGGCTTGGCGCAGAGTCTGGCTCGTAACACAGCCTCACAAAGCACTGAACGTGACTTGGAGTGACGGTTTGGCGGCAAATCTTCCCGACGCGGATCTGCACACACGGCGCTTCCACTCCGCCACCCCAGCACCACCACAAGGAACTGGAACTTTCTCAACATTTCCATGCTCGTCTCCTTGTTCTTGTTCTTCTTCTCCTTGTTCTTCTTGTTCTCCTTCATCATCATCGTCATCTCAAATGACACGAAGCCACATGACGTGAAAGACCACCATCAGCATCATCATCACCACCTCCTCCTGCCACCTATATACACGTATACATACCTAAGCCTCATCAGCACTGACTAGATGGAGCACATAGCCCATGGTCTGAACACCCACTCACTCACACAGACACGGGCCTCGCCGACGGAGCATCTACCTCATCTAAGGTACCTAGATTACCGTAAACATGACCTCCACTAAAACCTCCATCATCACGTACACAGGTACTGGTCATCATCGTCAGCCGCAGCGTACATGTAATATATAGGGAGGCACATGTATGGTTGCGACGATGAACATGGCGGAGTGAGAACAGCACCGCACCGCACCGCACCGCACAGCTTTTCCCGGCTGGCTGGCTGGCTGGCTCCGCCGCTTAAACCACAGGATGAAACCAATATAGGCCATGCCATACTATGCTACAGCATGCTCTGCCACAGTGGCTCAGCATAGGCAACTGAATTCTTTTTCCGCTACGAAATCAAGGTCACATCGAGACAAATTTCAAGGAACACAGCCGGAGGTCTAGAACATTCAAGTACAGAGGTAGGCACCTGCCAGACAGAGGAGAACATGGACTAGCCATGTGATACAACCAGGCGCCTGTGAAACACATTTCGGTTACCTCCGGTCGTTGTGAATTACTGTACTTTGGTTTCTCGCGAAATAGTGGTGCATCTACATCAAAAAAGACAACTACCTAACATACGAGTGCGGCCTAAAGCTCCATCGTGTGCAAACCCAAAAGGAACTGAGGTGGTATCATGCAACCGCTCCAAAAAAACAGAAAAAAAAAACGCCGTGAAGTCCATAAGTGCACACAGCGTACAAAACTCCCCCATGCATCCATCCATAATGCGTACTCCGAACAACAACATGATGAAGAAGAGGCACTGACTCAATCAATCATGTTGCTGACACTGCAAACGGCCCACTCTCCTGCAAATCCTGCACCAACTCTTCCACATTATTGATATACTGCCCCAACAACTCCTGCTTATCCTCAATCGACCGCACATCCACATCCAAAAACTCCTCATCAATCTCCATCGCATCGCCCGAATGTGTTCTCGCATGCTCCGCCAACGCCGTAAACGATCGATGATGATGATCCACTCCCCCTCTCTGTAAAACGGCAGAATTCGGCGCGCTCGCATGACTCCAAGGAAGAATGGGCGACTCGGGCATGAGATAAAAGTAGAGAAATTCGAGCGAGCGCATTTTGACCTCTTTGGTCGTCGAGCGGCTTTTGAAGAGAGAAGTCACCGTCAACAGCCCATCAATGGCTTCGAATGTGCGCGTATTGCGAGGTTGATCGATGAGTGCGGCGACGAGAACGAGGAGCGCTTGCGATTGGATTTTGGGCGGGTTCATCGAATCCAAAAGGTCCAGCAGGAGATTCATGTGTGATTCGCGATTGAAGAGACATTTCGAGGGCGGGTGAAGCATCAGAACGCCTTGGAGAAGATCTAGCGCGGAGAGTATGAGGAGGTCGGTGTCTGAGGGATTTCCCATGCCGAGAAGACAATCGATGGATTGGACGAGCCGTGATGCGACTGGAGGAGGAGGAGGAGGAGGCACACGTCAGCATCCTGTGCATTACTATTACATTTGATCATCGCATCATCTGCTCTTGCTCACCATTCCATTGGAAACCTTCTTGTAATCGGAAGAATTCTCGAAAAGCTGGGTCTTGCTTGAGCTCCCCTAGCTGTTTGGTGCTCCCCTGCTGTTGTTGTTGCTGTTGTAGTTTCTTATCATCCAACGCCGAAGACTTCCTCTTGTGCGGCGAGCGAGAGCCCGCTCGGGAAAGACATATTTGCGCAAGCAATCCTTCGATTTGTCGCAAACCCTTTCGAATCTTGGAGCTATCACGAGAGGAGATGTTGTCGAACGAAAGACTTAACAAGGACTCCATGATTTTCCTTTTTTTTTTTCTTTTTTCGAGTGTGCAAGTTCCTCAGCAATCTAAACGGGCGAGTATTTGGGTCGAATCGATCTTGTTGGGGGTCTCTCGCGCATATGCAGCTAGGTGTCTAGGGTGGAAGCCACAAACATCAGCGTGAAAAGGAAAAAAGGGCTGCGTGGTCTGTGTTTGTTATTCTGAAACCGAATTTCGCGGGGGTGTTGTTGTCTCGGCAACCCGGAAACACGGAGTCTTCTCCTTTCGGTCCACGCGACACTCTCCCGAACTCCCGAATGGCGGATGCGATCACTGATGACTACGACAGACTTTCCAGCTTCATGTACGATATCACCGCCTTCGTTTCGGATTCTGCTTGTTCTTGCCAAATACTCATTGATACGTAAGGTACATGCCTAAGCTACCTGGTCTCATAGGACGGTTCAACTTTTGATCGTCTGTCTCTACAGCATTACTACACCAACACCGCCCATCTTGCTGGTGTCAATGTTGTTCTTCTCGTCAATGCCGCCGGGAAGGGTTGCCGTGCGCCAGTTGAAGAGATAGTAGTTGAGCTTGCCGTCGCCAGGTTCGAATTTCTGTTCCTTCAGGAACAGAGGGTTGTCGAGAAGAGTCAGCGCATTGAACACGTGGAAATCCTCCTTCTTAGCCAGGATTAGCGCATCGTGAACTAATTCCTGCAGACGTTGCTGGAGTCGGTCTTGCAATTCCTTGGCCTTAATCTTGGGTTGCTTCGGTGCCTGGAAGGCCGATTCCGTGGCGTAGTAGTAGAGGTAGGCAGCACGGATGGTCTCTTTCTTCGACGCCCGGAGAACGGAAGACTGCAACTCATTAGCATATACCCCGACGTCGACATATCACACTGGCGTACCTCGAGTTGATAGTAGGAGATGAAGTCCGTGATACGACCCTCTTCCTCTACCACATAACTCCACACCACACCCTTGGATGTGCTTGAGCAGATCCAGTGGGCAATCTCCTCTTCTGTAAACTCCTGCCTAAGGTGGAAGCGCTCGCTATAGCGCACAAGCAGATCCTTTACAGCCGGAACGTCGGCTGGCTTCATCGGCCGCAGCCCTTTGACCTGCGGATGCGACTCCAATCGGTATCGATACTTCTGCCTCAGCGCAGTCGAGCCAGCTGGCATATGGCTGAATCCGGTGTTGAAGAGGTGCTCCCAGTCCAACGATCGATGGAAGTATCGGCAGGTGCTGACGGGAGTGGGGAGTAGCGTTCCGGCTGTGTAGAGTGCTTGGAAAATGTCGTTTTGATAGCATCGTCGTGTGACTTCCTTAATCAGGACTGGTGCCAAGCGCTTATTGCGAAGCTTGCGGTGAATGGCAAGGAAATTGATCTCGCTCGCTTTGATCGTCTTGCCCCTGACTTGCAGAGTCACAGGGATGCCGGTGATGGACGCCACGAGCTTCCCTCTCTTCCCATCGTCTCCGGTCTTGGTACGCACGCCGATGTGCCATTCCTTCTTCCAGCCCGGCGGTTGCAGCGCCCACTTCAAGAACTGCGGCGAGTAGTTGAAGCGGAATGAGCCATCCGTGTCCTCGACGTAGTGATTGTAGAGGAGATCGTAGAACTCCTGCAGGTCGTCCTTGTCGTCCAGGTCGATCAGGCACCACTCGAAGCCATCGACAAGCTTCTCCGGCTCGGGCTTCACGCTCGCCTTGCACACCTGAGCGGGGAGGATAGCACCCTCTGCCAGCTCGCCGTCCTTTCCGCTGGTCGTTTGCAGCAAGTTGGGCTCCTTGAATTTGGGCACAGGCTGCGTGTTCCAGAACTTGTAGTCCTCGGGCGCCTTGGCCCCCTCTTTCTTGGCCCCCTCGCCAGCCTGAAGCTGCTTCAACAGTGCGGGCAGGTCTTGCACGTTGATGGTCTTGTTGTTCTGGATGATGTTGGCTAGCGGCTGCTCCGTCGTGGCTGGCTTCTTCTTCTTAGGCTTCCGCTTCTTCTTCTTGGGCTGCGAAGAACTCCCGCCAGCGCCCTCTTGCTCCGGTCCATCCTCCGCCTCGTCCTCGCCCTCGCCCTCGCCGTCTACCTCCTCGCCTTCCTCGTCATGCGCTCTTTGTTCCTCGACCTCAGCGTCCTTGAGCGGGTCCGCCGCCGTCTTCTCTGCCATTGCACCTCTCCGCTGTTCTGTCCACGTCTTCTTGACACTGGTTCTGACAGCTTGGTGCCCTTGCTGCAATCTAGACAAAGTCCGAGTGTCAACTTGTCAACGACAACAGTGCTGCTGCTCAGTGAAGCTGTCGAGCTGTCTTGTCAAAAGCCAGAGCTATAGTAGAACTAAAACTAGTGGGAGCTTAATTATTGCCCCACTTCTATCTTGCCTGGGCGCGTGGCCCGACCGTGACTTGACGTGACCACAGCACACGCTTCAACTCCGCCAAGACTTGTTGCTTTTCCCAAGGAGACTGGTATATCATACATCATACATCTCTTGTTCGCTCGATTCGGAACGCCGTTACGCTTCAAGACGAAGATGAGATGGCGGTTGGAGAGGCTGTGGGCCCCGATCAGCTACAACTCCGCGCCGCCATCCAACATTACTGTGTCGCCGACTCCAGAGAGGCCAACAGGGAGCTCAACGTTGCGCTTACAGTCAACCTGCTTGTATGCACCGAACAAAACACAATGTAGTCGCTGCTGCATAAAAGCCTCCTGTGAGGCGCTCAGCCCAAGTAGGGAGACGCGGTAACAGCCTGGCAAGTCGAAGGCCGCCTGACAAAAGCCTCATATCCATTCATGGCCCCAGGCAACTAGACCAACCGTAGTAATGCCATGTGCGTTACTGACGGCGCAAACGCACCGGTCAATGATATCCATGGTCCAAGACTGGTACAAGCAGAATAGTGTATCGCACGTCGGGCAGCTATTGCCATATTGGTGTCCAAGGAGGAAATACCCCGTCCTTCAGCATCGCCTCCAGTCCTTCATCTCCCTGAGGGCCTTGACTTTTGTCATCGGCGGCAGAGTGCGGCTTTCCAATTACAGGTACCAACACAGCTCGTTTGGACTGTGACAACTATTGTACCAACATCTGCATGGTCGTCAACCACATCGATTTTCTTCACAACTGCGGGAACACCCGAGGGCGTCTGGCTGTCTCACGACTGAGGAACTGCAGCAACAGATTTCTTACTTGGCGGCGAATTTAGGGGTTATGCGGAGGCCTAACTCTGATGAAGACCGGCACTCAGCTTATTGCAATAAATGTCCGTGATAAGACATATCTAGCTATCAGAATGCCTGCCACAACCGCGAAAGCCTGCAAGCGTCCTTGTCCCTGTTGACCCCAGGTATCTCCAGCTGGAGACTGATGATCATGGGCTTCACTCATCACATCAGGACATCATCATGCATATATTTTAGATGTTGGCTGACCAATTGACAGCTCGTAAAGGTATAATGATTGGCGTGCGAATAGGCTGACGCCAGAACGAGCCTGCATATTAGGTTTTGCTTATCACTATCGACTGGCCTCGATAGTCCTAACCAACCCTCGCCGCCGGCACCAACGATAGCACAACGTGCACAACCGAAAGCTAGTTCCAAACGCATATGAAATTACTCAATGTCGAAGAATCAAAATAGGTATCCACTGAGGTCCGGTCCAGAAGGACTCGCTATACCTACCCCCTCGACTACTACAGCTCAAGCACTACTACCCATATTAGCGCTGCACTACAACTCGAAGTCCCACAATGCCGGCGAAACCAGTTCTGAGCCAAAGTACTGGCTATGGACTCATCATTGGCTTGGGCTTTCTCTTCGGTAGGCTACAGTACCGCATGGGATCATCATATACTGACGGACGTTGTTGAATAGCTTTCGGGATGATGCTCTGCACATTTGTGCTCAGGCGGTACAACAACGAGCTTAACACGTCCGAAGTGTTTAGTACAGCAGGAAGAACCGTGAAGACAGGACTGGTCTCGGCAGCCGTCGTGTCATCGTGGACGTGGGCAGCAACAGTGATGCAGTCGTCTGCCATTGCATATCAATATGGAGTCTCGGGGCCGTTTTGGTACGCCAGTGGAGCGACTGCACAGATCCTTCTGTTTGCAACACTAGCCATCGAATTGAAGCGCAAGGCTCCGAATGCGCATACAGTAGGTGTTGCATATGGCGCAGAGGTGTACTAGACTGACACGTCAGTTCCTCGAAGCAATTCGCGCTCGCTACGGCGGCGCCACTCATGGAGTCTTCATCACTTTTGGCCTGTTGACCAACGTCCTTGTGACAGCCATGCTCCTTACTGGTGGTTCTGCAGTTGCAAGCGCGCTGTCTGGCGTCCCTACCGCTGCAGCTTGCTTCCTGCTGCCAGTAGGAGTGGTGCTCTACACCATCTTCGGAGGCATCAAGGCCACATTTCTTACCGACTATGGTCAGTGCGGTGTTCCAATTGCGTATGTGGATGAATTCGTACTGAACTTCTCCCAATGCAGTGCATACTATCGTCATTATGGTCGTGCTGTTCCTGTTTGCGTTCACCGCTTTTGCAACTTCCGACAAGCTGGGTAGTCCTGGCGCCGTGTGGGAGGCGTTGACTGAGGTACGTTGGTTGCTGAGAGCCATGAAAGTGCCACTTCTCTCGCTGACCTCTGTCCTTTCCTCCCTAGGCTGGAAAGCGTCATCCTGTCGACGGCAATGCTGGCGGTAGCTATCTGACTATGAAATCCCGAGACGGGGGTATCTTCTTCTTGTATGCTGTGCACGTTCACCAGGTCATATGTTGAGACTGCTAACTGTTGGCCAGGATCAATCTCACGGAGAACTTTGCCACAGTCTTCCTGGATAATGGCTACTGGAACAAGGCCATTGCCGCGTCTCCAGCTCACGCTCTGCCAGGTTATGTCGCGGGAGGTCTTGCCTGGTTCGCGATTCCATGGCTTGCAGCCACCACAATGGGTATGGCGATCATGGGGACATACACTTAGACTCCCCGAAGCAGCTTTCTGACTCAAATCGTTTTAGGCTTATCCGCACTTGCTCTGGAGAACAACCCATCCTTCCCGACGTATGTGTGCTGGCTCGATATTGCCGTGAAGATGAAGCTGACCAAAGCCTCACCAGCTATCCCAACCGCATGGACCCAGCAGATGTCAAAGCTGGCCTTCCTCTTCCATACGCCGCTGTCGCTCTGTTGGGATCGAAGGGTGCTGCTGCTACGCTTGTCCTCGTGTTCATGGCAGTAACATCGGCGATGTCGGCAGAGCTGATTGCCGTGAGCACAATATGTACCTACGATATCTACAAGGTCTGTTGCGGGCACAGTGATGGAAAGGACCGATGTATACTGACCATCTGTTTTTCATCAAGGCCTACATCAATCCGCAAGCGAGTTCTAAGAGCCTCATTCGAGTGTCGCACTTGAGCTGCATCATCTACTCGATCTGCATGGCAGCTATCAGCACCGGTTTATACTACGGAGGAATCAGGTACGCGCTTCTGTTTGGCTTCGGGAAACAATCATGCTAATGTCTCTGTAGTCTCGGCTACTTGTACCTCCTCATGGGCGTCATCGTCAGCGGAGCAGTCATACCAGCAACAGCAACCCTCTTCCTCACCAACCAATCTTGGGCCGCAGCAACATTCTCTCCCCCTCTGGGACTCGTCTGTTCCATCATCAGCTGGCTCTCACACGCCAAAAGCGCCTATGGCTACGTGAACCTCGAGTCCACGGGCGATCAGAATGTCATGCTGACGGGAAATCTCGTTTCGCTCTTGAGTCCCTTACTCTTCATCCCCGTCCTCTCTCTCGTATTCAAAAGCCCCAAATACGACTGGAAGACCATGGGTTACATCCGCCGCGATGACGATTCCGATCTACTCCAAAACGACCTGGAACAAGTCGATGATGATCATGATGCCTCGAACCCGTCCGCACCGACGAGCAGGTCCATCGCAGAAGCCGAGCGGAAACAACTCGATCGATCCGTCAAAACTGCAGGATACCTCACCATCGGCCTCTCGCTGGCCACACTCATTCTGTGGCCCATGCCCATGTTTGGAACGGGATACATTTTTTCCAAAAAATTCTTCACGGGATGGGTCGTGTGTTGCTTCCTATGGCTGTTTTGCTCGGCCATTTGTGTGGGAATTTATCCTTTGTGGTGAGTTTGAAACCCCCCCCCCCTCCCCCCCGGCTCTTCATATTTCCATTTTTTCTAGGTGTTTCTTCTTCGCTAACGTATCAACCCTTTTCTCTTTTTCTCACTCCATCAGGGAAGGAAGAGAAACGTGCGCACGAACATTCAAAGCCATTGTGAGAGATTTGCGCGGAGGTGGAAGGGTGAAGCCGTCGAACATGACCGTTACTCATGGAGAGGTGGTGAATGTGGCGGGAGAAAAAGGAGGCGAGGAGAGGGAATCGGAAAAGGAGGATGAAAAGCACACTTCCGAGACACCTCCACACGTGGAGCTTGCCAAATAAGTCAGCACTCGGGGTTGGTTGTCGATGGTGGATGATGGGTGCTGCCCGGTGACGAGACTCATACCCCCCTACCTAGACGAGGGTTGGGGGAGAGGTGGGCGGTCTGTCGAGAGGTAAAAGAAAGGTAGTGATTATAATATGTCTTCTTTTGGATAATCGTATGTTACAAGTTGTAAAGCTCACCGTCCCATCCATGCAGCATCCATACTGCTTACTTCTCGGTGATGACACCCCCCAGGCGCCGCGCTAATGTTCCGATTCTGTTGTGTGGAAAGCCATACGAGAAAAAAGCAATCTGAAACCTTGCTACAGCAACTTTTTCATCTCTCAACACCGACCGTATGTTCCTTGCTCAATCCAGAGCAGCATTGTGCATTAATTGTATTATGTCTTTTGTTCAATCTGTTGTGGTATCCATCTCGTCCTCTTGGGCAATACCAAATTTTCTCCTCTTCCGATCGCCGGTGCCGCCATACTTCTAGTTACGCTTCTTCGGCTGAGAAAGAGCAGCAAGTCGAGCCTGGCTGATAGTTGTCGAGCTCGGACGTCCCGCTGTCTTCTTCACGGGACTAACACTCTTCGCGCCCTTGGGCTTCACGCCAAGCGTGGTACGTCGAGCCGTTGCAGCAGCAGTCATGGCCATAGGACCAGATGAGACCTTCGATTTTGGTGAAGGGGCGCTAGGCTTGGAGCGCTTGGTAGGACGTTGAGCATCATCGTCCTCGGCCACGGGCGTGTTCTCTTTGTCGGATGTTATGTCGACATCTTCGGAATGCACCCGGGCAAGATTGTTCTCGAATTCGAATTTTCGCTTCTTGGTACCAATCGGAGGAGAGACAATCTTATTCACCGATGCAGTCACTTTCCTGTTCTCGAAATCGAACTTGCGCTTCTTTTGGTTGTTGGGTGATGCTACAGATGCAACGGCGTCAGCTGACACGTATCGGATGGTGGCTGGTCGTGAGTTGCGCGATGCAGATGCTGGGGCATTTGGCGACTGACCAAAGACGATGTCGTGGTCGCCCGCACGGAACGTGAAATCCTGCGGTCCAGCAGTCTGGCGACGTTTTTGAGGCGAAGGAGAGAGCGATGGCACGCGCTCGTTTGTGGGCACGGCAAGTGGTAATTGTGGGTAGTGGGATGACTCCTGCTGTGAACGTGCATGGGGCTCGGACACTGGAGCTGACGCTGCTGTGACATCGACATATTGCTCAGATGTGGGAGACGGAGTTGGGGTCTGCGATTCCGAGCTCGTCTCAGTATTCTGGACTTTCAAGTCGCGAGCTTTGGTCGACGACGAGAAGTCGACGTGCTTTCGAGCTTGAGCTGATGCTGGTGGGACTCCAGGCAGCGCCTTGTTGAGCACTGCTGCCTTCTTGTCGGGAGGAGTGGCGAGATGTGTGCCAGCAGCTACCTTGGACGGGTCGTCTGAGTAGAGACGCTGCGGCGAGCGAAGTATCGACTTCATGGGCGATTGTCTCAAAAGGTTGAAGCGACCCGTTAATGTGTTCGTAGCACTCTTGCCAGGGGTCTCATCCACAGTGCTGTTGGCTGCGAGAGGCAATTTCGTGGGCGAGCGGGACAAGAATGGCATCGCGGGGGCGTCAGCTTGGAAAGGATCCGCCTCGTTCGTTGTAACCACGACTGCTTTAACAGGGGAGCGCGACAAGAAGGGGACCTGCTTCTCCTTGGGTGCAGTAGCGCTCTGTTCGTTCACCTCGTGCTTCTTCAATACGCCTGCCTTTGCTGGAGTCCGTGCAAGAGATGAGTCCATCATGGATGTTGGCTTCTCCACAGGCGCTGTGACAGTAGATGCCGGAGCAAACATGGCCACCTTTGAGGGCGAGCGAGCGAGTAGTGGTGTAGCATCTGTGTGCTCCTCCAAGTGTACTGGCTTCTTGAGCGCAGACTTCAGAGGCATCTTGCCTGGTGTGAAATGTGGTGCGGGGAGCTTGCTGGCTGCCTTGGTGCTCTTGACACTTGCGGCTCGCGCAAGAGACGCCTGCGTGGGTGTTGAGAGCGTACCGATCCTGGATTGCTTGTTTGGGGTTACAGTCTTCTCACTCTCGCTTGAACGCGGGCGATCAGCCGACACATCATCGGTCTCGGTGCGCTTGGCACGCTTCGCCGGAGACGCCTGCGTGAGGTCTTGGATTGATCTCGATCGTGGTAGTTTCTGAGGAGAAGCGTTCGCCAGATCCTTGAAAGATGTAGATCGCGGCAGAGCGCTACCCTCGTAGTTTGTGACGGACTTGGGTCCTTGACTGGAATTGGGCCTCGACGATGTATCTGGCTCGTCCAGCTTCGCTTTTGATGGACTACGCTTCAGAGACTTTGGCCCCACTGTCTTCATCTCCACGACGGGCTTGAAGCGTTCGGGATTGGCTCTCCATGCGCTGGCATGATTTGCGATCGAGTCCATTTTCTGTTCTTCCATCAGATGTGCCTGCGAGAAGCGGCCCTTGGGCTTGGCCAGCTTCCGAGCGGCCAAGACTTCATCGATGCTCTGCGGCACATCCCCATCTGCCACCATCTGATTCCGGATTCGCGCAGCCTCCTCGCGCTTCTCGAACATGAGCTGCTTCGCTTCAGGGCTGAGGCCGAGAGAGGTCTCGCGGCGGAAGGTGAAGTGGTACGACGAGGGCGAGGTGGTGTCGCTCTCGAGATTGCGGGTCTTGGTCGGAGTGCCCTGCAGAGTGCCTATCCTGCTCTTCTGCTTGGGAGGTTCGGTGTGCGGTGCCATGTTGGAGAAGCCCAGGTGCCGAGCCTCGTCGCGGGCCTTGGCGGTAGTGTGGTGGTGCAATTGAGGGTGCATTTCCGCTTCGGTCGGCTTGATGGGCGTGCCCTTGGTTGGGGTTTGGCGGGCAGCCGGGTGCGCAAGGTTCGTGGGCAGCGTCGGGTAGGCCATGCTCGTCGTCGTCGCTGTCACTGCGGAGGGAGAGTTGGAGGCGGAGGCAGAGGAGGGGAACGCGCCAGGCATCTCGTCGCCTTCTTCCAGCGCAGAGAGCAAAGACGACTTGGCCGGGAGGGTGTGCGGGGTGCGAGTGGGAGGAGGCGCGTCGTGGGCCAGCGAGACTCGCTTGGGAGTGGTGGCCGACTGGTTGCGCAGACGCGCGGAGCTGCGGCGGGCCATGCTCAACAGCGGTGCTGGGGGTGGTGGTGGTGGTGGTGGTGGTGAGCAAGCGGAAGTGCAGTGCCGGCGGTGGATGGTAGAGCAGGAGGTACTGTAGGGTGGCCTCAGGGAGGAGGAGAGCCTGTGCAGGTAGTGTCAAGGTCTGGTGCAGGGAATGTAGCAGGCAGCTTATTTTGTGACGCGCGATCGGATTTTCAAGCGGACGCTGAGTCGCGAACAGGCAATGTGGGCAGGTATTGGACGCATGTGATGATGATGATGGGGATGATGATGTGATGGGGCGCCTCTTGTTTGTCGGTAAGCACGGGCGGGAGGCTGTTGCGAGGGACGACGAACTCCTGCTCCGTGCTTTTCTTGGCATATCTCTTTCGTCTCACCCTTTCCATGTTTATTCACTTCAACTTCAAGTGAATTCAAATTGTGCCTTCATCCCTGTCACTGGTACTGAGAAGAGAGTCTTGTGTCTTGGAGATACCGTTCCCGATGGCCTGAGGAAAAGACTGCATCCTGCGCCAAGTCAACTAAACTAGTTCAAGGTCGGCCCATTGAAAACAGAGCACAGCCTGCGAATCGCTGCGACTATTTGCCGCTCGGCATCGCTGTCAACCATGTCACTCCCTGCATCTCCGAGATGGGCGGCTACTCGTCGTCTACGGTTCACCGAATCCATCAGCCTGAGAACTTCCCGGTTTTAGCATGTTACACATCTCTGCGCCGCAGCGATCGGTCAGAATGGACGCTTGTATATGTTCGAGCGTCGTCCGCTCTGGGAACTGCTTCCATGGTCTGGTGACTAGTTTGGACTACATTCGCTTTCGGTGGCTGCTTTTATTATTCACAATCATTCCCACACTCTTCGATAGGAGAGCCTTATACATACTGTACTTGGGGAGAAAGCGATAGAAATCATGTCGAACACCACGCACATTTCCTCATCGGCCACTAGCGCCACCGCTGCAGCGACCAGCACCGCTGCCACATATGATTTCAGCATCGAGGAGGCGACAGTCCGCAACACAGCCATCGGTGTCTGCATTGCACTCTTCGTTCTGCTGTTCTGCGCTCTCATTGCATTGGAAATCATGCGACGTCGTCTGAAACGAATGAGGAAGTGGCTTCGGAAATACATGAGCCAGGAAGAGGGACTCAGCACTCATTATGTTGTTGGCTCAGGATTGAGCATCCAAACGGAGAGCCCCGCGAACCCAGAAGATATCCGCTACGAGCTGGTCCGTCCGATGGCCAGACTTCCAGAAAGACATGTGGCCGATGAAGTCTCTGTCCAGGGCGAAGTCTTTGAGTCCGATGCGAGATCTGTGCATAGCTTTCACCGTGGTTCGACACACAAACATAACAAGAACATCGTGAGCAAGTGGTACGATCTTCGGGGCCACAGGAACAGACAAGCTTGATTGTCATTTCAACATTTGTAATGGATGATGGATGTTCTTCGATGGGAGAAAGAAGGAGAAAATGGGAGATTGCGAAGAATAGTGTGGTACCTGAGTTTGCGGGTGTTGGACTTGCTTCTCAAAATCACCCTTGCTCGCGCCAGTCTCTGTCAGCATCGACCTTACCGTTTCATTTATGGCCGCTTGCGTGATGAGAGGTCCCGATACAGCGACACCATCACCAGATGTCAAACTAAAGAGCCATGAAAAGGAACAGCAAGTCAACCCAGCAACACCACATTCCCTCCAGCGCTGAGGCATCTTGCATAGTCTATGAGATGTTGCTATGCAGAAAATATCCTCGAACAACACTCCTACGAGCGTTGCAACTCTGCCCGGGATGCCAGAGAGATTCCCAAAGTCAACTTTGGTCACCACTGTCTGTGGCGAGAGTCGATACTGGGACAAGCAACATACAAGCAAACCTCGGCATTCTGCCTCATCCTACTTAGGTAGAGATCAGCTTCAATGGGAACGTCAGTACTGAGCTGTTATGGGTTCACTATGGAGGACGACCACCGCTGTGTCTGTCACGAGAATCTCGATCCCACGATCGTGATAGACCGAAGGATGGCCTCACGATTTTCTCCGCGCTGACAATGCTGGAACGGCCCAGGCATAGATTTCGCTCTGGATGCGTAGTCTGCGCTTGATATAGGTCATGTGGCTGTCTATGTCGCGTCATACCTCATAACTTCATTATCATCAGTACCTACCTAAGGTACATGTAAGGTATCTACCTAGGGAAGCATCGGCCTCTACTTTATATCTTTAATACTATGCAACCCGTATTCTCGGCGATTGGAGGCTTGGTCGAGAATCAACATATGCTGCAATCTACGCCCATTTTCCCAGCACTCCCATCACGATCATGCCACAAACGAGAGCACATCCCGCTCCCAATGTCTTGCGAACACCACTCGTCAGTAGCTCGCCACCCTCAATGACCCAATCGCGAGCCCACATGTCCACAACGCCCACCCAGACCAGGACACCAGCCGACAACGCATCGAGCGTACCAAATGTGATGACAGTAGCAGGATTGTTCCCATTGAACGTGTTCAACACCCCAATACCAATCGCCATACCCACGGGCGTGATGAGCGCAAATGCCAATGCCATGAAGAATTTGGCGGGGAAAATTGCCCCCGGGAGTAATGCGATCCGGGCTCCCAGAGCCAGTCCTTCGAAGAATTGGTGGAAAACTATCACTACGAGGAGGGTGCGATAGAAGGCATCGCCAGCAACTACCAGCGTCAAACCGATCAGGACAGAGTGGAAAATGATGCCGGCTTCCATGACTGCGACCGAGAGTTGATTGTTTGCTCCTCCGTGGTGATGGTCCATGGCACGGAAAGCATCGCGGGATTCGTCCTCCCGTGTGCTATCAGGAGGAGGAGGAGAAGAAGAAGACTGATCACTCTTGGCATGGACATGCTGCTGATGTGCAGGCAGTTCGCTTGCATCGCTGCGTCGAGAAGCGAGGAATCGAGTTCCGAGATATTCGATCAGGAAACAGATGAAAATTCCTGCCATCACGATCGCAGAGGTTGTGCCTTCGTAGTCGAGCTCGCCGATGCACTCGTTGGAGAACATGAGTTTTGCATGAGTGTATAACTAAAAAAAATTGGCAGTCTGTCAGCTACAGATTCGAATGAAATGAAACAGAAGAAGAAGAAAAAGAAAAAGAGAACATACATGAATGAATGCTGTGGCTATGATGATTCCCGTCCCGAATTGCTTCACAATCATCAAGATATCGAAGCTGACCGCCGAGTTCCTAAGGCCAGGGATTTTGGTCAAGACCATAGGTGCGTAGACACCAATTCCACTCGTCACCAGCACGATAAACAGCGACCCCACGCGTAGACCGGTATCGTAATCTCGTGTCGTCAAGCCGCACGATTTCTCGCCGCTGCTGCCTCCAGTGCAGTGTTCCACTCCTGCGTGGAAATGGCAATTCGCTTCTTCTTCTTCTTCTTCTGCCTCACTGGCTTCGGCATTGACAGCCAACAGAGCAAATTCCGCACCGGAGGCGTCGAGGCAGAGAATGGAAGTATCGTGTGAATGACAGCCCGTATACGTCGCTGGAATCGGAGCCGTCGGGGTGGGGTCGAGCTGGTATTCCTCACCTTGATATGTGCACCGCACACCCTCGCCATCATGCTCGTGGCAATCCGTGGCGGATGACGCATCGTTGCTGGAGGAGGGTGCGGTTCCAGATTCGGCTTCTTCGCAGTGCTCTGTTCCATCACTATCCGTATGGCAATGGGACGATGATTCCGGCGATGTTGTGCTCTCTCCCACGGCAAGGATTACAACTTCCTCGCCTTCGGGATCGACGCAATATCTAAAGTGGTGTGTGTGTCAGCGCAATGTGACAAGGGGAAAACAAGAACAAAAACAAATTCAGAGGAGCAGAGGAAAAAATCACGTACTGTTCACTTCCATGCTCGTGACAATCCGTATACTGTGCAGGCATTTCCCCCGTCGGCGTCACATCGACCTTGACCTCTTCACCTGCTCCATTGACGCAGAGCACTTCGGTGGCATGAGCATGACAATCTGTCACTGCAGTGACCTGTGCTGCTGCCGCTGTGGTGGTGCTCGCAGGCACAGAGATGGGCACTGTCGCGGTTCCAGACGCGGTGTACGTGGCGCGAGCAGTCTCCACGCCGTTTAAGAAGCAGTATTCGACCACCTCTCCGCTGCTCTCCGATCGGTTGTGGCAGCCTGTGTATGTGGTCCGCTGTGCGTGTGCTGCGCCGAGAGCGAGTGAGAATAGCACTGCTGCTGCTCTGGAATACATTCTTCTGTTTCCTTTTCTGTGTCTTGTGTCTTGGAGGACTTTGCTGTATTTATCTCCAGTCTCAACTTTGGTTCCTCCAGTTTCAGGCTCTATATTAGCAGTGGTAATAGTAGAAGACTTCTTTCATCGATGTACCAAACGATGATTTCCTTCTTCTCGATTCGCTATGTCGTCTGGCTTCACATACACACACTCGCACTCGCACATGTATATAAATGTACTCGGCCCATTCAAGTGCAATCAAAGCAGAGAACTTGCCAGGCTAATCGACCTACCCAACTAGGGATTCCATCCCCGAACTCTGCCATAGTGTATGTATATGTATGCGCCCCCAGCATAGCGGACGATCGGTAGTGCTACTGTACTAGTCGTACGTTCCAAGCATAACCTTGATGAATATCAAGAAAATTAGACAACTGGAGGAGACGCTTGGCTTGTGCATAAAGAAGAGTTTGTCCATCTTTTAGTCGGCAAACGGTACGGATCTAGTATGGCGTGTGTATGTGCCAAGTCGTGGGATCTTCGTGTTTGGGGGGAAATATAAATACTTCCTATGTTCCTATTGCCAATTGGGGTATCGCTTGTAGTTAGATATACTGTTAATATGTGTAGTTGTGGAGAGTCCATTACGGTTATGCTGGGCGCAGGAATTTTTCCGGTCTTGGCTGAAGGTAGTGCTATAGCCTATACAGGACATGTACATAAGTTATCTGCTGGTTTTATGATTTGAAGACCTGCAACCACCCACCTTGGCCTTGGCTGGCTATAGTAATAAGGTAGTACTGCATAAAGAAGCGGGAATTGAACGTACCAGGTATCAGGCAGTATGCAGACACCAGGAATATTCCCAACATATCGTGAATTGCCATCTTCACCAGAGAAGCGTGCTCAAGACTCACGCTGCACTAACTCTCTAGGTCGAAGAGTGCACAGACCGGAACTAGACCACGAGAGAAAGAAGACCGTCCTTGGCTCTCACCAACGACTTAGCATGCTTGAACACCTCCTCGCCAATGGCTGAACTCTTCACATGCCACGGTCAACGCGCATACACCGTGATGGACGGGACCAAGAAGGCATACCGCATAGTCGCTGCATTAGGTGATGAGAATGGCTTGGTCGAGGTGAATGACGATGACTGTCTACCATTTCCCATGGCGGATGGGCCCTGTGAGTCCAACGGGCATGTATAAAAATCCAGCAGGCCCGTAGTCGTGTTCCTACTCCGCAGGCAGCGAGTTCTTCATTCAGTATCTCCATATATCCACACACCTCTAATCCTCCTCCATGTTCACTCTCGCAGCCGTCCTCGTCGGGGCCCTTGCGGTATCAGCGGCGCCAACACCCGAGCAGAAGCGTCAAGCCCCCTTTGCAAGTGTTCAACTGCCATGGAATGCAGGAGAGGTGACCGAGTTCCGTATTCACAACAGCTGCAACGCATCACAAGAATACCAGCTCCGACAAGGCTTGAATGAGGCCATTGAGCTCGCTCAGCATGCCAAGGACCACATGAACCGTTGGGGCAACGAGAGTAGCATCTACCGCAAGTACTTTGGCAATGCTCCCACTGCGGAAGCAATCGGAGCCCTCGACGTTGTCGTGAATGGGAACAAAGCAAGCTCCATCTTCCGTTGCGACGATCCAGATGGGAACTGCGCGTTGATGCCAAGTGAGTCCTGACCTGACTTTCCATCCAACTTGGCTGCCCGAATGCAGCTGACACAGAAATTGCTCAGCGTGGGCTGGTCACCATCGTGGTAGTAACGCCTCGCACGAGACCGTCATATGCCCGACTTCATTCTTCGAACGTCGTCCCCTCTCCACCTTGTGCGCACGAGGCTACAACGTTCGCCAATCCTCTCGTGTCGTCTTCTGGGCCTCGGATCTCCTCCACCGCATGTACCATTTGCCAGAGATTGGACAAGGTCACATCGACCACTTTGCCGAAGGCTATGAAGGCATCCTCGAGGCTGCAGCCAGCGGTAGCCCGAACGTCACCCGCGACTCTGATGGCCTGCAGTATTTTGCTCTTGAGGCTTATGCATACGACATCATCGCGCCAGGCGTGGGTTGCCCCGGTCCCTCTGGCCCACCGAGCAGTACTACTTCTTCTTCTTCAGCAGCAGCACCAACAACTCCTACTGCGACCGCCTCGACCACCGCCTCGACCAATGGCCCGACCACTGCCAGTACATCTACTCCTGCAGCTGCTGCCGATACCAGTATACCAGACGTAAGTGATGGCTTTGCGTTGGATGCTCGAGATTGTTGCTGACCTGTTACCTTGTGCAGAATTGTCACGCACACGCTGACGGCTCACTGCACTGTACTTAAACTAGAGCCCCGAGAGATCTTGTCAGATGTTATGATATACGATTATGACCAAAATGCAATGTATAAACGAATAGGTACCTTAGTTTTAGATGTTAGCCGCAAAGAATAAAAGAGAAAGTCATCACGATCTTGTTGTGTTTCACTCCCATTGACTGTACTTCTGGCTTGCAACATCCGATCCTACCAGGTACATGTAGATCGTGGTTCCTGCAATCATATTAATACAACAGACCCATGTTGGCGACATTAGATCACGTTTCCTCTGCAACACCAAGGAGGGTGCAAGCCATGTGGTACTGAGACCGCGATCGACTAGTAGTCAACATGAATGCTCACTCCAAGTTCTCTGATCTCTACACTCAGGCGGGTAGGTACAGGTAGGTGAGATAGCCCCATTTCCTATCTGGCTCTCCAAGCAAGATGGCCGAGCACTCTATACACGGAGTAAGCATAGGTAGGTACCTAGGTACGTCTCAGAATGCCGCCGACTGTAGGCGGGGCCTCGTATGCACACAATTCCTCCTTTGGCCACGCGGAACCCTACTGTTGACAAGGCACAATACCTACATGACCCTACGTCCTACGTAAATTCGTCGGTGCCTTACAGCGAACATACAGATCTCTCAACCAGCACATGCGGCCCACATGAGCTCCATGGCTGTGGACCAACTCTCTTGGGATATTCCATGCAACCCAATCCATTAATCCTTCGCGGCAGCTTTTTTGGTTCTTATCTCCACCAAAAGACAGGGAAGAAATGTTTCCATCTCCCCGAGAAGCGCAATTTCAGCTTGGAAAAAAGTGTCCCCCCAGAGTGAAAAACAAAAAGAAAGAAAAAAAAGCAATGTGGTGAGCACGCTCGGTGGGAAAATCATACCACCGCGGGAGAAGATCGGAGCCATAGGTAGCCAGAAACGAAAGTCGTTCCGTTCGTGTGTGTGATACGAGGTCGGACAGTACCTACGTGTGAAGTGTACGTAGTCTTTCTAGGAACATGTTGGCAAAGCTATCGCAGAAGTGGGACGAGAACGAGATGATGAACACGGGTCAGACACAAAAAAGAAAAGCTGTAGCCTACCTATCCGCGTGGCATTCGATGACCAAAAGGAAGCCAGCGTGTTGCGTGGACACCATACCTGCTGATACCTTACTGTAGAATTGAGATGGATGGACGGGCGGTCGTCGTCGTCGTACGTGTTACAGGGAGGGAGCAGACCCATGACTTAATATTTGACGTCGAGGGACGCGTGAGACGCCAAGACCCACCACCAACTGTCGATCACGTTCGCGGGGCCTTTTGTCTGCAACTGCTGTAACAGCGGTATAGGGGGTCACAGAGCAGATCGTCCGTGCGACGTATTCAGAGCTGATGAGAATGGTAATTCTGAGAGATTCCCGCGGGGCACATGTTCAAAGTCGGTGACATTTGTGTAGATAGATACCTTATGGAGATACCTATTCAAAGTGGAAGCCAGCGGAGCCGCGATAGCCCTCATGTAGGGAAGAGTGTTAAGAGGTAAGGTAGGATTGATTATGTATGCTTTGCCGTCGTGACGCGTCCACACACTACTATTGATGCCAACTCCCGTCTTTTTGTGGTACCCAGGCATATAGACGCATATGACAGACGCGTAGAGCAGATAATAAACCCCCCGAGAGGCACTGCACTAGGAGGGGCGTACTACCAGTCCTAAGGAGTGAAGAGAGCCGCGGTTCAACTTGACTCTCTTTCACTCTCTACTTTTAAGCCCTAGGTAGGGACTCGTCGACGGCCACAGCAGTGCCAAGGGAGTAGGCGAGGTTGCATTGCTTTGGCGCTTGGCGTGCTCGATTGCCTCCAGGGCTCATCCGACAACAGACGTAGGCGGTAACGTGAGCAGCACAAGGCCGAATAGGCAGACGGCCAGAGAGGTTATTGTAGAGGCGAGGGCGGACGTAGTAGCAGTGGTGGTAGGTAAGGTAGTGCTGGTGGAGGCGGCGGCGGCGGCAGAGAGAGGTGTACGTATACTGTCCCAAGTGCGCGTAATCCCTGGGCATCTAGAAGACGTGCTGTAGGGATGAATCGTGGTCGAACGCACGGACGGGCCAGGGACGCGTCAGCCTGGAAGTGCTTTAGTGCTACGGCTGGTGGGATTCTTGTGTGTCTTTGACCTCCAAAGGAGCCCACACCAACACCCACCCGCCCGACCTCACCATCGCCTCCATCTCCACCACCACCACCACCACGACCTTCTTTTCGCACGTCGCCGCCGCCGTCTCTGCAGCACCGTGCTGCACTCACCCACCGCGGCCTCTGCAGTGCTGTTGTATGCTGGCTTCACTACTGCTGCATTGCTTCGACCGACGGGCGCAGCACACCGACGAAGGCGCAGCACACAGACCCTTGTTTTGATCGACGACCTACACTCCTTCAACCAACCACTACGACTGCACTTTTCCGTCACCTCGAGCCATCGAACATCGACTCCTCGACACAATCTCCCCTTCTCTCTGACACCATGGCGGATCCCAGCCAGAACACCCACCGCGGTGTACCGCGACGAAAGCCCGTACCACGACCGTCGGCGCAGCCGCTTCCTGAGACGTGGGCGGCGGATCTCACGATGCAATTCCGACGGACGCTGTCGACGAAGCGCATGAATGAATTGAGCAGGAGGCCAGCGTCTATGAGGCGATCATCGTCGCGGCGGACGGAGCTGGTTACTGTTTCTTCGCCTGCCCCGCCGGTTCCCTCACGCGATGCGCCCGCACCACCTGTGAGGGAAGCACCCGGAGCTCCACAGGAGGGTATTCAGCGGCAACAGTCACCACCGCCCGAGTATGCATCGCTCCGAAACATTCCCAACATGCCGACCCCGCCCACCGACCCCAAGTCAATACGCTTTCGACACATGCTTGTTTCTTTGTCAAACACACCTTGCAAATGGGAGAATCCGGGACTGCTAGACGACGCACTCGCTAAACTACCACTCCAACGGATATACGATGAGGCACAAGAGGAATCAGACCTCTACAGGGCCGAAGCGGCATCGCTAGGGCCGAACACAAAGCCGGCATGGGGCTACCAGGACTGCGTGATTCGAGCCATGATGAGATGGTTCAAGGAGGACTATTTTGAATGGACTAATAATCCCAAATGTTCGACCTGTCACCAGCCGACTATTGGACGAGGTATGGTGGCACCGCTACCCGAGGAGCAAGCTTGCAGTGCATCGAGGGTCGAGCTGTACCAATGCAGCAATGCTCAATGCCAGTCTTTCGAACGCTTTCCCCGCTACAATGACGCCTTTGTGCTGGTCGACACGAAGCGAGGCCGCGTGGGCGAGTGGGCTACGTGCTTTGGCATGCTGTGTCGCGCGCTGGGCAGCCGAGTCCGCTGGGTGTGGAATGCCGAGGACCATATCTGGACGGAAGTGTACAGCACACACCGCAAGAAGTGGGTGCACGTCGACGTGTGTGAGGGAGCGTGGGACGCGCCTCTCCTCTACACTCAAGGTTTGTCCAGCCCCCCACTGTGCCTGTGTGTCGGTCCTTGCTAATGTCAGTCGTACAGGATGGAACAAGAAGCTGTCGTACTGCATCGCCTTTTCCGCCGATGGATGTCAAGATGTCACCCGCCGCTATGTTCGGAATGCAGAGCAAGCCGCACCTCGTGCTAAGTGTACGGAGGGCGTGTTGCTCCACATCCTGGGCGAGATCAAGGCGATGCGCCGCCGTGACATGGACAAGCAAGAACGATTCCGTCTCAATGCGGAAGACATGAAGGAAGATGCCGACTTCCGTAAGATGATCATCGAAGCTCTCGCGTACAACGTCAGCCTCATACTCCCTGGTGGCGAGGGCGAGAAGAGTGGTGGGGGTGGCCGCGATCGGACTGGAATCGACCCTGACGCCATGAAGGCTCTCGAGAGTGGGCAGGCGGAACGTGCGCGACAACGCGTGACATCCAACAACCACCACCACGCGCAACAACAACATCATCAACAGCCGCAACAGTAACATGGTCGTTGAAACATGACGTCGACCTGCGCATACACATACCTCTTCTTCTTCTTCTTCTTCTTCTTCTTCTTCTTCTGCTTCTTGGCCTTTCAAGGGAAGGCCAGCCAGCTATTTGAACCCAAGTTGTTACGATGGAGCATCGGCGCTTGGTTTGATGCAGCACTGGGATCTGCTGCGGATACGTTTTTTTCACTTTCGTATGTCTCACCACGATACCGCACACGGCCGATTACGGCAGATTCTTTTTTTGTTCTTTTTCATATGTGCGTTAGACTAGCTTTTTGTGTATGTGTGATATTTGGCGAGGAGTTTGCTGCGAGCATGGCGGGCACCATCTGATCCGCGGCGGCAATGATGAGATGTGTGTGTGTGTGTGTGTGTGTGTGTGTGTGTGTGTGTGTGTGTGTGTGGGCATGCATCGCGGATGGATGGTTCCTATCTTAATGCATTTCCGTTACATTACGGGATGATGGTGGAGATGGGATGATACCTCTTTGCGGATATGCTGATATGGGAGGGAAGAGGTGCGGCCTTGGGGACGGGCGAGGACATGGAGCGATGATGAAAGTGCTCTATTTTAGTGTGTAGTCGCGAGGCTGGGACGCATTGGATGTCGAGACGATGAACGAACCTAGCAGCAGAGCGTGCGGAAGCGCACTGGATGCCTGCATCTGCCATTCTACCATTGCATGATGCAGAAAGTGTTTTCGTTCAGCTTCCCGACCCTTTCATCATTGCCTCTTTTCCTATTTTTCCCATTTCCGTGCCCCATGTCTCCTCTATAGGTCGGTACCTAAGGTAAGGTAGGTCAGGTAGGTAAGCTACAGTACTGAGTACATGTAGGTCAGACAACTACATGTATGTAGGTACATAAGGTACCTACATGATTAGTCAGTGTCCTAGTGCTCGTGCTCCTCCACCTCGCCTAAGATATATATACTTCTACCTCAGGTAAGGTGGGTTACCTACTACCTCTGCTGTTCCCTACAGTACCTACATGTACTCTTCTACTAAACTACAAAGGTGGAATAATGGCTTGGCTAGTGCATGGGTGTGAAAGTCTTGAAGCAAAAGCCAAGCCAGGCTGACGCAATCCTCCCGTGTGTCAGCTTGTCCTTTCACAGGCTTCAGGTTCCTACTGTGCAGTGCAACAGTGCAGCAAACCTGTTCTATTCTTGGCCTCTTTGTTTCTCTCTCTCTCTCTCTCTCTCTCTCTAGAGAAGAAGAAGAGGAGGAGGAGGGGGATGGAGGTGGAAGAAGCAGAAGGAGAAGAAGGATCTCAGATGTCAATTTATAGGAATGTATCAGCAGGAGGTGACCGTTGCCAGGTCATCGTCATCATTATTATCATATAGCAAAGAAAGCCTGATCGATCTCTAGGTTATATTTAAAATGATGATGATGATGATGATGGTGCACGGCTGAAGAAAGAATACAACCTTGGAAAATATGCTGGACTATCGATATCAGAGGCAGTTAATCATACCTACCTAGGTACCTTACCTAGGTGCCGTACCTTAATCTCACAAATCCTTCATTTCCATTGCACGTTGGGACAAACGGCAGATGGTGGTCTGTTCTGTAATCATTGCCTGATCAGTGTAATGGATGGCTACCTGTATGCAAACAGGCGACCAGCAAACGAATCCTTTCTCTCGGTCTATATGTGTGTGTATGTGTGTGTGGAGACCGAGACAAGCGTGTGCTTGTGACGCGTCTCGCGGCGAGCTTGCGTCTACAGCCCAGCCTCCAGCCCCCCAGCCCTCAGCCCCAGCCAGCCAGACAGCCAGCCTGAGAACAGAAAAAGAAGTGTCCTTGGACTAGCTAGTAGGTAGCTACAACAACTAAGGCGTCGGGTGTCAGTGTCAGTGAGTGAGTCCGGAGAATTGAAGATGGAAGCGTGACCTGGTAAACAACAATATGGTAGGCAATAATATACCGGGGCCATACAATGATGGTGAAAGTAGTCACGTGGGGGTCAAGACAGAGAGAGAGAAACGGGAGTGAGGTGGGAAATTGGCAGGGTCTACGGGAGAACTAAGCCTAGCAGGGAAGTGGCGTGTCCAACAATTGCGCAGCTGCTTCAAAACATTGGATGACGGGAGAGATGCAACGTTCGTCGCCTTTGCTCAGCCATGTTACTGCGTACTACTGACTACGACTACCTACCTCCTTAGTACATTCCATCCTCATCCCATCATCCATCATGGACTATTCGGCGCATCTCTGCTGTGCACATACAATAATATGTAACCTTGGCAGTTTCAGGTAGCTATAACATTACATCTACCAACCACCCACCACCTTGCTCTCTCTTCTTCCTCTTTCTCTTCTCCTACTACCACCACCACCACCACCTTCACTCGTTACTCGTTGTTGATTCGTCCCGTCACAATACCGCCAAAATGGGTAAAGCAGGCAGAGTCGCCTGCATCTTCATCCCCATGGCCCTCACCATCGCTTCCTTCATCTGCGCCATCCTCCTCCAAGTCGCCGGCTGGAACACCCTCGACTCCTACCACTTCTTCAAAGCCAACCTCACCGACCTCCACGCCGATGGCTCAGCCTCGACCAACACCGCTCTCACCACCGCCATTGGCAATATCAAGACCGCCGGGGGCATTGGCGACATCTACGAGATCCATCTGTGGAACTACTGCTGGTCCAATCAGACCGACGGCAGCGACAAGGACTGTACCAGCAGAAAGAGCGGCTTCGTGTTCGACCCCATCAACATTTGGGGCCTGGAAACCGATGATACCACAGCCACAAGCACTTCTTCGTCCGACAACGCCCTGGAGAGCGCTGTCGCAAACATCAAGGACAACTATGACGAATATGCCGACAAATTACTCGGGAGCAGTGGCAAGAAAGCCCTGAGCGCCTACCGCAAAGTTGCGAAATGGATGGTATGCAGATCACCCACAGAGAGATCCTCTCTCCCTCCCTTCCCCGCGAAATATGATACATGAGAACTAACACCCGCCGTCTGCTCTCTTCAGTTCATTGCCTACCAAGTCGCCTTCTGGACCAACCTCGCAACCATCGTCATCGGCCTCCTCGCCATCTGTTCCCGCTGGGGATCTCTCCTCACCTGGATCCTCTCATTCGTTAGCACACTCTTCACCTTTGCCTCCGTCCTCACCTCCACCGTCCTTTTCGCCGTTCTCGTCAGAGCCCTCAACGAAGTCCTCGAAGACTACGGCATTGTGCTCACACAAGGCCGCAACGCCCTGATCGCCGGCTGGGTCGGTGTGGCTTTCAGCCTGGCTGCCACGTTCTTCTGGGTCTTTAGCATTTGTTGCTGTTCGGGCAGGAGCAACCCACACCACAAATCCAACAAGGGTGGCTTGTGGAATGCCGAGCCCAAGGGAATGGGCTACCGCAATGACGACGCCTTCTCCGTTAATCGTGGTGGGAGAGAAGGCGTGAAGGCGGAGAAGACGGGCGGAGACTACACGAGAGTGGCTTCACCGTACGTGGGAGATTATGAGAACAACGATCAGCTGCCGTTGCATGATTACGCGCAGCCGAGTCCTCATGTCGGTGGCGGTGCAGGAGGTGGAGGAGGACTCCATCAGGGATACGAGCCATATAGGCATGCATGAGGACGCGAGCGGTGATGAGACATTATTGATACCTGCAGCGGGAATGATTTTGGTCTTGTTTTTTTGCGTTGGCTTCCATGCATGCATGTAGATTTGCATGGGACATTGCGATGATACCACGACAGCGACAGTAACGGCCCCATAGCAGTGCACTATGGTACCAGTTTTACTTTTTTTTACAAGCCGAATACCACGAGGTACGGGTCTGTGCATGTGCCATGACCTCGATCCTTCGTCCCCTACCTACCCACTGCACCATGTGCCGACCAACTCAAATTATTTCCCACCTGCCCTCTTCGCGCCCTCCAAGATGTCCCAAATCGGTCGCTCCACCACCACGACCTCGATCGGTAATCCTCCAGCTTCTTCTCCTGCTCCGTCCTTGATACCTGCATCATCCTCGAATGGCACCACTCCCAGTATGGGTCGGTACTTGAACGTGCAATACCATGGCCTTCCTCCCGCGGCCCCCTCCTGCTTTCCCGTCGTGGCAGCAGATACATGTAGTAGTGACCCACCAGACTTGCCCGGCTCCTCGTCCACACTCTTCGCTCGTGTCAATCGGAGCTGCTCCTCCTCCTCCTCCACCATCATATCGTCGTCCCCGCCATCATCCTGATCAACCACTACATGTGGTCCTGCTCTGCCTGCTTTTCTACTGCTGCTGCCCACATCAAAATGGATCGACATCTCACTTCCATTCTCGACGCGCAGTACCTTGCCCGGTAGACCCTCACGATCGGTGGACAGCGTCTTGCCGCCCGCCCCGCTCGTCTTGAGTCGCTTTGCTGTTTGCTGCACTTCACCATCAGCGCCACCACCCTGACTTTGTCTGCGTTTCTTGCTAGGAAGATCTCCAGAGACATTGAGCATGAAAATCCAATACGATCCATAGAGCCAGATGCGATGGCCTTGTGCGGAAACGTCCCACACGGCGTCGATGACACGGTCGCGCATCCGGTGGAAGTCCTCGGGCAAGAGCGACGTGGGATTGTTGCGACTCCATTCGCTCAATCTGCCATGGAGCACATCGTATTCATACATCTGGTGCTTGGCAGTCATGATCCATAGCCGGTAGGGCCCTGGGGGCATTTCGTGTGAGTGTGCATGAGGATTATTCCGAGTCGAGTGCACGCCAGGATTCCCATTCACCTGTTGACCACTGGATTGCGCAGAGGTGGCAGCTGGCCGGAAGGACAATACGAGAGGTGCACTGTCCAATTTGGGAAGCAAGTGCGCGGACGGGTTGTCGACCCAGTGTTGACCGTAGTAGACAATGCGCTCATCGTCGTCATCGTCATCATCTGAGCTCTCTGTGGAAGCTTCATCGAGGGAAGCAGCTTTTATGGAATGAGCCGATGCGGTATCGATTGCTGGTGCTGTGGGATCCTCGTGACCCTCCAACACCCATGTGTCTAGCTGTCCAGAAAGATCGCTGGCAGCGAGCACGCAGCTGTCAGAAGAAAACGCGACGCGACTAATGGTCTGATCATAAGCCCTGAACGCATCAACCGATGCCAGTCTCCGATGTTGCCGCTCAAGCTCCACCGTACGATCCAGGATTTGCACATGCTTGGGCTTGTCCAAGGCTGCGGCAGTGCGGGCAAGATGCACCTCATTATCAAGCTGAACAATAGCGAGCCACTTGCCGTCCGGCGAGAAGCGAAGCACACGAGCCCCTTTCGAGGCCACTGTGCTTGGCACATCCAGCTTGCGTGGGGCAAGTGCTTCCGAATCTGGTCGTCTGCGTAAATGAAAGGCCTTCACTCCCGTATCGGTCGCGGCAGCCAGAACCTTACCATCGTCCGAGATGGCGGCACTTCTGATGGCTTGCTTGCTGTCGAGTACAATCTTGGCGACAAGCTTTCGGGGCGGCGTGGGCTCGGGGGTATAGTCTAGTGTCTGTGACTTGGCAATCCGCCACACGCTGATGCTGTTCTCGGCCCAGCTTACCAGTAGTCTCGCATGTCGAGCGCTGGTGATGGGAGGCTGCTGCGGCAGGTGCGGTAGAGTCTTCGATTTCTCTTTGCCATATTCGCGCAATGGTGTTACGATCGGAGCGAGATCGCCACCACCAGAGACGACGACACTCATCCCATTGCTGTCGTATGCAGACATGGCCTTGACTTCGCTCTTGGTATGTATTCGTCGGTGGTGCGCCTTGGCCCACGATCTTCGACCGGCAGGATTCATAAGGTTATGGTACACGGCGACTCTGCCGTCCAGGCTGCCCGTGAAGATTGTTTTCCCGTCTTCGCTGGTAACAATGTCGATGCAGTCGGAGTCATGGCCTTTGACGCGTTGAACCAACGAGTACGACCTCGCATCCCAGAACACCACATCTCCGTTCGAGTCTCCAGACACGATATCTCCATTCGGAAGGCATTTGACCTTCCACACAAACTTCGTCTTCGGGGCGGGCGCAATGCCCGCGCCCAAGCTCATGGTCCTCAGAACATTGCCGCTTCGTGTGTCCATAACCCGGATATTGCCATCTGCGAAGCCCGCCACGATGCGATCGCTGGTCTGGTATGTGATGCTCATGCACCGCGCCTTCTTGCCAGACACGCGGGCCACGAAGCGCTGGAACTGAAGGTCGTTGTCCGCGGTCGAAAGAAGCACAATTGAGCCGTCGTGACAGCCAGCGACCAAGTCTTGCGATTTCTGCTCCTCCTTGCCGCCCAGCAGTCGTCGGGGCTGTGCGGCAAGACACCATGCCTCACTGAAGTTACCAGTGCTCTTCTTCTTGGGAATTCCTTTTTCCAGATCCCATTCAGTGATATCTGGCGAGGACGCGATACTGAACAGTCGGTGCTGTCCTAGCACTGGCCGTCCTTCTTCATCGGTCTCGTCCGGTTCGCGAGTCCACAGCAACCCGTCCACACTCTTGCTGCTTTCGCCGAGAAATACCGTCTCCTGCACCCATCTGCCACCCAGAGGGTTCCAGATCTCGATGTGACCATTGTCTCGTCCCACGGCCAGTCTCAGCGTGGGCTGCGGGAATCCGGTGGGCAGCTTTTCATCGCACGATCTCGTGAAGGCGACAGCGGTGATGGGTCGCACCGGATAGGAGACGAAGCGGGAGCGATGAACGTCCATGGCTGCAGATGCTCCTCTATGTCGACATGGTTGCGCGTACTTGCAATTATGCTCGCAAAGTCAGTTAGTGTGTGCGTGCGTGCTCTTCTGACTTCTTACCTGCCTTGTGGTCGAACTTTTTCGCCAAGCTCCATTCGCTTATTTGCCGCTAGCAGCCACAGGTGGCGGTGCATTAGCGCTAGCTTCCAGCTTCCCGCTTCCCGCTGGGTGTGGAGACGCGTGCCGGACGCCAAGAGCACTAGAGTTTGAGACTCGGGAGTCGGGACAGAGCCAAACATCCGTTTCTGGCAGTATGTGCACCATATTCGGCGGTGGACAGGCGCGCGATTGCGGTTTGCGCAGGAAGCAGTGAGGCATGATTGCGCTCGGTCGAGAGTGGAGGAGAGGAGAAAAGAAGAGGAGGAAGATAGGAGCGGGGCGGAGCGGAGAGGAGGAGAGGACGGTAAGGTACATGTCGATAGACTATACCTCCTAGTATAGTGGATGAGAAGAGAGTTGGCCCAGTATCACGCAGGCCGCCGCAGTGACTCCATTGAGCACGCAGCAACGCAGCGCCATGGCCCATTGATGAACCTCGTTTCTCCTCGCTGAGTCGCTCCGTGACCCGTCGATAGAGATGCAGTGCGTGGACCAGGATCAAATTGCACTTCTCATTTCGCCAGCGCGCACGGATCGCACATTCGCATCCAAAACGGCAGCCCGAAGGCGCATTGAGTTGGACGTCTAGGCTGGAAGCAGGGATAGCGCAACGTGGTGCACACTGCACAGCATGTCCTGGCCCGCTAGCGTGAGTGTCGCGACTGTCCATGCGCGGGAGTGGGAGTGGAGAACGCCTCTCCTCTCCTCCTCCGCCTAATTGCTGGGGGAGGTCTGTAGGTACCTGTACCTCAGGTACTACCTTACCTGTACCTACTACCTGTACCTACCTACTTCCTACCTTGTGCCTACAACCTACCTACCTTAACCTGCGACCCTCCTACCGATGCCCTCGCCCTATGCCTCTCGGTCACCTCGCTCCGCCGCCCAGAGGAGCGCGTCGTCCCCCGCTCCGCTCCGCTCCTCTCCTCCTCTCGCTCCTTCCCTCCTCTTGACGAGCCTGGTCCGCCCGCTCCTCCGCCGTGCTAGCCCAGCTGCCCCTCGACGACGTGTGCCGTCGTAGCGACCAACCAACCAACCAACCTACCTACCTGACCTTCGCTCGACCTACGACCACCACCGCCTCCACCACGGCATCATCACCATCATCATCATTAACATCACCATCACCATCACCCACAATCGTTTTTAGAGCGCGGCGCAGTCGAGCTGCACATAGCCAGCTCCCAACTCACCCTGCTCCTCCTGCCGGCCTGGGTCCGACGTCCGTTCGTTACAAACAGCATCTACCGAGCTTCTGCGAAGACGTCCATTCCTTTGCCCTTTCATCCCGTCTGTTGATTCGAAATCATCAGCAGCGAAGTCCTCCAAACAGCAGGCTTCCTTATCATCCGGTGTCCCGGGACCCTTGACGGAAACAGCCTGACCGGCGGACATCATTACCATAATACATATTGATCCGGACCGTAGTGCGTGGCACAGTATTGCATAGGGAGGTGCGTGAATGCGGCTATGGCTCCTCCGAGCAAGCGGCGGAAGCTATCGAGCTCAGGCAGTTCAGCGAGAATATACAGGGACAACAGCACTGCCCTAGACACATTGCCGTCATTCTCGCACTCTGTCCAGTCTATGCATGGATGTGCCACTCCCGATTCACCCCAATTACAGCACAGCCCGACCCCCACTGACAACGCCTTACACCACGAACTGAAGCGAGACGCCGTCGAGGGAGTCGACCACTTCGCGGGCATCGCCCCCCGGCAGGACTCCTATACTGAGCTCCCGACTACGATGCCCACGTTAGGACCAACTCTCGGCATACAGACCTTTACGGATGCTTCGACGACACTCACTTACACCCCTCCGGCCCTCCCATCGCTACCCACACTGCCCAGCATACCTGGCGCAACCACATTTTCAAGTACAACTTTGACTTCTTCGACTTTAAGCACTCCGTCACCAGACCCCTACCCAAGCTCAAATGGAAACTTATCATCATCGTCATCACCATCATCATCATCATCGTCGTCGTCGACAACAACAACGATTCCAGGAAACATCACTTCTTCCACGAGTGCTAGCTCAAGTCTTGTGTCCTTAAGTATGTACTGCCGTTTGTATGCCATGATGTGATCAAGCACTGATCAGCACACAGCCAACGTCCCGATAGGCAACAACGGCACGATCGCGTCGAGAACGGCCGTCACCGTAACAAGTTCCGTCAGTAGTACATTGTACTACACCACTCTCGAGGACGGAAATGTTTCGACAATCACTCTCTCTAGTGGTACGTTCACGACGATTGTTGACGGTGAGGTGTTCACTGTGACTGGTAACTCCGTTTACTCGGACTCCCAAGCCCCACTACAAAGCCCAACATCGACGACAACATCCGATGGCCAGAGTACAACGTCAACGTCTGCTGTTTCAGGTGCCGGTGCACCTCAAACCTACGGAACGCCGGCCAATACCGGAGCTGCTGGATCCACAAGCACAGATACTTCCAATACTGACGATAATGGCAACCACAATAGCACGCCGCCCGCTGGCACCATAGCTGGCGGCGTTGTGGGAGGCGCAGCCGGCCTTGCCGTGATTCTTTTGATTGCCATGCTTTTCGTTCGGTGGTATCGAAGAAGAAGTCAAATGCGCCATCAAGCTCTGCCACCGGGCACAGCTGGAGGCGGAGCAGAGCAATCCAGAAGCGCACCTGGTATGGCAGAGCGTGCTGGAATGGCACCGTTTGCTGCTGCAATTCCAGCGCTCTTCAGGCACCAGAATCCGAGTACGGAGCCTGGGCAGTCTGAACGAGGCTTCACCCGCGTATCGGGGCGGAAACTGCCTTCACAATGGAGCGAAGGGATGAGTAGCAGTCAACTGCCAAACATGCCTCAGACAATCGCGACATCAGGAGAAGGGAGTGCTGGAAGGAATCTCGATAATACCTCATTTTACAGGAACAGCCCGGCCTTTGATGGCGGAAATGACGGGGATCTCTCTCCGAGTGCCGCATCGCCAGAGAGCATAGACGGAGGACCATTGCGGACCAGTGATCCTGGATCCGTGATGATGATGTCTCGTGGTCCAGAACGGCAACCTGAGGTTCATCATGGTAGCCCACTGCAGCGACCTGGACAGGCTAGCACATTGTCAACATCACCATCGGCCGCAAGTGCATTAGGACGAAGCGAAACTCCGTCCTCCATGCTTGAGCCGAACCGTAGCAGCCGCTTCACTGAGGATATGTGACTAGAGCGGCTCTATTCGTTCTACGAAGAGACTGGAACGGGTGGAGCCGTAAACAGAGAGTCTGGAAGGAGTAGTTGTTACAGCCCCATCGACGAATAATGGGCGAAAAAAAAGGAAAAAAGAGGTCGGGCCAAAAGGAGGTGCAAAGCGGCCGTCTACCAAAATTGATTCTTCAGCGAGGAGGCCGACAGAGAAGGAATCTCCTCGCTCAGGTTGCACCACCATATTATGATCTTATGGTGTGGTATGACTTTTATTTCACTACCAGAGCATGCATCACTTGCTGCTGCTGCTGCTGCTGCTGCTGCTGCTGCTGCTGCTGCTGCTGCTTGTCTACCATCTGTGTGCACATTTGGAGTGCACAAGAAGACATGATGTTCATATGAAGATGAGAAGATGGAAAACGGGCCATGCCTCCTGAAATCGAGGAAGAAGGCTGTCCTGATTTTGTAATGTTTTTGTATAGTCTTGACAGTCGAAGGGAACGTGTCTGAGAGAGTATCATACTCAGAAACCATCGCCTTCTGTCCATTTCCGCCCGCTCTCAACCGCTCGCTGCTTGGGGTCCATTCCTCTAGTCAAAGCATCGTCTCTGAGCCTTTGCATTTCCGCCGCCAAGGACTCAATCTTGCTTTTTAATTCCTTGCCCTTTCCCAGCTCCGGCACAGCGACAGGAGCCTCTTCGTTCAACGACCCGTCCACGTTTTTCGCCTCATCGATCGCTTTCGCCTTGAGCTCCCACTTTTCCAGCTCCTCGTCCAGCTTGGTCTTGTGATATTTGAGCTCAAAGTAATAGTCAAATGCTTGGGGAGAACCAAAACACAAGCCATATCCATCGCAATAGCAGGCGCTCATGCTGGGACAATGCACCGGGGCGTCGGTGAAGATGTATTGCCAAATATGCTCAAAGACTCGACCGCTCAGGTAGTCGGTCAAATCCGTCCGGATCAGCCAATCTCGCATGCCAATGTATTTCATCTTGGGCATCGCCCGAATGCGATCCCTCGAGACGGCGAATTGCGCGCAGCATGCCTGCGCGAGGACACTCGGGACGGGATCCATGGGGAAGAGTTCACTCCAGCATTCCGCCAAGAGCACCTCCTCGGGTTTGTCGTAGTTGTCCTTGGTGGAGCCTGGATGGAGCCATTCGGGACAGCCGGGGTCCCAATGACAGCGTAGATTCATGTAGCCTTCTCGCGAGATCCTCTCGGGGCTCAAGTGACGAATCATTTGAGCAGCATCGGTATCCAGCAATTCGTTGTTGTGCCATCCATATCGGTGGGCGTGCATGAAAATACTCACATCGGGCAACTTGTCGTAAAAGTCGATGATATAGCTGAGATACACCATGACTTCGTGCCCTTTATTCTTGGGCGGATGCAGCACCCCCTTGTGCTCGCCGCTCTTCAAGTTCACCGTGTAGATAGCAGTCGTCAGCAGACCGCTGTCCATCATGTCGGCTAACTCCTGCTCGACCCATGTTGTGTCTTCAGTCTTCAGCCGTGGCAGCACCAGAGTCCTGGTGTAATTGCTCCCAGCCGGTTTTGTCTTGCCCACTGGGTAAGGAGATGTGGAATCGATCTTGGGTTCCTTGAAGACCTGCGTCGACATCCCTGCACCACCAACACCACCAACACCACCACCACCACCATCATCCTTATCCTCCTGCTCCATCCACGCTGCCATCGTGTTCCCCGTCGACCCACTGCTCCCTCCCAGGCCCGCCAACTGTGGTATCTGATGCCATGAGAGCCGGTAAAAGACTGACACCAAGATGGTCGAGCTGAAGCAGGCGACGAGAATGAAGAGAAGGAATCGACGGAGCATCACTCGCACGAGAATTCGAGCCGTGGTGAAGATGCGATGCGATTGACGTGGACTGCGTTGGTATTAAGGTGTGCTCAATTTGATCTTCCCGGAACCAGCAGCAGCAGCAGCAGGCCAGTTGCCATCAGCTGCCATTGATGTAGATGTATGGATGTATGAGTGAGTGAGTGTTTGTGTGTGTGTATAAGAAGAGAGCATTATCTAGATGGATGTCTGTCTGTCCGTACTCCCGTGTCCAATCTGACCTAATCAGCTTCAGGAACACGCGGCCATGTTTCGAAGCACGCGACCGCGACGACCGACTGGAGGCTTGGCAATGTAGATCTAATACTATGAAGTTTACATCTCGTCGATTTGTCATTATTTAATCTACCTGCTGCATTCCCATGGAGGCCACAACCAGAAAGATACTACAAGCAAGCTGCTTTCGTTCGCAGCGATCAATTGCCCTCTAGGCCCTTACCTGTATCCGTCGAGTGCATTCATCTCTTATGATTTCATGCGTTGTCTCGAGTATTACAGCGTCGTGGAGTACACGGTACACTCAAATTTCACAGTCTAAGCACCAAAGCTCGAGACACGAGCCTCGCCGCGCGTTTATGATCTCAGTGCGATGAGTCTGTAGGTACCTACTATCATGGTCAGCAAGTGTATGACATTCATGAGCATGAATCAAACGCAGCAGGTTTGCCAGCCCCCTTGCCTCGCCAAAAAGGACGATGCGCGTCGATACAGTGCATATCGCCAAGACTGCTGACTCTACCAGGAAGACTGTCGTGGTCGTCGTGTGCTTTAGACGATACAAAGGCGTGATGCTGACGACGAAGACGGTATAGTTGACTTGCTGAACAGGTGCGAGCGCCGCGAAAAGATGTATGCCTCAAGGAGAAATGCGCTCCTATTGGGCGTCGAACGTACGCATACCACAAGTAGCAGTCGTAGCACATTGTCGACAATGGCGAGCCGAAGTGAAAGGTGCAGGAAAGGTGTGGCTCTGATTACTGACTTGCCGAAAAGTGTTTGGAACGCGGCCCGTGACTGAATATCGAAGAGCTGCATCACCTCACTGCCGCTTGTCGAGGGGCGTCGACGTGCCTCGCTTTTCTGATGCCGCTAATAACACATGCTGAAGTCGCACCGGGAAAAGGGAAGTTGTAGTAGTACATGGATCAGTCGACTCCAGCAGAAACTCCTCGGATGCAGTTTGCCTAGCGACTCATGCTGAAAAAAGACCGTAGCTTGCTCCGTGACGCCTGTTTTGTTAGCCCAAACGCAAGCAATGGACCTCGTGATTCTCGCGCTTAGTCGTAACGACGACGATCATCATAGCTGCGGCTCGGTGGAGCATCGCGAGGTGCGCCTGATTCTGCGCCATAGCTGCCAGCGCCATCTGCTGGAGGTGCACGTGGTGGACGTTCGCCGCCATAGCTGCCGCCTCCACGGCGATCTCCACCGTAACGATCACCACCACCATAACGATCGCGAGGTGGGCCGTAGTCATCGCGTCGGCCATAGCTGCTGCCGCGGTCTTCGTAGCGGTCGCGGTAGCCTCCGCCACGGTAGTCGTCGCGTCTACCGTAGCCACGGTCCTGTTCACGCACATCAGTCTGCAAGGCTTATGTATGAAGGCGAGTGGTATACTCACATCGTAGCGGTCGCCTCCACGACCACCAAAGCCACCACCTCGACCACCTGGGCCTGGACGTCGGTCCTCTGTTGAGCGTGTCAGCTGAGCTCGCAAGCAGGTTAGAAGGTGTCGACGGCTAGGACTTACCGCGCTTTGGCGGTCCAAAGTATTTGCCCGGCGTGGGCGTGCGAGGACGAGCACGACGGGCCTTCTCAATGCTCAGAGTGCGGCCTTCGTAGACCTCGCCTTGCAACGCCTCTTTGGCAGCGTCAGCCTCATCGGAGGTGACCATCTTGACGAAGCCGAAGCCACGGCTCTCCCGAGTGTGTGGGTCCTTCATGATGTTGCACTTCTCCACCTGACCATACTTCTCGAAGAGGCGCGAAACTTCTTCTTCGCTCAATCGCGGGTGGATACCGGTGACGAAGAGGTTGGATCCTGGGTTAGTCGCGCCGGGCTCGTCATCGTCGTCGCCGCCCTTGCGTGGTGGGCCACTGCGCTATTGTCAGCCGTGCCGACTGTGAGATCACGGCAGGTGTGGACGAACCGATCAGCTCGGCCATTCTGAGGCTCGTCGCGAACACGAATATCGCCATCGCGGTCTCTATCTGGGCCCGGCGAGCGGGAGCGCTCACGAGGAGGGTAGTCTCGCTCATCTACAGGCAACATGTCAGCGCTGGAACAATCGCGGTCTCGTCGGCGGCGGGTGAGTGAGAGGAAGAGGCTGCAAACAACGGTGCACCACAAGCCGCGTGACAGCGTTTGCAGGAAGAGCTTCGTTTCAGAGGCGCGTGGTAGGTGATGTAGCAGAATCCTCACCGTAACGCGAGGTAACGCCGTGAGTACCTTCGTAGGTGCGCTGGTCAGCGTCGTAGGTGTCCAAATCGGCCATGGCGGCGCTAGTTTAATGCGCGGCGGAGGAGGTGAAGCGAAGTCGAGCAGCTGAAGCGCTGGACGACGGGGAAGAGGCGGTGGAGGTAGATGTAGCCTTCGATGGGGGCTCTGTGTTCGGCAGGTTCAGAAGTTGCGGCTGGCGGAAGGAGTGTTGGTGTACGAAGGAAGGAGGCAGGTATTGTCGGTAGACAGGATCAGGCAGGCTCGATGCAAGGTGGTCGTAGCATGGAAGTTGGGAGACGCAGCTGAGAATGTGATGAAACGGCGGGAAGCGCGGGAGTTTCCGCTCCATTGTCCGCGTCGCGAGTGCCACACACATCTTTAATCCAACAACACGAACTAATTTCCATTCACTCACCACAACAGCATCACACGTGATTGAAACATGAGGGTACAACGTGATTAAGGACCTTCAGGCGGCATTGTTGAGGAATACAACGACTTTCTATACACCAGTACCGGATCCGCCTTTCCAACGCCGCGCTCAAATGCTATGCTGAAAAGCCACTGACTGCTAGCAGTGTTCCACCGTGCTAGTCACCCAAGTAGACGGGAACACCATACACAACCGGCGCAGCGCCATTGAGATATCTCAAAAAGCACGCGTCCCGACTCTTTGCTACAGCCTCCACTAGGCTCTGCTGTTTGCCTCCCTCAAATCTCACGCGACTACGGCTCCTAGCCGGCGTCCGTGCCGGCCCAGGTGTCTTCCGCGCTTTAGGCGTCTTTGGCATCTTTGCGGTCCTATCTGGAGTCACAGGGGCGGCCAACGTGCGCTTTCGAGGTGTTTTTGCAGGCACCTTGGTTGCATCTGCCGGGACTTGCCAGAGGCCCCATTCCTGTCCGACCGCGAGCGAGAAGCGATCAATATCCTTGTCAGTCACATCCCACAGCGTGGCAAGCACAGCCATACATTGCGAAGGATGCTCTGAAGATGCCTGGCCCGCTTGCAGGTATGCCATAGGTACCGAGAAGGGTTCGAGCTCATCGTACTCGGTTACGGCACCTGACGAACAACCCATCAGCCAGACCACCTCACTACATTTCTCCAGTTTCCTAATTGCTCTGGGGCGGATGTATTGCGACCCGGCACCGTGCCCGAAGTACAACAGCTGTGAAGACGTCCGCAGAGCAGCTTTGAATACTTCCTCACTGGGCTCGCGCTTGACAACAGAAGTCCAGGGCGTTCCATCGGCGTATGATAGCTGTGATAGCTCCGGGGCGAGTACGGCCTCCGTGCTCTTAAGATCTCCAGATGGATTCAGAATATATGCACCCGAGTACTTCGATATTGTGTAGCAGCCTCCAGTGTCATCCTGGCGAGCAGACATCCGCATGGTCATGATCCGCTCACGAAGCGTCAACATGCTGTCCACACGACTGACACTTGACTTCTCGATACATGGCATGCTCTCCCACGGGAAGGCCTGCAGGCGTCGATCGAGCACCAGTATTAGATGCGCAGCATCACTCTGCTCACCTACGATGTCATAGTATGTTCGGAGAGCATCCAAAACCTCCACAGCCATGCTGTCGAAATCGATCTCGTCGTAAGCATTCCGTTCGCCATTGAACTGCAGCATGTCGACGGCAAAGTACAACAAGTCTGCAAGAAGTTCATCGAGATCGACCTCGCCATCCAAATCCGTACCAAGGCCAATGAATAACTCGAGAATCTGGTCATCGAGGGCAAGTTTCTTGGATCCTCGAACCTTTCGAGAGGGCAAATGGCGGTCCAGAGTACTCTCGAAGGCCTTCCGGAACTGGCTCAAGCCGCTATCATTCCTATCGTGCTGAGAGAACACTCCACGGAATCCGCCTAGCCAGATGTTCTCGATATTTATGAGCAGCCCCTGGAGTCGTCTGTCTAGAGCCTCTCGTTCGCTCCACCAGTTGGTCTTTGCCCCTTTTGCGTTGGTTTCAATTGAACTATGGCAGCTATAGTTCGACAGCTCGATAATTTCCCGGAGCTCAGCTTTCCCTGCCTCAAAGTCGAAGAGACCCTCGTCATCGTCCTCAGACTTCTGGCGCGAGAAGGGAAGTCGAATCAGTAGCGGCGTTTGCCCGCTTCTATACCGAGCAACGTAAAGCTCATCACATTTCTCATTGAGACTGAGCGACACGGCTGTCCAGGGCAATGGCAGTATGTTGATATAATCGTCCTGGAACTGTCTTGCAGTGAGCTGCGGAGTAGCCTTGTGTTCGTCCAGCTGCGGCCAGAGGAGTAATTCGGATGACTGGGTGATATCGCTGTCGAGCTTGGCCGACCTGGAAATACAATGCGCCGCATGGATCCGCGGTAGCTCAATATTCAATGTCTCTTGAACCGGATGCAAGATTTCTGACGCCTTAGATGTCGCAGTAGCTGATAGTACCATCGCCGTGTCTGCAAGCAAAGCACATTGCGTATGTGTCTCGATTGTACTTAAGGGCTGTGAGCTGGTGGTAGCACTGTTGAGGCATTGTCTCGCGGTGACGAGTAGATTTATCAGGGACGCCTCATGCGAGACCTTGCTCTTAGCGACTTTGAGACCTTTCGACGCTGGTTTGTCCACAAGCTGCAGTGTGGAAGCGACACTAGGCAGTCCACGTTGCGCCGCCTGGAGTGCGGGAAATGCGAGCGTCGACTCTGCCAATGCATTGAAGGTCAAGTCTCCTTTGATGGCGACCTCTGCCTCTCGCATAGCTGCCAAGTAGCCTAACTGGCGTCGCGCAAAAGTTTCTGGGAAGATCTTGCAATAGTCTGTTCGCCAGCTGACGTTCTGTGCATCAGTACTCCCGACTTGCGTGGAGAGAATGGCATCCTGTAGCATCACTTGTGCCTCTAGCTTTTGAAGCACGTAACAAGCTCCCCACGCAGTGTTCTCCTTTGGCACTGCTGCCGCGATAGGCTTCTTGTTGAGCGGATTCGCTGTCGCGTGTACGACCTTGGCCGTCCGTCGTGTAGCTACCCTCGGTTTGGATGTCACAGCCTTCTGGCGACTGTTGACCGGCTTCTGGCTGACAGTCAAAGATGCAGTGCCAGCCTGTGTATCGTCAGGATATGTCTCGAGGCTAGAGATATATGGCTCTGATTGGATCTGTTTTACGATTGTCTCAGCTTTCCGCAAAAGTATTGATGCCTCCGCAATGTCACCAATCTTTGCACTGATCATGGCCTTGGCCCGAAGCTGGTGCGCCTTCGTGAGCGGCGACAGGAGCCTGGTGCTATCTTGCTCGTAAGCAAGACACAACTCTGCTTCTTCCACTTTCCCAGCTCTGGTAAGGAGAAGACTTCGATGGTAGCGCACCAGGGATAGCATTTCGTGCGACTGGACCTGTTCTGCGATTCTGGTTGCTTGTTCGGAGGAGTAGTTTGCCTCGGCGAAGACACCATGGTGTGTAAAGACATCCGCCAAATGCATCAGCGCTTGACACATGAGTGGAACAAGAGCCCAGAACGCCGCACCTGTGGAGGACGTCGCAACGGACAACTTGTCGGAGACGGGCCCATTTGACGTGAGGTTCAGCTTGCTGATGCCTCTGGCGAGTGTGTCCACTGGTCGTGCACCGTTCTCATTTCGTTGCAACGGTGAGGTACCAGTAGTGGGCGCACATTTCTCCAGTCCAGCCCAGATATTGTTGGCGATCTGGACAGAACGCTTCGCTGCCCGCAGGGCTTCACGAGGCTGCCCAGACACATGTAGGTACTGCGACTGCACCAGCCACCCCCGAACGTGGGCCAACCTGTATGCTTTGCTCTGGTGTGATCGAAGGGCCTGCGCGGTCAGTTGAGCGCGCACCTCGGCAGCTTTTTGTAAAGCTTTGCTGCATTTCTCCGGCTCATCGACACACAACAGATATTGAGCGGCAGTGATGTGGTACTCCAAGGCAGCGAGGCTTGCGCTATCGGCTTCCTCGACAATCTCGCGTGCTTGTTGAAGACACAATGCGGCTTTCTCTGCATATCCTAGCAAGAGGTAGCTACGAGTTGTGCGTACAAGTCCTGCGCAGATATGTTCGGGCTGGCCCAGAATTTGCTGAACTTGACACAACAAGCGTGAAAGCTTCAGTTGCGATGCGTTGTCTCCTAGCGAGCCGAAGTAGTCGCCAAGGGACGTAAGTTGTTGCGCCAGTGCTGCAGGATTGTCTACCACTCGATGCAGAGCATCCGCATTCTTGCAGCCATTCAACAATCGTTGCCAGATAGAGAGATGGGGCCCAAGAGCTTCGCTGTCAGGTTTGCCATCTTCAAAGAGGCGTGCCACTGCAATCGAGACACGTATATCGTCCAGATATGGCTTGAGACCGTCGTCGCCGTCTAGTTCATCGTCGACGATGATGCTCGTGAGGGCATGTAGTGAGTCCGAAGAGAGTAGATCTGGCTTGACAGCACGAATCCGCATGAGTCTCGCTAGCACTCGCGCTCGTCGAATCGGGTGGGCCGACGGCGCATACACCTGTGCGAGTCGAGCTGATAGCTCAGCAAGCAATGCTCCGAGCGCTTTGTCGTACTTGGGCTTATGAATCAGCTCACTTGCCTGTTCGAGCTGCCACTCTAGGACCACACCACGTTCCTCCTGTCCCAAGTTCTCGTCATCATAGATCGCGTCGACACTTCTCTCCGCAGATGTAATCGCCGCTTTCAAGACGACACCACTGAGAACTCTGCTTAGCCCCATCTCCGCTCTCGAGCATGACCAAGCTCGTGCCAGCGATTCGTGCGCCGCCCTTTCCGCTACTTTCTGCAGCATGTCGCCTCGCACTAGGGCATGGGCTGTGTCTTTCGTGACCCATTTCAGGAGGTCCTCGTTCGTTCTACTGACACGAAGAGCCACTGAGATGATGTCTCTGATGAGCGTAGGTTGTTTTCCAGGGGATAAGCGCGCATACCGAGACGCGAAGCTCGCTGCGGACATTGCGATTGTGGAATGAAGATGGCCATATTTGTCGTCGTTGGTGTCTAAGAAGCACTTGAGAAGCTGTGCCAGCTCGCCAAGCAGTGTCTCATAATCAGATGCGCTTCCGGAGAGACTCTGCTGCAACAACAAATCAACTTCCTTTGCTGCATTCAACGATCCAGTGTCTTCCTTTGTGTTGTTTTCGAGCACTAGGTTCGCGCTGCAAAATCGAGCAAGTCCAGCAACGACTCGCGCATGGTTTCGTTCGAGCCCAGTACATTGTGCATTCGCTCGCTCAGCATATAGACAGGCTTGATCAGGGTCGCCTGCTCGCTCAGCAAGTATAGACATTGTGAGGCTGATTGCAAATGTAGCACTGCAGTCTTCACTTGGTGCATCGTGGAGATCGATCAAGCCTTGGCACGCGCTCTGGCAAGTTTTTAGCATACTAGGTCCAATCGCCCCTGGTGGCAGTCTTCGGATTAAAGTATTCATACTCTTCGCCAGTGAATCGGTAATGGTCTTCTTCACATCCATGGCCTGATCACCAGATTGGAGAAGCTCCTTACGAACCGCCAACGAGAGTGCAAAGCCGGTAGCCAAAGGACCGAAAAAAGTTGCATTTGTGCCAGTACTGGAGGATGATGATGAGGATCCGAAGACTCTGCCGCCCAAGGCACGATATGCGCTGGCCACTGAAGTCGTCAATATTTCCCTCAAGGTCCTGCAAAACGTTGCAAAGACAGTGCCAAACCATCGGGGACGAGGAAAACCAACTGATCAGGAAGGCGGCGAGTCGCCATCACGACTAGCGCCACGCTCAACTTGTTCTACGTCGCAGAGAGCTCTCCAGGTTCGCTCTAACAATGCGAGCTCGGTGAAGCCTCCAAATACCAGGGAAGTTGGGGAAAAGTCGCCAGTGAAAGGCAGGACCACCGGAGCATCAACTGAAGCAGCACCCTGGTCATCGACGGCAGAATGCGCGCGGCTCGCATTTTCTCAGCTGAGGTCGGTCAATAGGGAAACGCTCGGTCTACGGGCAGGGCCAGCGTACCAATTGGAGACTGGAATGCTGGCTCTGATAAGCAGGATGATCAGCCTTGGACTGGACGGTCTCGCAGCGAGAGAGTTATGCGCAGTCAAGAAAAGCCTGCAAAGTCACAGACAATCGACGAATGCTAGGCAAACGCACGAGATCGCTAGCACTGATCGCAGAGCGACTTACGAGACGTTAGCGAGCTTGCTGAAGATTGATCTTGATCTATCGTTGCACCCAGAGATGGGACCACTTGTCATGACATACTGGTCCTACGTGCTTCATCTGCTCGCGAACTCACACAAAGCAACGGTCATCGAGGAGGCGATCCCGCATCTGGAGTTGGATCGTCCAGGGTCTGTCGTATCATCTATCGTCGAGTACGCCAAGACCATACAGGACAAAACAAAGGCCAGCAAACAGCTTGATGCCTTGTTCCACGCGCTGATGCGCTTATGCCCTAGTGCTAGCGTTAGTGCAGATGTAGCTGCGCTCGATACCGCGCGATACATCGAACCTTTGTCGGCATTCAGGGTTCATTGCATGGTTAATGTCTTCGTCGTCCGTGTCTTTGTTGCAGCAGCAGACTTGGGGTTTCGTGATGCCAATAGTGTCGCTTCCGTGCTTGTTTCTGGTCGTGTTCTGAGGCCTAACAAATGCTGTAATATGGCGACTGTCGACGATGAGGCCGTTCCATCGCGAATCGCCGCCTTCACAGCCTCCGCCCTGCTCTCGACGCTGGCCATCGTTAAGCGTACTTTGTGGTTCGCAACGTGTCCGTGGTCGTCGACATGCCTGCGCGTGATTGTGCATACAATCATACATCAAGGTATAGGTAGTCTAACGTATTGATCGGCAAAAGCTCGGCTGGTGCGTGGCGGTTGGCAGGACAACACAATGCCGCGGAGGAGATCCGCTTAGGCGGTACAGAACTTCCACCGACGGGGAGGTTTGTGAGACATTCGTATTTACTGGAATACGCTCGACCAAAAATGAATTCATCCCGATTATTTGCAACTGCGACGCAGCGCGTGCTACGTACGACATGTCGGACGAGACAGAGGCAGAGGCAGAGTGTGGCGCGTCGAACATACATGGCCACAATGCGCACGCTGTCGGACGAACAGACCCGGCTGCCCCGTGTCGTCAATCTGTCGTTCTGGTCGTCACTGGTGCCGCGGTTCCTGCGCAGAGCGACGACAGAGGAGGAGGCGGCGGCTCGGGCAAAGCGAAGAAACATTGGTGCAGAGGAGAAGCGGACGGGCCTAATCTTCCTACTGCTGGGCATCTTGGTCGGGTCGAATGCTATCAACATCATCGGCGTGAAGCGTGAGATGCTCAACTTCACACGGCAGACCGATGCGAAGCTGGAGTTGCTGCGAGAGATCGTGGAGCGCGTCAAGAGAGGCGAGGATATAGATGTCAAAAAGGCACTGGGCACAGGTGACGTAGAGCAGGAGCGGGAATGGGAGCAAGTCATTCAGGAGCTGGAGCGGACCGACATGCTCTTGGAGGGTCGGAAGAAGCGCGATGCCAAGCGGGCAGAGAAGGCTGAACAGGCACGGCTGAGAGACGAGGAGAGGGAACGCAGCAAGCAAGACGTCAAGACGACCACGGACGAGCCTCCCGCTTCGAGACCAAAGTTCCTGATGTGATCTCGCTACCTCCTACCATGTGCTTGTTAGAAGCTCATCTACAGGTTTGCCCATCGAGTGACAAGGCAGAGTCGCTCGCACTCCCTTCCTTGCATCAGCCACCAAGTGATGTTGGTGGACAGTAAAGGGACATGATTGCGGACGGGTACGATGGACTCATTCATGTTTGGCATTTTCATGGATACCTCCCTCTCAATAGACCTGCGCATCTTCGGACTTACCCTGGGACTGGTATGGACTCGCAGCGGGAACTTGCTCGCACACCTGCAGCTGGAACTTACTAGGCAGAGGCTCGGTGGTCACCATCAATCTGTCGCGGGCCGTGAGATCATACTCAGTCAGCTGTGCGCGCGAAATTTTGGCTGACCGGTCTTTCGTATGGCAACGCAAGACTACCGTTCTGCTCGTGTCATTAGGAGCGCTGCGTCCAGTGTCCAGCACCAGGGACAGCTCAGGAGGTACTCCATTTCGGTCTCATGCTTTAGCGACGGGATTCATGCCTCCATACGAGTCCAGACGCCCGCAGTTCTGACGATGTTCTTTGCGCTCTCTTGAATATGGAGCTCTCAATGAACCACAAATCAAGCAAGGCAAAAATCATCCGGGAATCGTACTGCAAGCGCCCCGATTGAGGTGAGTTCTGCACGGGTATCCTGCACGCTAGAAAACTGCAAACTCGCACTTGCTGCACAGTGCACAGAACATATGCAACGACCTTTGTTGATCTACGGAACAACCATGAGGATGGGCATGAGTTCAGTTTGGTGGAACCTGACATTACTCAATGTAGCGAGACTTCGTCACCATCAGTTTCCCCATGATTCCGTCTCGCGTCGACTCTAGAGATAAGCGGCGAAGTCGAACGCCTCAACCCCAGTGCCATTTCACGCATCAGCAGGGACCAATATTCTCATTTCAGAGCCACTCAAGTGGCAGCGGAACAGAACAAATATAGGGATTTTTGGCATAGCCATTCGGTCCAAGCTACAGATTAACCTAATGAGATCTCGTTGCCATCGCTGTGGCGACTGACTGAACGAGGGCACAATTGCTCTTTGACAACACATCAATATGTTGGGGATCAGTCTTACTTTAATGCTACTTTGTCATGGATGTAATGGACCAGTACGGTACCCTGACGTTGACTTCCCGCAGTGGGCGGATCTAGAAGCATCAAACACGCTTCACAGAACGCATCATATCCCATCCCTCTGCTTCCAAGGATGATCATACGAGTTCAAGCAATGTATTGACATGGAGTGCTTGTGGTTATGCTTCTGCTGGCGTGCTGCAGTGCCACAAGTTTACATCATGCTGGGGACAGATCGGGAAGAAGACCCTCTCTATACAGCGCAGTGTCATTAATTCTGGATTAAGTCTCAGATTCGACAGTCCAGCATCAAGATACATGTACCTGCATGGTGTGGTGATAGTGCTGGACGTTCAATGCGGATGTACACTGTGTTGGACAAAATTGGTCTTTATTGACTCCGCTCCCACCCTTCATCCAACTGCCGAGGATGAACGCTAACCTAATATGTTGTGTCCATCTACAATCTATTTCGTAATTTGCTGAAAGACATAGATCATCGGGATCGATACAGAAACAGCAGCAACCACTATCCACCATGCCCGAAATAGTCATCGACGAGAAGGATCTGCTTCTGGAACGTTACGACAATGTATTTGTTCTCACAATGCGAAAAGCGCCCGAGAACCGAATCAACAGCGCATACGCCCAGCGGTTGATACATGCCTACAATACCGTCCGCAAGCTACTGGGAGAGGACGCCGAGGGAGCAGTCATTACGAAAGGCAACGATGCCAAATTTTGGTGTACGGGACTCGAGCTAGACGAAGCAGACAAGAATCCTTATGCCAACTCCGAAGGCTTTTACCCATTGCTCGCCACTATTGTCGATTTCCCATTTCCCACCATCGCCCTGATCACCGGGCATACGTTTGGTGGGGCGGGCCCGTTTGCTCTGAGCCATGATTATCGTGTCATGAACAGCAAGCGCGGCTTCATCTCGATGCCACCTGTGAATTTAGGCTTGCATTTTCCCGGCATTGGAGCTCTTCCTCGATTGAAGCTGAGTCCGCAAGTGAGTACTGGCATTCTGGTGGAACAGAAGTTACTGCAGTCCAGTTTTCTTTTTTGTTTTTCTTTCTTGTTTTCTTTTTTTTCTTCCTTTCTTTCTATATGCTGACTGACATGTGAACAGGTAGCGCGTAAGATGCTTCTCGAGGCTCATCGCTGGACCGGGGAGCAGGCACTCCAAGACGGCATTGTGGATGAGATTGCAGAGCCGGAGAAGATGCTCGACGTTGCCTTGGAGCTCGCGAGGCGATTGGCACCCAAAGCGAAGATGGGAGTGTTTTCTCTGCTGCGGAACGAGCTGTATGGCGAAGCAGCGCGCCATTTCCGCGAAATATCTTATATTCATGGCCGACAAGTGGGGACAGTGGCCAAAGCGAAAATTTGAAGATACATGGGCAGGTACATTGACTTGATGTAAAATGGTTTCACAGTCGACTGACTCTACTACTGCGTATGGAAGACTCTGTGTACAAGTCCAATCAGGTCTGTGGCGGAAAAAGCAGCCTTCCTTCCATTCCGCCATCTTCAGGTAGGTATCGCTCGTTAGCTCTAACGTGAGCAATATGACATGGCACGCATAACTTACCAACTTGGAGATTCACTCCATTGACATGTCCACTGAGCGTTGGTGAGGCGACGACGGCAATCTGCCGAGCGATGTCCTCTGGCCTTCCGACCTTTTGTAAAGGAGTAGTCGCCAGTGCTCTCTCGACAAACTTGGTATCCTTCAACGTCTCAGCTGCCAATGGTGTGGCAACCCATCCCGGATTCACACTATTCACGCGGCCTTTGGGTGCAATGGTCACAATCTCGTTCTTCAGCGTGGGAGTGAGACCGTACATCATGGCTGCCTTTGCCGAAGCGTAGTCACCATGGTTGGCTTCTCCAAATTTCCCCGCTGTACTTCCAATGAAGATGATGGATGCAGTGTCCTTGACTGCTGGTGAACTCTGTCGTAACGCTCGCAGATAGGCCCGACAGACCAGGAACGGTCCAGTGAGGTCGACGCTGAGCGTATTCTGCCACTGCGACAATTCCATATCTGCTATATGTGCATCGTTTGCCGGCCAAATGCCGTCTACGAAATCGGTCTCGTGAGTAGAAGAAAATAGCACCGAAGGAACGCCTGGGTCTTACGATTCACTACTATGATCGAGACAGGCCCGCCGTTTCGCTCGGCAGCCTCTTCAAACAGCCGATCCACATCGTCCTCACGTCGCACATCAGCCTGCACGGAGACCACGCCAGTCAGATTGGCGAGCTCGCCGATGCGGGAATTGTAGTGCGCTGTGACACGCGCTCCCAGCTGGATAAATGTTTCCACCGTCTTGAAGCCGATGCCTCCAGCTGCGCCAGTGACGAGCACATGAACATTGCCCAAGCCGAAGTCGAGTGACATTTTGGAGTCCGCCTGCTCGTCTTCTTGATCAGAGGTGTTTTGACGTTAACTTGTCTGCTCCAGAGTTCCAGTAGTCTCTACTCTCGAGGTAGCGTCGGCACATCGGAGCGTTTCGCCAGCTTCCTGGAGCTTTATATCATTCTTCATGACATATAGAGTTCAATTATTCGCAGTGCTCATAGCACGACCTACCTAGTGAACATCGCGGTCAGACATGTTGAGGCAAAATATATGGACTGTTGGCGCTTTTGATTGCCGCCAGAATAGGAACAATGATGCTTTTTGAGACGTCTATCGTAATGTGATGCGCATCATAATGCGGACTCTACTTGATCAGCCCAAGACTTGGTATTGGCCTTACTCGCGTCGCCAGCAGCGGGTGCCGTATTGGGGTTGGAGGAAGCGGCTGATGTGTTCGCAGTGTTCTCAGCCGACAAAGCAGGGAACTCCTCCTGGGTGGGCACAACCTGCACAGCAGCCTGCCCAGCATGATTGCCTCGACGACCACTCTGGCCTCGTTGTGCATCCTTGGGCTCGCGGTACAGATACTGTCTTCCGTCGTCGTAATCCTGTTGATCGCCTGCAAAGCCACCCGGCTTATCGAAGCGCGCACCTTTGTCAAAGTCCGCTTCCTGCTTTTCTGCATCCCATTCGCGCCCAGTCATGGCTTTGAGTTTGCGCAGCCGGTTCTTCTCACGCTCGCCCATCAGCTGCTGCCGGTCTCGCCGCTCCTCTTTGCGTCGCTGCTCGGCAAGGGTTTTCGCCTGCTGTTCTCGCTCCGCAAATGAGGCCGCATCGGCTTCTGCTCGAGCGTGCGCTGCCGTCAACGACGCGTTCTTGATGTGAATTCGTGCCATCTTCTCCGCCAGCTCTTCTTCTGTCAGTTTCGGCTTCCGAATGCCGCCTGTGGCTTGCCTGTCTCCACGGACAGGTCGTGCAACATCCTTACGTGGTCCAGCTGGAGCATTGTCAGGTGCTTTGTTACAGATGTCATGCGCCTGAGGCTGATTGTGAGCCCTGCCATCGACATCTCTCGAATCGCGATGGCCGCGGCCTCTTCCCCGGCCTCTACCTCGAGCTCTGGGTGCCTCAAAAGGCGGCCGCGGCGGCGGCGGCTCGTGAAGAGACTGAGGCGATGACGGCTCGACTATAGGCTGTGCCGCGGGCGTGAAGTCGTCGCTGAAGAGGTCATCATCGGACCGCAGGCGCATGGACTCTGGCGGCGGCATGACATCGTCGAAGAGGTCGTCTTGTTGAGCGCCGGTGGGCGCAAATGTGTCGTCGCCGGCGGTTCCCAGCGGTGCATCGTAATGTGCAGCAGCGGACGTTGGCTGTTGCTGCTGCTGCTGGCGCTGGCGCTGCTTTAGCACACGACCTCCTTCACGCCGAACGCCTCCACGGCGTGCAGAGCAGACGCACCTGATCTGCCGGTGGAGGCGCTGCCTGTGCCCATATCGACTGCTCCATGCTGATGACGATGATATCAATCTGTCGAAGATATGTGTGTATGCGAGGTAGTGTGAAGAGTCGAGGTAGGCATGGCCTAATCAGTAGATATTCTGCTATGGAGTCCATGAAGCACGACATCATCTCCGTCTCCACAAACGGTCAACCAACTACCTAGTACCTACCAAGGGGTTCGCAAAAGTAGTGACATTACGCTAGTATTCTTAGCATATTCACATACTATTCAATCTACTATCTAGACGCGTTTTTTCTATACAACCAAGCCGATATTTACTAGGAAATGGAGTAGAGAGGGAGTAGGCTCTAGCGAATTCAGAACACTAAAAATTACTGTATTCTGTTATAAGATGGAGTAAGTAGCATGAAAAATAGCGTAATGTCACTTCTTTTGCAACCCCCTTGCTACCGCCTCAGGTATATATTGAAAACTACCTATTACGTGCCTTACACATACACGTAGAACTATACCAGAAACATTTGGTCCCATCGATCAACAAAGCCATTGTGGTCAGCTCTCTCTCTCTCTCTCTCTCTCTCTCTCTCTATTTCGAAGACCCATCGCCTGGCTCACACCACATTCACTGTCCCCGGAATGAGACCCGACGGCCCCCGACCTGCGATTGTAGGCAATGATGCTGGGCCTGAACCTCCATTTCCGCTCAAACTAGATGGCAAGGTCATCAAAGGGTTTGGGCGTGGCAGCAAAGAGGTCAGTGGCCGTCTCCCAACGCCAGATATCAAATATAAAATGCAAATTGACATACTAATATGCATATAAATTTCAGCTGGGTATTCCCACTGCCAACATCCCCCTGTCGGGACTGTCAGTCGGCGGCCACGAGGACCTCGAATCTGGCGTCTACTATGGCTGGGCAGGACTGTCGCCTTCTCAAGCAGTCCGCCAGCATCTTTCTGGCAAGAAATCCGATTACAAGCTCATGTCCCCCGACGTCTACAGCGCACTCGGCTCGAGCCAGTCCGACTTGAGTGCCATCTCGGCAGACCAGGGAGCCGTGTTTCCCATGGTGATGTCGATCGGATGGAACCCATTCTACAAGAACACGGTGCGGAGCGTCGAGGTGCACATCATGCGAGACTTTGAGACGGACTTTTACGAGAGCCACATGAATTTGCTCATTCTAGGCTTCATCCGGCCGGAGCTCGACTACGTGAGTAAGGAAAGCTTAATCGAAGACATCAAGACCGACATAGACGTTGCTGGCCGAAGTCTGAGCAGGCCAGCCTATGCGAATCTAGCGAGAGATCCATATCTGGTCGAGTTTGAGGGCAAAGGGGAACTCGCCAGCTAGAGGGAGGACGCAACGTCTTCCTTCATAGAGACGATTGCATCCACCGCAGAATAGATCAATACCATCTCATTCACTCGAGCTCCCAGATAATGTCTGCCAGTGCTAACATAATGCGGATTGCATGCTGTCCAACTGTCACTCCTATGCTGCACTAGGTACCGATTAATCGTGTTTACATTCTTCACCTCCTACGCCAATTATTTCCAATGAGCGCCGAAGCCCATCGCCACAGGGAGAGACGCCGTGCCAGACGGTCGACAATTGCATTACGTGTCAGCATTAAGTATCGTGAGGAAAAAGAAAGTCGTCACACGCCTCATATGATGGGGAGGAACTGCGATCGGTCAGTACTTGAGAGGCGATGACAATGAGATGCGAGGCATGCAAATACTTACGTTCATGACAATGAGCATAGGTATGTCGAAGACATCACGCTTCACCGTCCAGCACATCTGACAGCTCACTCGGCCATCCCGCTCGCCCAGCGCATTCATTCCAGCTTCGCCCCTGATGACATTTTCCGTCTTGACCTCATCGGACGCTTTCATGCGTTTACCATCGTCAGCGAGGTGATCATTCGGTCCCCAGCCAGGATCCTCTTTGGTGCGATACTTGAGCAGAGAGCACGGCGCACTGATGATAGACGTCTTGGATGCGCCAAAAGCCAGCTCGGCAAAGTCTTCATAGAATTGGACCACGCTATCCTCATCCATGAGCTCAGCCAAGAAAACTGGCTGTGGCCTTCCCGAGTCTACTTCGAGACTGGAAATCCTGGGCGTGGCTGCTCCTCTAGAGCTGGTGCCGGTTTGAGTGCCTGGAGTCGGGGACATGCCCGTGTTGACGTTGAGGTTGGGTTCTTTACCAAGTAGAACGTCTTTGCGCCATCCTGTAACTAAACAGAATTCCTTACTGACAGCTGCAATCTCTCCAGTTCTTCTGCAGATCACTGTGGGCGTGCCATAACTGTTCAAGAAGGACTCGTACTCGAGCAGAGTTCGCTGAAAGCACTTCTCCATGAAGATCAGATCATCATCATCGAGATGCTGATTGCATGAGATGAACGATGGGCGAATCGTTGCGAGCGCTTTGGCTATGTGTAGCACCCTCTTCGGCGTGAAACGCTTTTTCAAAAGTGCAGTGAGAGCGTGGAATCCTTGAGTGTACGGATAGGGAGCCTGTACGCTCGAATAGACTTCTGACGTGTTGCGCCGTCGTTTTCGATCGGACTCTGTGTGTGAATCGCCTGGGAACGGAGCCTGCTTGCGTTGCGCTTGCGAAAACCTTTGCCGCAACAGGTCTGGTTGTGCGCTCTGTTCGGGCTGTACGAACTGTGCTTCTGGAGATGTTGTTGCCGACTGATAGCCCGTAAAGTCTTGGTTCTGGGAGTGAGGGCTTGCTCCTGTGAGTGACGATGCTTGTTCTCCGATTGCGTAAGCCTCCAGGCCATGAGACTGGCCTGCCCAGACATTCGTTGCGCTGCTTTGTCGTGAAGCTGACGTGCCAGGGGTCTGCCAGGAGGGGAAGCCTTGGTTATAATTGTAGCCTGGCTGATAGCTGCTATTTCCGTCGTACGACACGCTGCCCTGATGGGAGTGGCTGATGGTATTCATGGAGTCGACATCGGGCGAATTGATGGCGCCAGAAGAAAGGTGCCCGAGCATGCCAAACTCCAAAGCTCCGTAATGGTTCCCGAAGTTCATGTCGCTGATGTTAAAATTGAACATTAACGGGTCATTTGCATCGAAATACGTAGTGTCCATGGTTCCTGTCGTTCCGATCGAAGGAGTCTGGTCAAGAGTGGTTACGAACTCTTGCTGGGGAGAAACTTGTTGACTTGACGATGTGTTGGTGTATTGGGTAGGAGTCTCCACGTTTTGCGCAGAGGCGAACTCAGGGCCTATGTTGCCATTGTCCATGCTCGGTGGTCCCATGGCGCCCTGTCCGCTGGCATGAGGGTATTGCTGTGGGAAGCCGCCGGCTGAGGCTGGGGTGAAGTAGCTGGCGCTGGGCATCACCGTGGTCGAGTTGGAGATTGCAGTCAGGCTACCAGAGCCGTGTGGTGCATAGTTTTTCCCGGCATAGCCAGGCACAAGCGCCTCGGGAGGAGCATCATGGAGGTACTTTGCCTTTTTGCGTACGCCATCGTGGCATTGATCCTGTAGGCCACGCTTGATGCACCTGAGACACGGGCGTTCGTCACCTGTAATAATCAGTCCACGTCTTTGCCGCATCTGCCTGGCGATACGTTCGACTTACCGCAGGTCAAGTGTGCTCGTTGGCAAGCAAAGCAAGCACGTCGCGCTTTCTTGCGCCTGGGGCGAGACGGATCCTTTGCGTTGCTTTTGGAGGAGGGGGGCTGAGAAGAGGCGTTGGTCTGCTGGCTAGGCGACTTCTCATCAGCCGCAGTTCTGTCGTCTTCTCCCATGGTGCCTGCGTCGTCCAGTTCAGCGCCAGGTTCTGGAGAAGAGACATCCTCGACATCCGGCGACATGATGGATATTAATTGAACCGTACTCGCCAGCACCGACACCTCGCGCACGGTCCTGAATCAGCTGCGACCCACGTTGCTGCTGTGCCTGTCCGTCGGTGTCTTGCTTGCTTCAGTGCGTGAACTGCGCGCCCGCTGGACTGGCTAGAGCGCTGGGTCACGCGTGTGCAGAGATTACGCTGTGTTCTGTGTTACTGTCCGCGAATAACCTGCACCGTCGTGCCCGAGACCACCCTTGCAGAAGGGCAGCAGCAGTAGCAGCAGCAGCAGCAGTAGCAGCAGAAGAAGGTTGTCCGTCGTCCACGACGTCTGCTGGGCGATGCTAGCACGTTTTGCCGCAGGAGTCTATGCAGCTCGCGCCAATGGAAGCACCACGGGAATGCCTGTCCCTGGACTCCCTGCCCTCCCCGCTGTGCCTGCGTATGGCCTCCGGCGCTCTGGGAGGCGCTCGTCGGAGGTGCAATGCGTATACCCCAAAGAATGTTAGAGCGCACGCGCACGCTCAGCACCTTCTTCTAGCACCACCGCACCGCCGCAGCTCTCAGCGCTGGCTGGCTGCCCTTACTCTTGCAGTCTTCGCTTACGGCGGCGGTGGTGGTGGTGCGGTGTACGACGAGCAGTTCCAATGAGCGTGGCGCATTGGGTTCCAGCGCAGTGGATGTGGGATCTTCTCTGCTGCAGTGCGAGTCCCGGCGCATATCCACCAGAGGGTCTGTACGATGCTCGCTACCACGAGATCCGATCGACGGCCGGCACAGCGCTTCGTGTTGTTGGAGGGTGCTGCTGCTGGAGTTGTCGTAGGCGCGAGTGGGCTGAGCAACAGCGAGATCATCAAAAGGAAGGTGAAGAAGAATGTCCTGGGCGGGTAGTGCTCGCTAGCCGGCGAACGCTGCATGTCATCAGTAGTTTCTAGAGGTAGTGTGGTTGTGGTTGCGCATGTACCGTAGTCAGCACGTTTTCGGTAGCTGTGGGCGGATCTGGTTGTCTGGCTGGTCTGGCTGACAAGAAGCACGCTGCTCGACTCCACCCGCACTCCCGACTCCCGAGCTCCGCTTCCTTTTCGGCACGCGACGGGAGAGAGAGAGCGAGTGCGAAATGACGACTCGCGCAGAAGTAGAATACCTAACCTACACATGACATGTACGTGTACCTACCTTCAGGTACCTTGGTCCTTGGCATCACACAGGCACGCGCTGACCGGCAATAGAATCCCATCAATGGTTCTAGGAGGTAGGAGGTACCTCATTATTCCAGTTTCCTTCTACGGGCATCCACACGGCCATGGATGTGACGCACAGTCTTGTCGTCTGCCACCACCGGTATGTACCTTACGGTCAGGTACAGTAACTTGTAAGGAACTGTACATACTGTACTTAGGTACAGTGCTGTGCTGCCCCCACGTGCTGCGATCCGATAATAGAAATTCTAGTTCCAGTTCGGCCTCCCCTTCACATTCATTGCCCATTTGGGACTCCGCTCGTCCAGAAAGGGCGGCGCGCGCAGATGCTAGAACGACCTGTCTGCCAGTTGCCACGCTCCTGTCACCGCCTTCCTGGGGCTGCGCTGTGCTGCGCCGCGTTCCTCGTGCCTTTCTCTAGATCGCTCGCACGCACCGCACGCACGCAATGCACGCACACACACACACGGCTCCGTGCCCTTGCCTCGGGCACCCTGGGAGGGGCCTCCTCCTGAATGCCATGCCTTGCCATGCCTTGCCATGCTCTGTGCGACACGACTCGGTTGCATCACGCGGCGGGCCGGACGGGTCCTGCGTGGAGTCGTGGACGAAGCAAACTGCGGGAACAGTGAGGTCAGGTACCTGAGCTACCTTCTACGGTAAGAGTAGGACAGTGGGTAGTAGTGGAGAGTGGAGTACTCCGGCAGGCTACAGGCTACAGGCTACATGTTACAGGCTGCAGGCTACATGCCACATGCTACAGGAGTACAGGCGACATGCTACAGACTAGTAGACTACAGGCTACTGACTATAAGCCACAGACTACAGACGACAGACTGGGAGGTACAGCCTAGTAGACTACAGGACAGACTACGTGCTATACAGACTATGAGACTAAAGGCTAGAACAGACCACAGGCGGTATAGGACTCCGGACTTCACAGCTTCTCCCTCCAGTGGCGCTGGCTGTGGCCCATGGGGCTCATGACATAAACTGAGTGAGGCATGTGAGAGTACTGCAGCAGCGATCATTATCTTCTCAATAGAAACCAATCCACTCGTGCTCTGCTCGCGTGCTGCGAGATACGAGGCACGCGTGGACTACATGTAGCTATCTACGACGGGCGCCCGATGAGCTGCAGAGTCGTGCTGGCCTGGGTTCATGCGTCCCGGCGGAGCCATCATCAATATGTGCACTCAGCTGTGTGTAGTACTAGGTACTGTAAGGTATTCTGGGGTCCTCGCATTGACTGTGCAGTGTGCAGCCTGTGCCACCATACATAATGACTATTTTCGGCAGCATGCCATCATCGACAAGCATATTCAATCTCCTCATCGAGCTAGACGCCCTGCGCAAACCGTGACTGCGACCGTATCCTTTTCCCTCTGTAGAAGAATAGGATGGCTAGCGTGCTGCAGTCAGTACGTCTGTCGATGGTACCTGGGACTCTTCGATACATACGAAACGGAAGCATAGCCAGACTAATGAATCTGCTCCATCGTTAGCTTGTCTGAGATGGAGGTACGCGCCGCCACCATGCCGCAGCATAAAGAGGTACATACGCAAGCAGACTCGAGGCCCACTGATATCCCAATTCTGCTGCCAAGTCAGTGACCGCTCTTTCGCGCCCTCGCAGCGGGTCCGGACATACGATGGTACCTGGCATCATCGAGCATGATCATCATCAGTAGGTTGACGATTCGGCGGATCTGGGATCTTACAGTTGCACTCCGAAAAGTGGAAACGCTGCCGCAAATGAACTCCTGTCGCAACGGTCAGTCCGGTCAGAGAATCACGGCGCGTCATGGTGGTGCTGGTGGTGGTGCTGGTGGTGGTGCTGATGGTGGTGCTGATGGTGCTGGTGGTGGTGGTGCTGGGGACGGAGTCAAAGGTAGGTGAGACGTGCCTGGCGAACGAGTTGGCGGCGAGCGCTGAAGCTGCATAGAGTGGGTACTGTGTGATTCGGTGAGCGGACTGCTTTCAGCCATATCAGAATGGCACGGATGGCGGCATTCTTACTGCTTCCACGAGGAAAGTGCCACAAGATCGTCAGCACGCGTGCCTGTAGTACCTCGCACGTGTCGTCTCCGGCGACGTAAGGTGTGGTATGGTATGGTAGCAATGGTACAGGATGGATGCACTTGGGGACCTACAAGATGCCAGAGAAGGCCAAGATGTTTCCTAGGCCAAACACTGCAGAGAAGATGATCGGCACTATACGCAATCGTCGCTCAGCATCCTGCACATGCGAGGGCCTTCACAATCGTACCATACCAATCCAATGCACATGAGAATACGTCGTCCAGCCAAATCCCTGGCACGCACGTTGTTAGCACGAGACAGCATCCTGCCCTTGCATCTTGAGGCGCCTGTCGTGGCGAATCCAGCTGATGTCTTGACGTACAAACAGCGCCAACGGCGTAAGAATAGCCCCTAGGATGGTCGGGGGTAGCCGGTATTCAGGCTCTGAAACCCCGTCGTTGTTCTGCACGAGTCGGGAATCTGTTGAACATGCTCATCAGCTCGCCTCGCATCGCCTCGCATCGCATAGCATCCGTATTCGTCGTTCCTGGCTATCCGCTCGATTGTCCGATCGTAACCTCACTATGTATCTGCGCTGCGGGTCAAGCAAAGATAGAAACCCCCTGGACGGACGTACAGTTCTTTCGCCACAACGGGTCGCAGCTCACGCCCATCAGCATGCCGACCAGGATTCCCAAGAAGGAGAGGCCGGTTTGGTATTGGTTGAAGCCATGGTTCGTCGAAAACACCAGCGCGAACGACTGATGTGGCATGTCAGCTGATGTGCCTGGCCCGCTCACTCGTGGACAGAAAGAGATACGCACGCCAAAGCACAAGTAGAGTACCCCCAGCAGGATTGCACTCAAGAGGCAGAGGTTCAGGCACATCTGCTCGAAGAAGAGCAGCTGAAAGGGTCGGATGCACGACCAAAGCACCGTCTTGGACACCGAGCGATCGAGCACTTCGATGTGCGCCTTGAACTGTATGGAGAACACGAGTCAGCGGAGATGCGAATCCTCCTGGCCTGGAACATACACATACACGGTCATCACCTGTTGCAGCTCGTAATTTGACTGCCTTGCGCCTAGTGAAGAGGTCAGCTGGAGCGAAAAAGAAGCCACAACAACCAGGTCGCTGATCGTCACTGCGGAGCTCAATGTGGTCGAATTCACCGAAGCAGAACCGGAGCGTATGTCTCTGGCACAAACGCAATGATTCTGACCGGATTAGCAGAAAACCGGCAATGCAGCACGAAGAAGCGACTCACAATAGCCACTGAATACTGGCCCAGATCAGGAGAACGTAAAAAGTCCATCGCCAGTCGGTGAATTGATCTGCGCCTGTTATGAGTCTGTACTCGGTGCGTTTGGACACGAGCAAGTTTCACTCGACTCACTGATAAAGCCTACAACATAATCAGCATGCGCCATCTGTGGTGAGAGCATGATATGTTCATGCGGAGGCGACGCACCTCCAATGACTGGACCCAGTTCTGGTCCGACAAAAGGCGATGCTGTGTAGACCATCATCTGGATCCCAAAACAAGTCAGTGCACACCGTATCTGCCAGTTTGGATCTGAGAACGGTCTCCGAACGTGACCTGAGACACGAATTGCTACTCACAGGCGCCGAGAGCTTCTCCCTTCGAAACATATCGCCAACCTGTGTCGAACACCATCAGTCCATCTTCACGACCGAGTCACTTCTGCTGTTTTGATCAATGAGAGCGAGCCCACCGTGCCGCCTGCTACACTTAAAAATGCCGAGCCCGCAAGGCCATCCTACTCGCATAGCGTGAGCGATGCATCCCAGCCGCTGGGGGCTGATGTATTGCTCACAAAGAACCGCACAATCAGCATAGTCGCTATGTTCTTGGCCAGGGCACATGGTATGAGCCAAATGACGAATAGCAAGTACGCGCCGATGTAAACATTTCTTCTGCCGTAAAACTCGCTCAAGGGGCTATAGCAATAGTGGAAATGTTAGCGTCAGGTTCTCAGAGTCTCCCACGTTGAATCGTCACAAGACTCGTACCTCAAAAACATTGGGCCTAGTCCTAGCCTGGGTAAATCATCAATCATCAGACACAACCTACACATCCATCCATCATGAATGTTTTGCCTGAGGTCACATACCCGCAAACGTAAGTCGTCAACCCAATAGTCGCAACCAATCTGCTGACGTGGAACTCGCTCTCGAGCTGTCTATACCTGTACAACAGAACAGTAAGTATATGATCAGCACACATCTTCCCCAAACCCCGATCGAACAGTAGATACTTTGCAAGGAACCTAGCTGACTCCTTCGGCTTATGGCATCTCGCATCGGAAAGAAATATGCAACACATACGTGCTCGTATACATGTCACTCGCACAAGTGACACACAAACTACTGGCAGCACAAATCATCACAACCATCCACTTCTTCCCCTCTCGAATGTTCTTGGGGTCATCCGGATCGTCATCACCGCTGAAACGAACTTCAAAGGCCTTTTCGGGATCAACAGTGGGGTGCTGTTCATCTTTGTCGTCTGGGAAATGGGGACCGTAACCGTCGGCCAAATATGAGCGTTGGGAGCGGGCGGAAGATCGACTACGAGCCGCCTGCAATCGCAGCCGATTGCTGGCATCCTGATTGCTTCGGCGAATGATATTTGTGGAATCCTGGTCGACCTCCAGTTCATCGTGTCGGTCGTCTTCTACTGCTTCTTCACTACTAGCAGTCGCCATCATTCCGGTTTGAAGTAGGCCGCTAGAGAGGTGAGGACCGGACATGGATCGCGACTCATAAGCAAAAGTGAAGTTAGAGGTATAACAATGAGTACGAGGTGTTGTCCGTAGTGATGGTAAACCTGAGATGGATGTGCTGTACTTGGGCTTGTGCGTCACTACTACATGTACTGTACCTTACTTGCCGCTCGCGGCTATATCGGCAAAGCGGCCGAGACACTAATGCACTTGAGGTATAAGGACCTCTTAAATACATGAACATACCTTAGTTACCCACATGTAGCTCTGGTCGATGCGTATCGCAGTAAGTGTGTTCCTGAAGGCGTGAAACTCGGACTAGCTCAGGACTGCCTTAGCTCGTAGTGACACTGCAACAATTACAAGTCCGACTGTCTCGCAGGCAATGGTATTTAGATGAATGTGGATGGAGGTTCGCCTCAAAAGTTTGGACCTCAAGCATGAAGCTTACTCGGTTCCCTCGCGGGATGTTTTCTGGGAATCAAGATGACCACTCTAGGGTTCTCAAGGTCGATGAAGCCTCGGCAATGAATATTCTTTGCCGCGGCGCGATGTCTTGGTTCATCGTGGCACAGCACATGGTGAAATCCCAAAAGGCGTGCAATATCGAGCCTGTACCTCTTGACCAGCTCTTCGCCTAGGTATGCTACTGACCAGCAGATATCCAACTGCGTAGAGCAGCATATAAGAGCAATATATCTTGGAGAGAAATCGTCAATGACCGTTGTCTGTGGCCAGGTGGGCGCTCCGATGGTGTGGCTGGCTGTTAGAAAGCACACGATAGTCTTGCAGTCCTGGTCAGCACATAACGTGACCGCGGATTGAGCGCACAGGCTCAGGGGTGTGCGTTCCCGAGGGATTTGTCATTCCCTGACCTACATCAACCTTTGTTTATGAGTACTGCGGTCGACGGCTGACAGCCATGGCTTGCTGCAATTCGCGCTCCCCTTCGCGCAGGTCTCTTCTTGCGCGCATCTCTTCTTTCTCCTGGCGCCTACGCTCCTCGCATACCTTTGCCTCGCGATCGGCCAGAGCCCGCTCGCGCCTCCTTCGTTCTTCCGCCTTTTTATTGGCCAACAGTCTCTCTTCCTCGGTCGTGCTATCGGCGTTTGGCGCGCCAGGTAGGCTGTCGATATGTGCTGCTACGAGACGGTCACGAATCTTCGATGGCAAACTGATGTAATGAATGTGCGAAAGTAGTTGCTCCGGCAGAGCGTCGAGAGTCGTAGAAGAGTTGAGCGAGGTCAATGGCACACTCTTCAGCAGTGCATACAGATCCGCTCGAAGTGTGTTCTCCGAAAGTTTTGTTCTAGCAATGTGATCCCGGTACATCTTTTCTCGATCCTTGTCACTGAGCTTGCGGTCATTCATTTCCGCTTCACGTTTGTACTTTCTCTTGAACTCAGGCCAGTACAATTTCGGGCTGGCCTTCTCTTGCAAGAATGCAAGATATGGTATTCTCGGATTCGATTTGTGCATGGTTGCGCGCTCTGCCTGAATCTGCGCGGCCCTGTCTTTTGCCCAGGCATCAAAGGCCTCGCGCCGCGACTTGATATTCGGTAGGACGGTGTATCGATCATCATGAAGTATGCTGTTGGGCGAGTCATCTGTAATGATCCTGTCCCACGGCGTGAATGGGCTGATACGATAGTCGTCGAGCAAGTCGCGGAAGAGGTTAGTAGCATCCTCATCTGTCAAGCCCAGGCCCTCGACTCCCTCTTCCCAACCGTCCGCTGGCTCATCGCCATATTCCCCTGCGTCTAGACCATAGTCTTCACCCATGGCAGCAAGTTGCCAGGCAATGTCGTCTTCGCCGAACTCGACAGGCGCATCAGGCTGCACATCGTCCGACGTTGGCTGCAGGGTTTGATTCGATTGACCTGGACCAGACACTGCTTCGGCAACATGGTCGTCTTGCTCGCCGTCGTCTTCCCCTTCGTCGTCTGTGACCTCGACTTCTTCATACGAACCATCACTGTCATATCCGTACGTGGTGACTGACGCAGGCGGAATATTGGAGACCGCAGCAGCTCCAACGGCGCTATCATCAGCCTGCGCAGCCAACTCGGCCACCAGTGCAGCCTCGTCTTCGCGCTGCAAGCTCAGGCTACGACGACGACGACGGGGTGAGGCAGCAGCATTAGCATCGACGACATCGGTGATGGCTGGTGGAGGAGGTTGCTGAGGCCTCATCTGCTGGAGCTGCTGCTCCGCCCAGGCAGCGTTGTCGGCCTTTTCCTGCTGCTCCTTCTCGTGCTGCTCGAATTCGCGCACAGCCGGCACGACATGCTCTGGGATGCGCCACAGACTCTCTCTGGTGTCGGTATTGTGGACAAAGCGCCGCCGCTGCTTCGTCCTGACCAAGATCCACGGCTCGCACCCGGGGAGCACATGTTTGGACTTGGGACGATCCGGTCGTTGTCGGCGGCGTTCGTCTCGGAAGGGCTGTTGGCGCAGTGGTAGCCGATGGTCTCGAGACCGTTCTTGCGCGGGTGTCTCGGACTGGGAGTGGACATGGCCAGCACTCAGCGGGACATAGTCTGACTGCGACGCGAACGTTTTCTGTCGCTTGTTGGGCGAATCCATGCCGTGCTTCCAGTTTCCGTGAGGGTGTTATTGTGGCAATGCACCTCCTATGGAGCAGGTACAGTAGTAGGTTAGGTCCGGTAAGGTAAGGTTGAATCAAAGCCTCGTTAAGCAATCTTACATAATTTAGTTCAGGACGCGTCTTGCTCACTGCCTGGCCTTACCTTACCTACCTCACTGTAGAAGAGAGCTCAACTGACAGCTCCAACACTGCACCGACATCCATCATCGACCACAGACACACACACACACACACACACACACACTTCCTCTCTCCCTCCCTCCCTCCCTCAATACAACACGCATCTTCCCCTACCGACTGACAGCTCTCTCCGCACCACGTCATGTCTCGGCGATACGACAGGTAGGCATACTATACACTCGTGCACGCGTACTTATTCCATACTGATCTCTCCTTCTCCAGCCGTACGACCATCTTCTCCCCTGAAGGCCGCCTGTACCAAGTCGAATATGCGCTCGAGGCCATATCACACGCCGGCACTGCCCTCGGCATCCTCGCCACCGACGGCATCGTGCTCGCCGCCGAACGGAAAGTCACCAGCAAGCTGCTCGAGCAAGATACGAGCGCCGAGAAGCTGTACATCCTCAACGACAACATGATCACCGCTGTCGCGGGCATGACGGCTGATGCCAACATTCTCATCAACTACGCGCGCCAGGCTGCGCAGCGCTACCTGCTCACCTACAATGCCGACATTCCCTGCGAGCAGCTCGTGCGCCGTCTGTGCGATCTCAAGCAGGGCTACACGCAGCACGGTGGTCTGCGCCCCTTTGGTGTTTCCTTCATCTATGCCGGCTGGGACCACCAGCGCAACTTCCAACTCTACCAATCGAACCCCAGCGGCAACTACACTGGCTGGAAGGCCACCAGTGTCGGGTCAAATAGTGCAAGTGCACAGTCTTTGCTCAAGCAGGACTACAACGAGGACTGCACCCTCAATCAGGCGTGCGAACTGGCTGTCAAGGTGCTGTCGAAGACAATGGATAGCACGAAGTTGTCCAGCGAGAAGATCGAGTTCGCCACGGTTGGTCGAACGGAAAAGGGCACCATCTACCACAAGCTGTGGTCGGCCGAAGAAATTGATTCACTACTCAAAGAGCACGGTCTGGGGAAAGCAGCAAGCGATGAACCAGTGGCATAGACCTACGACACTAACGACGAGCAAACAATGTATGTACAATAGCGGCATTGAAGCGGCAAGCACGCCGCAGCATTACCGAGGGAGAAAAGGACGGGTTCGCATGCTCATATTACTGGCATCTTTGCGATAGAGTGAAACGTGGAGCCAAATACTGAGCCCACTTCGCACGTGTGAATGAAAACGCACATCTATTGGACTGCGTCCTCGTAATCGTGTCTTTCGCCAACTTGCATTCTCAATCCCCATGTAATTTCGACAGCCTACTTCTTCTCCTATCCAATTTGTCGCGACACACTGCTGTCTCCGATGGCGCCCCGCAAAGGATCAGCAACCACCATTAACGGCGTTGACCTCAACTCGACAAGAGCGACATGAACGCCCAAGATTTCTTTCAAGCTATGGGCGAAAGTAGTTTTGCTCGTGTTCTCATGCGCCTCCACTGATGCCATTGCGACCTGTACCATCACCAAGAAATGGTTGGTGACTGAGATTGGAGGCCGCCTCGGAAAAGACGGCCATGAATGGATCCGTGTGGACAAAAACTCAACGCACGTTACTCATGCTCGATGGTATCGCGGCATCAACTGGCAACAGCGGTCAAGGCTTGCAAGTAAGTAGGTATATTGGGCTTGTTCGTTTCTGAAGTTCAGCGAGCGCCTATGCGGCGGTTAGTCCCCTGCTGTTGAAGAAGTAGTAAAGCGGTAATGAGCCTTGCATTACAGGAGATGCGAAAGCTAGGGAAAACATTCTCTCGGCTGCTATATCATGATTTGTTGCAGCAATCAAATGATGGCTTGAACTTAGAAGATGACCGCTATCTGCTTCAGCCATTCGACAGTAAGCGACACATTGCATCTATTGTAGAGCTGCATTGTGCGCAATACGTGCTCGTTCAGACGTTGTTTTTCAAGGACTTCTACGCTATAACTTCTGTCCCGGACAGTATTTGGCAGCTCAGGCGCTGTTACTAAACCATCGCAGGCGGTTTATCGTTCCGGCGAGAAGATCGAAGAAAGCGAAACGGCGAGGACCGAACACGCATATCAGAATTATCTCAAGAATGTCGATGAGTGGTCGTATACAAGAGCAAAGAAGCTCGTCGCTGGGTGGAGAACGCTGGGGCTGCTCAAAGCGAAAGAATTCTTGAAAGGGGCCACGAGGGATGGCATGCTCTCCCACTCCCACGAGAAATACGGGGAGGAGGAGGAGGAGGAGAAGAAGAAGAAGGGGGAAAAGCGTTGGCATCGAGGAAGAGGAGAACTGAGGGTCGATTGTATTACAGATATCTTAGTCTCCGACGTAACTGTTCGGAAAGCCATCAGGTTCACTATGAGGGAGGCAGACCCCACGTTATCACAGTGTCCGAAAGGATGGCGGGTAAATCCTATCGTGTGACGGAGAGACCGCGTCGGCCAGAGACTTGATATGAAGACGAACCGCTTGTTGGAGACAGGATGTGGTCGAAGGAGGAAGATGGGAGACCACGAAGAAATGAGGTTGGTAACAGAGTTTTCCCAGACGGGCCGAGGCCCGGCACACCGTAACGATCATGGGGTACCTCCTACCTCCTACCTCCTACTTGCTGCCTCCAGTTGTCTCTGTCACGAGCATCCATCATCAGCCTCCAGCGCGCGGTTACCTCCTACCTACCTAGTAGCCTACCCTACCTGCTACTACCTGACCTACCTACCTAGGTATCTTTGATAACTCCTACTTCACGAGACCGCTCCTACTACCACATCGCTACCCTACCCACCGCAATCGCATACCGAGTCCCAGCACCCGCTGCAAGTTCAGCCGTCTTATCGGACCCTGCTCCTCGCGCCGATAAGAACAAAGCCGCTTGGCTCCAGTGATCAACTCCCCCGTTGCCTACCTATACCTACGGCTTGACGTGATCATCTCGAGCCACCAAACTTCCGCACTAGCCACGAAACCAGCCTTCGAAGTCGATCTGAGTGGCGGTCTGCTTTCCAAAGATACACCGGTGCCCACACGTGTACCAAGACTTCGATTGGCGACAACACTACCGAGCGCCGGGGAGGTTGAGAGCAGACGGCAAGATGAGTAGTCCTAAGCGCAGGATAGAGACAGATGTATAAGCATAGTGGTGCTTCTGGGTCATACAGCCATCCCGCTGACAATGGGCAGGTCATGAAAATGCTCATGAGTGATTATGAAGTCACATTGGTCAACGACAACAGTGAGTTCTCGGCCTTTGCTTCCTTGCACTGTCCCCGGCCCAGCATGCTGACTCGTCAATCTGAGCAGTGTCCGTCAATCTTGTTCTCGTACTAGTCTGGCCTTGAAGGCAGCACTGACGAGGGCTTAGGCAAGAGTTCTACGTACGCTTTAAAGGTCCCGAAGAGAGTATGTGGGAGTCTTTGCATGTGATGTAATGATACTGATACTCAATATAGCACCTTTTGTCGGCGGGCACTGGAAGATTCACGTAGAGCTACCGGATCAATACCCTTACAAGAGTCCCAGCATTGGGTTTGTGAATCGGATATTCCATCCCAACATCGACGAACTGTACGAAATGTCCCTCGTAACCTGCATGTCGCGGTTCTGATAATCTCTGTTAGATCAGGCAGCGTTTGCCTTGATGTCATCAACCAGACCTGGTCGCCGATGTACGATATGGTCAACATATTTGAGGTTTTCCTGCCCCAACTTCTGCGGTATCCCAATCCTACCGACCCCTTGAATGGCGAAGCAGCTGCGCTGTTGATGAGGGACTCGAAGGGCTATGATGCCAAAGTCAAAGGTCAGGATACTCGTGATCCTGATGTCGACCATTCATATTAACAGGTGGACAGAATATGTGACCAAGTACGCCTCGAAAGAGAGCGTTGACGATGCTGGTAACGACTCCAACGATAGCGATGAGATGAGCAGCGTGGGCAGTTTTGACGATGATGACGACGACGAACCAGCAGGAACCATGGACGAGGTATGACCAGGCTCTCTAGGCTCCAGTGTTTGCAAGGACTCAGTGACAGCACCCAGGCGTGCCAGATGATGTGGTTTTGGAGCTTATGTCGTGGCATCGGAGTCAGGAACAAGGGAGGGAAGGAGGGAGGGCTATACCATTTAAGATAATCTCATGAGAAAGCACGAATGGATGGAGCGTTTGTTGCATTACAACGAACGAGACATGTCGCAGGCCCTAAACTATTCACTGATGCTAAGTACATGTATGGGCGAGTTGTTCCACTTCTTCTCGTCACTTATCGCGGACCAGGCACTGTGCCATGTACACCGCTGGAAAATCCAGGCGTGACACGATACCGGCATTTTGGTCACTGGGCTCACACATCATTACCTTACATGACTTATGCATGCCGCGTGAGAAGGAGGGATATCCTGGTGTGAGCACGTGCATGGGTACCTTACCCGCGAATGCTGCATGGCATCTTCACAATACCTTGCCTTACTCACCGTCACACTCTCCCACCGAGAGCTGCTGCTTGCAGCCGTGTGTAAGGTACTGTTCTGATTAGCTGGCTTCCATACCGACCAGGTACCAAGGTATGTACCTGTACCTGCACCCGTACCTACCTCAGCTGCTCAGCACGTACCTCATGTCAGGTCAGGTAGGAGGTACCTACATGTGCGATAGCGGTGCTTCTGCAGCGAAGAAGCAACACGTTTAATTGCTTGGACGGCGGTTTCAACCCACGACCTACGTACCTCCTACTGCCGACCCTGACACAACGTTGTGGTGGTGGTATACATGTACCTGAATGTACCTTAGCCGCCAGGAAAGGCCGGAGATGATCCTCGCCCTGGGGGATCACCCCAAAAAGTCGCTGTTTTCTCGAAAGGTTTCACCGCCGGGCGGGAGGATCAAGTGTGGCTTGCAGCTTGGAGGGAGGTCCGACCAATCCCGTACGCTTCTGGAAGGGGAGCCTCTGTGTGTTTGTGTGTGTGTGACAGTTTGAGATTGCTGAAATGGGTCGCAACTCTTTTTCATTCGCCGCAGCGCCCATGAGGAGGCGGCGTTGGTGTGGCCGCTGTGGCGTGCATGGCCACGTGGTTGTAACGCGCACCGGTTGCCGGGAAAGGAAAAAACGAGTCGGACGGGAGTGGAGGCGTTTCTTGCTCATCATTTGCGGAGCATTTTTACCTTATTACCTGAAGGTCTAGGAGGTAGTCTAGGTAGGAGGTAGTCTAGGTACCTACAACCTCAGGTGTCCAGGTATTCTGGGTCAGGGTATTGTGGGCAGTGGGGTTGTCTGTGTAGAGGTATAGGTACGGTATGTAGCCCGGAGGCAACATAGAACAGGTACAGACACAGTACCTACCTAGGTATGTATTGTCCAGTACGAACACTGCTGCTTCCCTTGATCTACTGCCTCGTACCAACTCACATCTGGTGCGACGGGATAAATGAAGCACTAGGTACATAAGGTAGGTAGGTGGTACTAGGTACCTAGGTGCGAGATTGAATTGCCGAGCGGCATTTCCTCGCAAGGAGAAAGTGTGAGCTGCCTAATGTATACTCAATACTCACGTGGCTGTACCAGGGGGCGGCACGCAGACGGTCCGTTCTGCGTCAAGTCTGCCCATTTCCATTCTGCCAGTCCAGTCCAGGCAGTCCTAAGACTCTTCCTCACTAGGTACCTCAGTACCTGTACCCAGTAGTGACGCGTGGCGTGGACGGCGAGACAGCAGTAACATGGATGGCATGTACTACCACGACTGGATGTACTTCCCTCCCTCCCTCCCTCCCTCCCTCCCTCCGTCCTAATACTCCTCCTCCCTCCTACTGGGGTGTGCGAGAGAGGTTGAGCGCAAAGGGGTTGGTCGGAATGGCAATATGTTGGCAGCGTCTGTTGGTCCTTCGTGCCCCGGGGAGCAAGTCATCGTCATCAGTACCCGTGTCTACATCATGAACCTGGTCGGAATCGTTCTTCTTTAGTACATGCAAGCGGCCCTCGTGGAGCGTGGAGGTGTAAACCTACGGCACCTACGCTGACCTAGGTACCTTTACCTGTGCGCACGCATTGATTAACTTACACTTTCTTTCGCAATCATAATCATAATCGAATGCCCCTCGCCCGCCCACAAATAGCACACAGCTCATCTCGCCATAGTCCGCTATCCAAACCCGTCCTGCTGCTGCACCGTTTGGACTACGGCCTCCTCCTACCCCAGTGCTATTATTACTGCTTCACGACCCACCGTGCGCGGAGCAGTAACGGGAGCACTCAGCACTGGAATCGCTTCCCACGCTGTCTCGGGGAGCTTGATTGAGATCGCGCCTTAATCTGGACGACCAAACGCCTGGAACGAACACACGCTGCTGTACAAGGCCGTGCACTCGTCGCAAACACCGCATTCAATTACTGGTCTGTAGGCGGCCAGGGCTAGAGTTGACTTGAGAGCGTTTTTCTCTTTCGTCCTCTCTACCTTCATCTCTCTATCTCTCGCTGCCTGCCTGCCTGCCTGCCTCTTTCTTTGCGCCTGCGCCTCGCTCCCTCTCTCTCTCCGTGTGTCTGCCTTCCAAGTCCCCTCCCTCAGTCTCTCACAAGCCCGGCCTCCTCAGCTCGTCGACTGCGACACTTGGGCGGCGAACGTCTTTTGCGAGCGATGACGCCGTGAGGGAGTGGTCGCTGTCGTAGAGTATTCACCTGGCTCAGGTGGTCGCACCGTACTGCCTTTGCGCTGCGCGCCGCTGTCTTTCTGGGGCCTCCTCTCGAATATCCGCTCCTCCCCCACCACCACAGCCAGCTTCCTCCGGGTGAAGTGACGCCCGCCTGCCGCGGCTACAGATGGGCAACTCCAATGGCAAGCCTGTAGTCCTCACCGATGAGGTCAACCTCAATCACTTCCGTCTGCTGCGGGTCGTCGGCAAGGGCGCATTTGGCAAAGTGCGCATTGTGGAGAGAAAGGACACGGGGCTCACGTTTGCGCTCAAGTATATCAGGAAAGATGAGGTGGTTCGGTCAGAGAGTGTACGGAATATCATACGAGAGCGGCGGATGCTCGAGCACCTAAACCATCCGTTCTTGTGCAATCTGCGGTACAGCTTTCAGGATGTGGAATATCTGTAAGTTGTCCTTTGTTCTTTCCTACCATCTTCCATCTTCCCGTCCTTCTTCCCTCTTCCCTTCCTCCTTCCTCCTTCCTTCTTCCTTCTTCTTCTTCTCCTTCCTTCTTCTCCTTCTTCCTCTTCCTCTTCCTCTCGCCCTTTCGTCCTTTCGTCCTGCCTTCCATCCTTCCGTCCTCTCCAAACCACTTCCTGCCGCCATGAGCTGACGTGCGCGCAGCTACATCGTGGTGGACCTGATGAACGGCGGCGACCTGCGATTTCACATCTCGCGGAAAACTTTCACCGAAGAGGCGGTGCGATTCTGGATATCGCAGCTTGGCTGCGCCCTCAGATACATCCACAAGCAGGGAATTGTCCACCGCGACGTCAAGCCGGACAACGTGCTGCTGGATTCAGAGGGGCATGTGCATTTGGCCGACTTCAATGTTGCTTCCGACATCACCCCGGGCAAGCCGCTCACGAGCAAGTCGGGAACATTGGCATATCTGGCACCAGAAGTCTACGCTGGCAAGGGATACTACTCGGAAGTGGACTGGTGGTCACTGGGAGTGCTGTTTTACGAGTGCATCTACAACAAGCGTCCGTTTGAGGCCAATCATCACGATGCTCTGGCGCAAGCCATCGTCAAAGCGGACCCGCCGTTCCCTGTAACATCACCGCCGGTGTCCATGCCATGCTTGCATGCCATCAGTTCGCTATTGGAGAAGAACAAGCACCTGCGGATAGGCGCCGCTGGCTTTGAAACGTTCACTGACAACCCTTTCTTCAGGGACATTGACTTCGAAGCGCTGGAAAATAAGGAGATTGAGCCCATTTTCTGCCCGTCGAGTGAAAAGACCAACTTTGATGCAACATACGATCTCGAGGAGCTTCTCCTAGAAGAAGCACCCCTCGAAGCTCGTGCTCGTAAACAAAAGCCGAGGGCTGAACTACGAGAGGACGCGACGCAACAGGAAATACGAGCCGATGAGCTCCATCGCATGATCGAGACTATGTTTGAGCCGTTCAATTACACGGCTCTACCGCAAGACCGCAGCCCAGTTGCATCGGTCTCAGACTCTCCTACAGCAACAAAATCTTCCACTCGTCTGCCGCGGGGAACGGAAGGGCCAGGAGATCCCAATTATGCACGGCATACATTGGAGAAAGCGAGGGCGGTACCCACACCTAGGTCGCAAACACCGGGCAGTGCGTCTCGAACACGGTCTTCTACACATTCACCGGAAGGATCACCGCCTCTGCCTGTTGGAACACTTGAAATTGGTGTCGCTGTCGGTCACCCTCCCGAGAACTACGTACCGTCTGTGGCGGATGCTGTTCAACATGCCGCGCCAGACTCGAGGGAGTCTCCTCGCTCCAGAGCCATACGCTACGAAAACATAGCTCCAGCAACTCCTCCAGTCACGTCGACCAAAGCCTACCAGCAGCACCGGCCCAGAGGGTCAACACGTAGCACATCTCAAGGAGGGGGTGTGCAAGTGGTACTCAATGAGCACGGCAGCTGGACAGATATGGCCAATCAAAGCCAAGCAATGGTAGCGCCTGGTGATGACCTGCGCCGAGCGGAGAGACCGTCTGGGATGCTGGGCTTCCTCAATCGCAAAAAGGGCAGAGACCGGAGCCCTAAGGCGAAGGAAAAGGAACGAGGCGTGCTGGGAAAGGAGGGAGCGCGAGTGATCATTAGCCATGGGTAAGTAGTTTGAGTTCGTCATCCATGGGCAAGTTTGAGTCTACCATTGACTCGACTGCCTCTCTACTTGTAATACTGTTCTGCTTGGAGCGCGGATCTCCAGGTCCAAGGTTGGAAACAATTCATCTGGGAGCGAGCGAGCGAGGCGTCACGAGTCACGCGGGGGAACAGCATGAGCTGATACATGGTATAACCACGAAGTAATCATAGAATGTACATTATATGATGTCGTTGCTAGTGATCTACTGTTACAACAACAACAAACAACAACAGCAACAAATGTCTCACATACAACGGAGTTTGCATGCCACTAGGCTTAGCCCAACGACCTCATTGTGGGTTTTTGTATTCTTGTTGTTGTGGTCGTTGTCGGTCGTTGTCGGTCGTTGTCTGTCGTTGTCTGTCGTTGTCTGTCGTTGTCTGTCGTCTGTTGTCTGTTGTCTCTATGTTGTCTGTTGTCTGTTGTCTCCATGTTGTCTGTTGTCATCGGGAACCGTCTCGGCTCTACCGAGGGATTCTAGTTAGGTATACTGACAACTACGATGCAGCCCACTGCACAGTGAAACCACCTGCGTTCCGCCATTCCCACCAAGATGCATTTGTCGACATTCCCGCCGCTCCCCCGATCAAGTTGCGCGATCTTGCTCCCTTCGCTCATCAACCCTCCGCCGCCGTGAGGAGGTGTCAGATCGCATGCCTTGCTCTCTACACCACGCTCCAAGCCTGCGTCTTCCGATCATATTCCCTTATTGGTACAGCAATGGCATCACGTACCTCGGCGGTCGTCACCAGCTCTGTCCGTGCGAGAAGCGCGGTGTGGAGAACGCCAGCGGTGGGATACAGAAGCGCAAGCATTCGACATTCGTCACATTCGGCAGCTGGCATTGCATCAGGACGAAAGAAGGTCACGCTCCAAACACTTCAGACCATGTACCGCAAACAGGAGCCCATTGCCATGATCACCGCTCACGACTTTCCAAGCGCCCACGTCGCCGAGCATGCGGGCATGGACGTAGTTCTGATCGGCGACAGTCTGGCCATGGTCGCCCTGGGGCTGGAAGATACCAGTAGTGTGTTGTTGGAGGAGATGATACTACACTGTCGAAGTGTTGCTCGTGGTGCCACGGCACCCTTCCGCATTGGAGACTTGCCCATGGGCTCGTACGAGGTGTCACCGGAGCAAGCATTGCAATCTGCCATTCGGCTGGTGAAAGAGGGTAACGTGCATGCAGTCAAACTAGAAGGAGGAGTCGCCATAGCGCCACAAATCTCCAAAATCACAACAGCTGGTATACCGGTGCTCGGACATATCGGCCTGACGCCTCAGCGACAGAATGCTCTGGGGGGATTCCGCGTGCAAGGAAAGTCGGTAGCTAGTGCGCTGAAGCTGCTCGAGGACGCGAAGGCAGTGCAAGATGCAGGTGCTTTTGGAATGGTCATCGAAGCAGTTCCCGCCGAAGTGGCAGCCGTTGTGACTGAACAGCTCCATGTGCCCACCATCGGCATCGGCGCGGGAAATGCATGCTCTGGTCAAGTGCTGGTGCAAGTAGACATGGCAGGCTATTTCCCCACGGGTCGATTCCTGCCCAAGTTTGTGAAGAAATACGGTGATATGTGGGGAGAAGCGGCACGAGCGATTCGAGAATATGGCAAAGAAGTCAAGGAGCGTAGTTATCCTGCCCCCGAACACACGTATCCGATGCCTGAGAAGGATGTAGCTGAGCTCCGTAGAATCGTCAACGCAGACCCATGAGCTGCACACATTGCGTGTCACCGTGTAGCCAGCGTGCAACTGCATCATAGTCACCATTATCATCATCATCATCATCCGAAAGCCTGCGTGATACTGTAGGAGACGACTAGCTCGTCGCCTGTCTTGAAGCACTGCCGTACCAGGTCAGGATATATAGCGCGTCAGCCACCCCTCGTCGATGCATATGTGTGAAAGAAGAAGAGAAGGGAGAGGAGAGGAGAGGAGAGCCACAAACCCTCCACAAGTTGCCAACCGCTTCGTCGAGACCGGGCGCAAAGACGGAATTGACATAGCAAAAGACAGCTTCGTGATCCTGGAGGGCCAACTTGCGTCGGAGAAACCTCACAATGTACTCGAATCGCTGGTTGCTAGAGCACTTGAATCGCGGCTGTCGGAGCTGGGCCGTATTGGGCAAAGGAGACAGTCGAATGGTGACTACATATGTGCTCGCCAAGGGTCGTCAGCGGAATGATGGTGATGATGATGATGATGATGATAAGAGGTATATATATATAGATGTACATCTTGTACCTCACTTACCTTTGGCTTGCTCGACGTCACCTGCGGTATCCAGTGCTCGGGCAGCATCCTTGGGTAAATGCTCGAGCACCACCGACGCTGCTATGGTCATGGGCAAATCTGCTCCCTCGCGCTCAAGAACATCATCTTCGGGAGACGTCGACATGGACGCGTGTTTGTTTCCAGGTCGTTTGATCAAGAGAGTCTGAGTGAAGGTGGGTGTATGACAACAGAAGGAACCCAGCGAGAATAAGGTCAGGTCAGATACCTTTATGTAAGTAGGTACATGTACCTACATGTAATGTCAGGTACCCAACAGAGAAAGTGAATCAAGCGTACTTCGGGGAGAGTGGTTGGTGGCCATGTCAAACAGACCAATTAGGTATAATCTCTACACTCTACTACTACCTCCTACATTGATGCTCATTTGGCGAAAAAAAACAACAACAACAAATGCCAACAGCTCGGGAGCGTCCATTGCATCTTCCTGCGCCCTTCGCTACGTATGTGCTCTTTGCAAAGCAACATGAAGCCATACAGTGCTGACGCCAAGACTCGAAAGAAATGCGCCTATGCTGCCTGCGAGATACAAGATACAGTACGATGAGCATGCTCCTCTCGTGTTTGTCGTCGTCTCGTCCCCCCTTGCCACGCGCACATGGTGATTAACGCTTCTTGTGAGGTCGCTTCAGTAGAGCCAGAAGCTCATCGAGCTCCTGCCAATTTTCAGCCGCCGTAGCGAACTTTCGATGCTTTCGAGAGGCAATATGCTGCGTCACCCATCAGCAATGTATATGAACGTGACCGTGGCTGGACTTACATCGTCAAAGTCATCGAATTTGTCACGACAATTTTCACAATAACCTGGCTTCGCTTCCTTTTCTACAACCTTCTTGCGCTTCTGAGCAGTAGTGGCGCACGCCTGTCGAGCCCCAGTACCGCCATTCTCGTGTTCGTACACAACACCAAGAGTTTCCTGAGCCTTTCGCTTCGCTGCGCGAGGCGGTGGCGCGGAATCATCGTTAATGGCAGCACGCACATCGTTGGCGTACGATGTGGGTATACTGGTAGATGTAAGAACTTTGCGTTTCAGCAAAGACATTTCGCGGCTGTCTCCCACACGGCGACTCAGGCCGGTCGTAGAAGAAATTGCAGCTGAGGATACGGCCTGAGAGCGGATGGCAGAGGTCACATTCGATGGCTGTACACCCGAAGCGACAGGCTCCCCGCGAACCATTCGCGGAGGACCACGCATGTTGGCCTGGGCACTATTGTAGAAGGTAGCAGAGGCCTCGACGGACGGCTGTCGTCTCGCGACTCCTGGGTATGGAGGGGGCGGCGGCTGCGTCATGCCAGCCATGTCATTTTGTGCCAACGTACGCGGCGATCTTCGCAGGGTCATTTCGTTCCCTGTAATGGTTGCGAGGGGTGGCACAAGCTGAGAAGCAACTCCTGCTCTAGTCTTGCGCTGTACCACGTCCCGAGGCTCTAGGACTTCGCGGTCCTCTTGTACCATCTTCTTCTTGGCGTACGCGGGATCTTCGATGAAGGGACATCGGCCAGGGGCGGACAACCTAAATTGAGGCCATTTGCCTTGTTCCTTGGTCTGGGGTTTTGAGTAGTCACGCACCATGACTGGCTTCGTTTTCTCGTCCATGTCGTGCACGTAAATATAGCAACCTCGTAAGGTGATTACGTCCTGCGTGGCAACAGTCATGTCTCGGTCGGTGGGACCTTTGACCTTCTCGTGGCGCAGCAGCTGTTCCAGATCAGCATCGCGGGCGTTATTGCTCGGAGGCCGATTGACAGCCGTGCCACGAGAGTCAACAGCATGTTCGCCTGCATCATTGTCCAAGATGGTGTCGAGAACGCGGTGCAGCTTCTCCAGAGCCCAGATCTTGGTGCCGAGCGCGCGTGCTTTGGACAATATATCAGCGCTGTGAGACTGCGTGCGACGAGTCTCCAGGCTGGGCTGCACGGATGCCAGCGAAAGCTGAGATCGACGTTGGATGTGAGTGTCCAACGCGCTCGTGGGCCGACGTGGATTGGTATTGGGCAACAATTGTTGTACACTGCGCTGCCGGAGGGCTTCATTCTCGTCATGGTCCGGACTGGTGTTCGCCGTCTCAGTAGGGATGGCTCGCGAGGTCACGACATGCGTGACGGCATTAGAAAAGAACTTGTCTTCTCGAGCACCAAGAGCCTGGACCTTATGTACCGCCTTGTGTCTAATTTCATCGGACACGCTGTCAAAGTAAAAGACAAACCCAGGAAATTGGCGACGGTAGTGTCTCTGCCACTGGCGAATGGACTCGATGTTATCGGCATGCTGCTTCTGCAAGCGGCCTTCGCGCAACTGCTGTGTATGCTGGGGGGTGGTCCTCTTGTCACGAACCGACGCGAGCTTCTTCTCAAACGCCGTGGGAGGAGCATGGCTCGCGCGCTTCAAGAAGGGTTCCTCTAGCTTGTCCAGACCAAGGGCAGGAACGCCAATCCTCCTCCGTGGGTCCACATTCTCTTCGTTGCCAGCAGGCAGCTCGACGATGTGCTTTTTGACTGGGGGTTGTCCATAGACAGACTGTTGTTCCCCGGCGTGGGCACGCGTTCGCTTCCCGTTGACGGCAGACACGCTGCGCATCGGCGAGTTGACGGCGTTAGGCACGGCGGCCAGCGGCGCTCTTCTGCTTGCCATCCTGCAAAGCACCTGAATTTGGACTCGGCGTGAGAGCAGCTGGGAGTCGTGTGGCAGCTCGTGCTGCTGCCATGCGCGAGCCTGAGTGCTGCGAATGGCACTTTTCCACGGTCCCACTTCTCGACACGGACGCACGCGACGAGGTGATGCTGGTGGTGGTAGTGTTGCTGCCGCCGCTATGCGTCCGCGGGCGTCGTGTGGACTGAGGAGAGGAGAGGGGCAGAGAGGGCGAGGAGGGAGATGACGGGCGTCTGTTGTCTGTTGGGGCAACAAGTCAATGCTGGCAGCCGCTTGAGGTGGGTGTACAAAGCTGGCCTGGCGGGGACGACGCGATGCCGCGTGTAGCTTGAGCGGTCACAACACCGGATCAACAAAGCCCGGGAGAGCAGAAGTCAGGAAGGTAAAAGCAGAACAACCGCCGTACGCCTCGCTAGAAAACCACAAGAGCAAGAGCAAGAACAAGAACAACAACAACAACAACAACAACAAGAGCGATAGCAAGTGCCAAGGCCAGTGTCAATGGTGGAGTTGGATGGTGTGTCGAGGAGCGAGTGAGTCCATGTCAAGAGCCGGGACGGAAGATGGAGCTGAGGCAGATTCCCGCGTAGCGACGCCAAGCCGAGAGAGAGAGAGAGAGTCAGGTTCATTGTTGTTGTTATGTTTACCTACTGTACCATTATACCATGGCAATGGCATTGGCAGGAACTACCTGATATTACTACTATTGCTACACACATACATGTACACACACATGCATACCTGTACCTTACCTACCTGACCTACACACATAGGTACCTAAACACACACACATCCGAGTCCACATTCATGCTCTGCAATTCTCTATCTCGTCAACTTCTTTCACAGCCGTCCGTGTGAGAATTTCAGCGCTCTTTGCACCAATAATCACGGAGTCTTCGATCCGGATGCCCATGCCACGAAAGTGCGATGGCCACTCGTCCCCATCCGGCACATATATGCCAGGCTCAATGGTGATGCATTGGTTCTCCGTGAGCCGGTCGGTTCGTGGATAGCCTGGTGCGTCATGAACATCAAGGCCAATGTAGTGGCCGACATGATGCGGGAACAGTCTGCCCAAAGCGTCACCGGACAGGTCAAAGCCCAACGACTTCAGCCCGTCTCGCAGACCGTGCTCGCAAATGCTGTGCAATTTGTCCAGCGAGGTCGCGGCATCTTCGCGGCACAGGCTGAGACAAGCCTTTTGTACCTGGAGAATCATGCTGTACATGTCACGCTGGGCATCTGTGAACTTGCCATTGACCGGCCAGCTTCGAGTGATGTCCGTGATGTACCCACCGTATTCGCCACCAGCATCGACCAAGACCAATTCACCGTCGTGCAGAAGCGCGTCATTGCGCGTGTAGTGTATGCTGAGCGCATTCCTGCCACCCGCAATGACAGGAACATATGCCTCACCGTCGAGCCCATTACTGCGGAAGCCGTATGCCAAATCTGCCCATAGCTGCTTTTCACCAGAAGGCGTGCTCGCCATGGCTTGGCTGATGATAGCCCCCGAAACAGAGCCAGCTTTGCGCATACAATCTAGCTCAGCATGAGACTTGACCAGCCTCAGCTCGTTCATGACTGGTCGCAAAGACCTCACGCTGGCATGCTGCCACAGCTTTGCTATGCCATCCACCTTTGCCGGACCTCCGATGAGCCGACTCAGGGCACTATGTCGGCTTGGGTGTCCTATGTCCGTGTAGACTACCTTTGCACCATCCACCAGCTGTGAGATTGCAGCGCCAGCGTTGTCAATATCACCAGCCTCGTCAGCGTTGAAGACATCCTGCGCTGCCTGCACGCCCGAGCGGGCACCGTCCCAGAGCTCGGCACGCTCGTCTTTTCCCCTCACAAATAGGTGGAAGGTGTATTCGACATTCGAGAGCCCTTTCTCAATAATCGCGACCGCCTCGGGTTCCTTGAACCCAGTGAGATAATAGAAGTTGGAGTCTTGGTGGAAGTCGTAAAACACCGCACCGGAGCGATACTTCAAAGTCGAGGCAGCGAGCACTGCTACGCTGTTTTGCGGCAGCTTGCGTGCCAGAGCAGCACGTCTGTGATGGTATTCGAGCGCAGATATGCCAGGCGTGATGTGTCCCGGCTGGATCAGATGAGGATGTGTCTCATGGAGAGGCTGGCCGAATTGGACTTCGGCGGCAGAGATGGGAGGACTGCATTGCGCAGCTGATCTGCTGAAACTCAGTCTGCTGCGAAATGCGGGTGACGGCGATATGAGACCGCGCAAGGGCGGCCGCAGCGATATTTTCATGTTCGTAAAAGGTCGAAGAAGCGTGACACCTACCTGGTAGTGGAGGAAGATGTGTTCTGAGTGCAGGTGGAGCCGACTGACACTTTAATTAGGCGCCGGAGGCAATCACGCACGTGCTCACGTTGTCCAACGCCTACCTCCACCTCATACCGACAGATATGCACTACAATAATAACACATGTAGCCGCTACGAAGTCTGAAATCTACCGACACTGTCGTTCGTAGTCTCCCCTTCACTGACACTTTGGGCATATTAAGAGGGCAAATTCCCGATGATAGGCCTGAGGAGCTCTGGAACAAGCTGGGCTGCATCACCTGCATGAGGTTAGTACACAATGTCATCTACATTATTCTTGCAGTCGTTAGGCGTAGCCGCCAGGATCTAAGCTTACCTTGGAAGAACCAATCGCCCTTTTTCCAGCCACCGGGAGGGACATCGTTTGGATCCATATTGACCACGCACACTTTAGCAGATCTGTAGCGAGCGTGATCAATGTAACCAGCAGCCGGATAGACCTTGGCACCTGTGCCGATAACCATGATGAGATCGATGTGATCACTCTCATTCAGGTACTCGTCGAGCCTGTCCAACACTGCAACCGGAAGCTGTTCGCCGAACCAGACCACGTTCGGGCGCAGCAACGACTCCGTACACCTTGGGCAATGCGGAAGGCCTTCGGGAGGTATATCAGGTAGCGGCACCGTAGCATCGCTGATGTCTTGCATGGCAGATTCGGGGTTTCTTGGTGTCGGAATGTCCAGAGCAGGAGTGATCGGATCAACGAAATTTTCGGCCGCGTAGCCACAGCCTGGGTCGGTACATTTCACCTCGAAAAGGGTTCCGTGCAGGAGCTGAAGATTGTCCCGTGGGTGACCAGCTCGTTGGCTCAGTCCATCCACATTCTGGCTGAGAGTGATGAAGCCTGGCATTCGACGAGCCAGTTCAGCCAACGCGTAGTGGGCTGCATTGGGCAAGGCCTGCAGTGCCATATGTCGCCTGTCTATACATACTTACTCAGTGTGCTGGTCAGATCGGTCGTGACGGTGATACTGACAACTGTAGAATCGCCACACCAGAGCGGGGTCCTTTGCGAACGCTGCCGGTGATGCGAGTGAGACGGCATCGTGCGTCCTCCATAGCCCGCCTGCGCCTCGAAAAGTTGCTACTCCATCGATCAGTACACGTACACGTAGGTTTCGAGCAGGTCATGTCAGCTCAATGGGAAGTCCCCAAATTGCAATCACCTACGTAAGCCCGATGCAGAAGAGAGTCCTGCACCTACCAAACACATCACCCGAGAGGATTTCTTGAGACACTCATGGAAGCTTGTGACGGCTTCCGGACCGGCGAAGGGGGCTGCCATATTCGTGGATAAGGCCGAGGATTGTGCAAATCGTCTGGTCAAGACGTGTGCAGAGGGGAGTGGAAGGTGACAAGAGAGTCGAGGAAAGGCATGAGTGGCATGCGGGAGACTCATTAGACACCTCACAACCTCGAAACCTCATTCACATGTGCACGGTCAAGAGTTGGCGTTGCACCTGTCTGTGACGCTGACGGTGACGGCGCAAACGTCTGCAGCTAGGTATCTACATGTACATGCAGAGGCAGATGGCAGCGGGAGTGTACCTTGTCGCTGCAGTGTGGTCGACTTGAGTCGGATGGAGGTTACCATTTATCTATCTACCTCCTACTTGTATCTCCTGGTAGCGTTACCTCAGGTACTGTACGTGACCTATATACCTGTGAGCCTGTGACTGGCAACTCGTTGACTGGAGACTGGGTCCCGACTCCCGAGATAAGTCGGAGGTTGGAGGTGCAGATTTGGGTCGCTGAGCACGTGCTACAAACCTAGACTCGCCCCGTCCCGTCCCGTCCCGCTTCCCCTCGTCCCGCTTTCCTTCCCAATCGTTGTTCTGCATCCTCGCTTGGCGCGTCAACGTCAATCCTCATCAGCCTCTCTGCTCAGTTGTCACTTCACTCACTTCACTCACTTGTCAGCTACATGTACAGCTACAGGTATCTTACCTGCTTACTGTACCGACTACCTTACCTACCTGACCTACCCATACTGCTCTACCCACCCGACTCACCTACCTCACCTGCCTGACCTACCTGTACCTGACTTCCACCTCACACGCATGTAACTGACTGCCTTGGCACTCTTCTGACACGACTGCATCCGCACCTCGGATACGCTACCTGATTGTCATTGCGCAGGTCGCAATGTCACAGGGCACATATCGCACTCTGCGCAATGGAGGCAGACTGGAATGAGGCGGCACGCTTGACCAACCCAGGCACGTACCTCACCACCTTCTGTTTTGACCCATCCGAGGACCTGCTGTGGACAGGCAGTGATACCGTAAGTGTCCCCGCGAGACGCTGTCGACGGTGCTGCGCGCCGACGCACTCGTTCTACGACGCCACACCTCTATCCTACACCATCATTCACGGACATACCGCGCCAACTTGAACTGCCGCCGTCCTGCTTCGCTCTGAGTCCTGATTATCCGCGATATAGGGCCGAATAACGTCCTTTTATGGACCCGAGTTGCAAAAGTACACTTCGTTTCGAGCTCACTCCAGCAGCTCTCCCCGGGGAGCGCAAGGCAGTGCAGCAGTCAAACAGATCCTGTTCTGCAACAGAGGGGTGGTGTCCGTGGCAAGTAGAAGTGTGCATCTCTCCTCACGGCGGGGGCTGACACAATGGCACCTTGCACTGGACGGTATGACCGACCTATGTTGTATGAGCTTCACCACGCGGGATGCCACTGAGTTGATTGTGGCTGGATGCCAGACACAGATGTATCGCATTGACGTCGAAAAGGGCACTGTGACTGACACCTGTACCCCTACTGGCTCAGCTCCCTACACACTCATGCGCTTTTCTGGTCAATATGTCTGTGCTGCAGCCCACGACGGTTCTATCCACCTGTTGGATCCGAAGTCGCTCGCCGTCGTCCACAGCTGGAAGGCGTACGCTGGAGTTGTGAACGACATGGACGCCCGAGGCGACTATCTGCTGACCTGCGGCTGGGCCCAAATGCAGTATCAGGGTCTGGCGTTGGAACGTCTCGTTCGTGTATACAACTTGAAGACCAGGAAGCCTGCACCACCATTACCATTCCAGTCAGGAGCTGCGTACGTGCGGCTTCATCCACGACTCTCGTCCACTTGCATTGTACTGGCTCAAAGCGGGACGCTCCAAGCTATCGATATACAGAATCCAGAGGTGCCGAACATGAAATATGCGAACCCAACGGAACCCAAGTTCACAGGCCTCGAGCTAATGCCATCTGGAAAGGGCTTTGCGTTGGCGGATGGTAGCAATAGTGTCATACTTTGGGGCCCACCTAACAAGCTGCAATTCACAGACTCTGCAAACTCAACAGAGTTTCCGGACTTAATCGCGAGTCACAAGCACATAGAGTGGACGGCAACTACATCTGTGAGCTCAGTAGGCATGCCGTACTACCGGGAGACACTCTTATCTAATTGGCCGAACAGCCTGATTCACCAGGTTGGAACATCCACGCCTCGCATCGACAATCTTGACTCTTCCTTTCGTACTTGTGACTTTGGCAAGGTCGGAACAAACCCACGGACCAGGCTGCGCCACCAAGCGCCAGACTTGGTACAGCAAAGTCTTCCTGATCCTCTCTCAGCTCCAAAATTTCTAAGCGAGAAGTCGAAGGTGGAGAACACAGAATCAGATCCACATCGGCGCATGAGTGAAGACCTCCTCAAGGCATTGACCCAATTCAAGGTGGATGGCAAGACTGTCAAAGATGCCCGATTTTTGTACCGCAATGTCGAAATCAAGTACAGTAGGTTTGGTGTGGAAGACTTCGATTTCCGATACTACAACAAGACAAAGTTTGCAGGACTGGAGACTCACATCGTCAACTCGTACGCCAACCCGTTGTTGCAGCTGCTTCGCTTCACAATGGTGGCCCGCAACCTCAGTTTACACCACACGGCGCGAGACTGCAGGATAGAGAGTTGTCTCTTGTGCGAGCTTGGATTTCTAGTTGACATGCTCGAAAAAGCAAATGGACCGAATTGCCAAGCTACGAACTTCTTGCGAGCTTTGAACAAGCAGCCGGATGCATTCGCCCAGAACATCATCGAGACACAACTGGCAGGGGCCTCGCTGACCGTGATGATTCAGAATCTGAACCGCTTTCTGTTTCAAAAGCTCGAGGACAACTTCAAAAGAGTGGCGCCGTCCCTGGACCAATTTCATTTAGCATTTGGTACGATTGGCCTTGACGTTACCCAATGCGTACAGTGCAGCTACGAAAGCAGAATGGACAAGGTCTGGTATGCTCACGACTTGACTTATCCACCACGGCAAACAAAATCGCGGCCAACACGCCAGTACTTTTCTCAGGTGCTGAAAGCCTCGATTGAACGGCACAGCCAACATCGAGGCTGGTGCTTGCGATGCAACGGCTACAAGAACATGGTGTCCCATCGCGCTGTGCACAACCTGCCCGCCGTACTCATGCTAAATGCCGCGGTCGCCACGAACGAGTCGAGGCAACTGTGGTCGACTCCTGACTTCTTGCCAAAAGAAATCGGTGTCATCGTGAACAATGGCCGTTTCTTCTGCTACGAGGGCGAGGACCTGCGGCTGCATTTGCAGCGAGCGCATTTCAATATCACTGTCTATCAGCTGGTGGGCGTGGTCGCAGATGTACTGCCAAGCGAGAATGAGAAGTCCCACCTTGTCGCCACGATCGACGTTGGACTTTCCGACATCGACACGAGTCGCGAAGGCGATTGGCATCTATTCAACGACTTCTTGGTTCACCAAGTTTCCCAAGAGGATGCTTTGCACTTCAACCCGCAATGGAAGCTACCTTCGGTCATCACGTACCAGGCCAAGAGCATGGCGCATGTCGTCGATGACAAATGGAAGAATGCTATAGACACCGGCATTCTGTACCGAAGCCCTGCGCAACCTGCGATTGTGGATACGTACCAGTTCAGACCTCTTTCCGACCATGAGACCCTGCCCACCAAAGGAGTCCACGTGGCAATCGACGCTGAGTTTGTACGACTCCTCCGAGAGGAGATAGATGTTGGGCCAACTGGCAAGCGGACCATGACGCGTCCTGCACGCTCAGGCTTAGCAAGAGTTTCGGTACTGCGGGCAGATGGCCTCGATCGTGAGCTACCTTTCATCGATGACTACATCAGCATCGATGAGCCGATAGACGACTATTTGACGCAATACTCTGGCCTGCATGATGGCGATCTGTCTCCAGGCAGAAGTCGCTACAGATTGGTGCACCTCAAAGATGTTTACAAGAAACTTTGGGTGCTGGTGAACCTTGGCTGCTCATTCATCGGCCATGGTCTGTCCAGTGATCTGCGGATCATCAACATCCACGTCCCCGAGGCGCAGCTCATTGACACCCAGGAGCTGTTTTCACTAGGTAATCGAACTCAACGTAAACTTTCGCTGCGGTTCTTGGCATGGGCGGTACTACAGGAGGACATACAGCAGGATGTTCACGATAGCATTGAGGATGCACGAACAGCACTACGTCTGTGGCTCAAGTATCTGGAGTTCAGCGATGCTGGCATATTGGAAGTGTGGAAGGATCGCATCATGTCGGCAGGAAGGGCGACCAATTTTCGACCTCCCACTGTGGAGAGTGCTCCCAGCACGCCTCTGCGAAACCCGGTCCAAGCTGCTGTCACTGTATCTGACCTAGGTAGTCCACTCAACAAAAGTTGATGATGTGGCTGTGGTGCACAGCCCTGGGAATGCGAAGCGAGCCAACAGTAAGGTATACACGAAGTGTCATCAGTGATATATCGCACAGTCGGTACCCATGGTCTTGTAATTGCTACGATCAGGAGCCCTTTCTCCCAGTGAATTCATGGGCCACGGGTTGCGCAAGGGACCTTGCCTTACATACATGTATCTGTACATATTGGTATTTGCCTTGTCAGTAGGTAGCGTCAGTAGAAGATGTAGACAATCAATGGAACAATACTTAGGCCGACTCCGAACGACTTCACGTACTACAGATGAACGATGAATGGAGGTCCGGCACCGATGCTTTGCAATCGCAAGCGTACGCATGCCACGCACACACCCTTCGTGGTGAGTGTGTTGAGCATCGAGACGCGCGACATGCCGGCGACTTGGTTGATGGTGCAGATGTGTGGTCATGGCCCTAACGAGTGCCCTGCACCGCACTCCACCATTCTTCAGCTGCGCTGTCATCCAGACCAGACGAGCCCACACCACCATCACCACCACCAACACCACTTTACCGCCGCCGCCTCCACCACGAGCTCTCCGCCTCCTCTCCACCGCCACGATTGATGCACGCCGGTGACATGCGCTGCGATGGCCGACGCCGCCGATAGATACCCGTCGCCGCCGCCTCGCACCAACGGCTTGCCTTTTTACCAGCAGCACGACCCCTCGGCGCAACAACAACACCACAGCCAACAACAACAACAACAGCAGCAGCAGCAGCAGCAGCAGCAACATCAGCAGCAGCAGCATCAGCAGCATCAGCAGCAGCAGCAGCAGCAGCAGCAGCCTCATCACCAGCCACCGCCGCCGTCGCACCCACACCCGCACCTCCACCAGCACCAGCAACAGCCACAGCAACAGCAGCATGAGAACTCGGTAGCGGGGCTCGGGCCTGAAGGCGGCGAAGGCAATGGCCACGAAAACGGCCACGAAAACGACAATGGAGCTGGGGGCTCACCTGCCTCGCTGGGCGGAGAGATTAGGGACACGCGCCGCGAAGTGCCTGACAACAGCCATATCAATGATAATGCCAGCAATACCAATAGCAACACTCCCTTGCGTCCCCATCTCGCGCCTAGTGCGCCCAGCAGCAGCCATCTGGGCAATCTCGGCCCCTTTGGTCAAGCGCGTGTGCAAATGCTGCCTGCAGGCGCTCCGCAAGGCTCAGTCGCCTATGCACAAGCAAGTGGATCGGTAGACGCTGCACCTCTCCCTCCAGACAAGCACAAGGACAAACGCACCAAAGTCAGTCGCGCCTGCGACGAGTGCAGACGCAAGAAAATACGTTGCGATGCCATCGATGAGACTGGTAGTGTCCCGTGTACAAACTGTGCCAGGTATGTGCGAAGTCTCGATGTCACTGGGACAATGTTGGACCACTATCCATTCACAGCAGCTAATACCAGGCCGTACACAGAACGGGCGCTCGATGTGCGTTTAGCCGTCAGCCTATGAAGCGCGGACCAAGCAAAGGATACATCAAGGAATTGGCCGAACGGCTCAACAATCTGGAACAGCAAGTTCATCCTCCTCACCTGGAGCAGCAGCATCGATATGAGATCCAGCAAGTGCAGCAAGCTATGGCAGAAGGTTTACAAAGCTACCCTTATGACCCCAGGATGTTGCGTGATCCTCGTTCGGGTGAGAAGAGAAGCCACGATATCGCCGATGGCTTGCAGGGTGCACAGATGCCTGTACCTAATGCGCCCATGGGTCACGCGCAACAAGCACAATTCACTCCCCAAGCGCACCATCCAGCCCAATCTCTGGCTGCGCAACCATTCTTTCGATACGGTGCAGCCCACGAAAATCGTCGCGAGGCTGTGGGTCTCTCATACGACGCAGATCCGCACAATAGTACGGTTTCCAGCTTCGACTGGGATGAGACTGTTATTGAAGAGTACTACCGCATAATACACCAAACATTTCCACTGCTGCCCAATAATAAGCACCGCCTTCGTCAACGGCTGGCAGAGTGTCCGACATCGCTGAGAGACGCATTCCTGGCAGGCCTTGATTGTCTCATGCGAACATTCCCAACCACGACCTTGGCCCCAAACCCCGACTACGCACAGGCCTTGAAGCGTACCGCAGAATTGTTGGCCCAATATCCTTTCGACAACCCGAGCTCTCATACCAGTGCCACGAATCTTACCTACCTACAGACTCTGATTATAATGGCACTGGAGAGTGACAATCATGGTCCTGCCACGATCAGAGGCCAGGCGGGGCCTAGTCGCGCCGAGTGGCTTGGTCGCGCAGCTGGCGTGGCAGGCCAGCTGGAAATCAATGTCATACGCACCACGAGCCAGTCGTTACTGGAAGGAGATAGGGACTCCGAAGAGCGCTTGGCTCGCCGCGTATGGTGGGTGCTATTCATCTTGGATCGGTGGCACGCATCATCCACAGCTGATCTCCTAAAACTCCCCGAAAACAGTGTTGTGCTCCTACCTGAGGACCAAATACTGCTTGGAGAGTCCACATACAATCTTGCCAGGCTGTCCTTCATCATTGGGCATCTGGCTGCGATTCTGACCACTACCAAAACGCCCTCGACCGACGTCATGGCACCATCGAATCCCGCCTCGTCTCTACTTGGACTCACACTAGCCGGAGAAATAGATCGCTTCCGGGAATCCGTCGAGTCTGTTTGGGGATCGTTGAATCTAGTGCACCTGAGTTATCATCATTGTCATCTTCTAATCAAGCGTATGAATCCTGTCACCGAGCCCTCGGAGCTCGTCGGCCACGCTGTGAAGGTGGCGACTATGCTGAATAGCCGTCTCACTCCCGTCACGCCTCTCAACCACCACTTCGGTGCACTCGCTGCCATGACTCTTTGCGAACTTTGTGACGTACCAAAGACCCGCATTGAAGCGCTCAAAGGTCTCGATCAAATGGCAGAATGTCTCGGCACAGGTCGTGGACTAGCTGGAAGATTGGAAAGTGAAGGCTGGGACGGAGCAGTGCGTGATCTTGTTGCCAAGAAGAGGGAGGCCATGTTGCAGTACGGCGATGGACTACACGACCTTGCGAATGCTGCAGCAGGTGTCACGGAGCCCACTTTCGACCCAACCATGGTTACGAGATATGGCTACCTAATCTCTTTGGGCCAAGGCTTGTTTGGCAGGGACGACTTGGGGGCATCATGAGCAAGCATGATCAGATCATTGACCTGATACGAGCTTTACGTTCTTCTATCTGAAGGAAAAAGGCTTTTTAGTATTGAGCTCGCTGGTGCACCTCCCGCCTAATCTCAAACAGGACATCATCAAATTCCCGTTCCTCTTCTTGCGAGCCAAGAATCATGTTCTTGCAATCCGCAAGAAGGCCCCGCAGACGACCAAGAATACTCTGCGGTTGTGCCATCTGCCTTGCTTCAAGTTGTGGTGAAGCAGTCTGCTCGTCAACAGCTGTTATGTGGGCAGGCGCCATAGCGCCCTTCTTGGCTTCCTGATCTGCTTGGTGTGCGACTCGGCGCCGCTGTTTCCGCTGCGACGAGGTATCCCCACTAGATCCGTCTGCACTTAGTGCTGATGAAGCTCGTTTTCGACCTCTGGTCTGCGCAGATACTAATCTCTCCATGTCCTGCGATTCTGACTTTCTAGGTCGTCCACGTTTGCGTTTCGTGACACCTTCGTTCGAGGGACCTTCTGGAAGTGTCGCGATTGCCTTGCCGTCGTGCTCCAACGCATTCTCCAATGTTACCGGCGTCAAATGCACAGCCTCGGTGTGAGGCGACGATGCAGATGGATTCGTGGCCACTACGATCTCCTCGCCGATTTGCTCTTCTTGCGCATTGCTAAATAAAGACATGAACGTGTTGAAGGGCGACGCTGGCTTGCGTTTCCTCGCAATGTGAGCCGTTTCCGCGGTGCGTTTCCGCTTTCTGGACGATCTCGATACTTTCGAGTCAGTTGTACCGGTGTCCGAAGGTGTGGAAATAATGTGATTGCGCGAGTTCAAAATTGTATCTTCGATCCTAGAGGGCGTCTCTGGCGATACCGGCACTTTCTTGGGCGTGCCATATTCTCGTACATGCGTCATTCTCGTCTCCAAATCGGTATCATACAATGACACTGCGGCCTCCTCTTCAAGTTGCAGTTGTGCACTGGGGAGCTGTGTGTCCGATGGCAAATCGGAGTCAGCGACTGCCATCTCCACATTAGTAGACTCGTTAACAGTAGCATTGTGTGAAGAAAAGTGTTCTGAGGAGCTGATACCCGCTTGAGCTGCTGGCATTACAGCACTAGAGGACCCTCCAGTGGCCAATTCCGGTGGTGACGAGTGAAGTTCGCTATATTCATCGATTTCGACCGTGCAGTCTGCCGTAGACGAGACGCTTTCCTTACCCCTGGAGGGCGTAGGCGATGATTGTATATCATCGTTGAAAAGTGCGACATCCCTGGCGCCTTTCGGCGTAATGACAATGTCTCCAGTCTCCGTACGGCGCAAGTCCGACACGAACTTCAACTTTTGGGGAATATGCTCGCGAGACACCGAAGGAGGAGCCAAGGGACTGGAGGGTAGCCAGGCATATGCCTGCGCATCATCGCGCTGTCGAGCTCTAACCTCTTGTTGTCGTGCAGTCCACAGTTGAGGTTCCGGATTTGTAGTACTTGACAACGGCTCGACAGGGGTGAAATGCGCTTGCGAATCATCAGTCTTCGGCCGTGTTGTCGTTTCAGAAGATTCAGAGGAATTTGAGCGTGATTCAGAAGGAAGACATTGTGCGGCCAAATGTTGTTTAATGAAAAAGTTATCCGACGATCGCTTATGGTGAAGTGGAGTAGCACGATTGCCGCTGACCAGGTGTCGCCGGTCGACGATCGCGGGTGCCTGTGATCCGCCACATACTGGGAGGCCCGCGGACCGGACGTCGTCACGGAGGCGAGGAAATTCAGGAATAGTCAAGTCGGACTGTATTTGCCTGGCACGAAGCACAGGGCTCAGCTTGACGGGATAATCAAGCTGTTGTTGCTTGGCGAATGTGGAATTCCAGAAACCGATAGTGGCGTTCACTATGGAATTGCTGCGACTCGAAAACCCTGCGATGAGTAGTGGCTCCAGGACATCGAGCAGCAGGCCCTTCGGAATGGAGAGCTTCTCCGTCACCAATGACAGCAGCTGCGACCAAGACTCGTTGATCCCAAGCTGCAAAGTTCGGGTTTTTTCAGATTGTTCGTCCTCCGTGCGAGGCACGTCTCCTGATGGGAACACGAAGCCTTGATGATCCTCAGCCCAAGTAGCATAGCCTCGCTGTAGTTTGTCGAGAGCGGTTTGGAAAAGCGTGGGCGGGCATCGCTGCAAAAAGCTCGCGAGCGAGGACATGAGCATCGACACCAGCTTTTCCTCACCACCCTTGAAATCAGCAAGACTCTGATATGACGATTCGAGGGTGTAGCTGAAGAAGCTGTACACGTGATCGAAAGGATCAAAGACTTGCATTTTGCAGGGTTCAAGGCTGACGGTCCACAGGGCCTTTCGACTCTCGTCAAGCTCTGAGCGCGTGCTTGGCCATACGCCACTCTCGGCTATCGTGCTCGCCAGTCGCAGAATCGAAACCATTGAAAGCTGCGAGGACTGCTCTACGATCAGTCTCGCCAAAGGCTCCATCACAGCGAGAACAATGCCTCCGTCGCTAGCGACATGTCGCGCAGAGTGACATGCGGCATTGTACATCTGCACCACTTTCTGCTGGCAGTCTGCCTCTCTGTATCGAAGACCGCTTAGAATGATGCTGGTAGTGGCCTTCAGCGCCACTCCCATGACGAATGTATCCCGCTGTGGAGACACGGAGGACTGCATCTTCAAGGTTTGTGTTGCCATATCAGCAACGGCTGTCCACAGTTGCCCATAGATATGTTCCAGCTCGGGCGACAGATTGTCTGTCTTGTTCTGCAGCGATCTCTGTAATAAGCCCAGCAGCGCCGAAGTCGATATCTTGGCGCCAGCCAGCAAGCGCAGGAACCACACTGCCGACTTTTGCATAACGCCGGAAGCACGGAGCGCAAGAGGAGGCTCGTAGTAAAGACCAAACAGCAGAACAAATGGGGAACATGTCATCGGTTGCTGTTTGGGCTGCCGGTGAGATGGTGTTGGCGCAGCCTCGATGTCATCCGCGCTCGTCTTGACCAGAATGTCGTCCACGAAGTGTAGCGATCCAAGGCTTACCACTGCATTTTCAAGCATGTTCTGGTACCTATTGAGCCACCTTTGGCTATCATCTTCTGCGGTGAAGGCTGCGCCAGATTTCCATAGCCGGTGGAGGAAATTGACAATCAATGCAATCGCATCCTTGAGCTCGTTTGACGCCTTCACTTCTTGACTACCAGCGTCCGCGACTGCAGTTATCAACGAGCGCCAGCAGTTATCCATTGCGTGCTGTGTGTCGAGAGTCATGGAAAGTTGCGAAAGTGTCAACGGTTCCATGACGGCCATAAATCTCGCCATTCGCGATCGTACCCATCGCACGTCTAGGCTGGGCAGATCATCAGGCTGTATCGGATTGCGCTCATTCGCAGCATTGGCATTCCAGGTACCATCTGTCTTCTTGAGTAATCCGTGCAGAACGCGGAAGGCAGTGTTACGACCTTTGCTTCCAGTCGAGATCTTGGTGAGTACCGGTCCTACATACATGTCCCATGCAATATCCAATTCTTCGTGCGCCAGTTCTGGACGCATGGCATAGTGAATGAGGTTGCAATAGCTGTCGAGGGAAAGCTGTCGTAGTTGCTGAGAAAGCTCACTGCATCCGCGTCTCTCCAGACCTGCAAGAACTGGTACCTTTAGCATGGAGCGCAAGAGCTCGGAAGTTGACGAGTCTGGCATTACTGCGTAGACGAGCCTGTTCCAAGCGATGTTGGCAGGCCTTTTCACGGCCATATCACTCGAGTTCAGACATTTCTGAATGGTCAAGAGCCAGTCTCTGAACTTGGGCCATTTTCCGACGGGACACCGCTTGCTTCGAAAGCACATGATGACCGCAACCCAGATTTCGGGGACCAGGGGAGCTTTCACTTTATCGGAAGTCATCTGAAGTAATTGCATGTTGAGGTAGTCACCGTAGCACTGACCCTCCTCAAGTTCTTTCTCGCACAGCTCTGATATTGCCTTGGCTACTTGTGGGTGATGACCGAGCAGCATGCCCATCTGTGTGCACACGTCGATTGCCCTCCGCTGAACGTCGTTCACACTGCTGAGAAGGGCATGAAAGATGTGTTCGATCCAGTCTTTGACCCTGTTGAGCATAGTAGTAGGAGCACGTTCAATGAGGCGTTGGTAAATGACAAGACGGGCCGCGACCATGCTGTTGCGGGCTTCCAGGTTCTGCATCACATGGATGAGGCGCTCTGCTCGTCCACCTCCGAACGCGGCGCGTGGAAAGCGTTGCACGCAGAGAAGATGCAAGTGGCCCTTCACCACCCCCTTGGCCATCCCTGCTTGTTCCAGCACAAATATCGACCGATCAATGACGAACGCGTGAAAGTCGAGGTCGAACAAATCCTGAGTCTGGGGATCGAAAAGGATAGCGCAGGTCAGACTCAGGGCCATCTGCACAACCTGGACGTCTAGATGACCAGTGGGGTCTTTCCAGGCCAGATCCCGAGACAAGCATTGCGTCAGGCGAGCCATTTTTTCGGCTAAGGACTGTGCATCAGGCACTCGACTGTACGATTTGATGGCCCCAGTGAGAGCCATATATGCATCTCGGCGCGCGTCTCTTGATGGCCCCTCCAGCTGCAGCAAGACTGAGTGCAGCATTTGTCGAAAGCCTGCAGGGTCCTGCGGGGTGAAGTAGCTGAGCGCAGTGTCATTGTTCGCCTCATCTGGAGTGCAAGGCAAAGGGGCCGCGGAAGGCTTGAGAATGGACTTGAGGGGCCTCGGAACGTGGTCCTGTACGAGATTCGACAGTCTCGCAGGCGGCTGGTGAGGAAGCGGGATAGGCGAGCTGGACTGGCCTATAGCCGGAATTTGGTGGTACGTTGGACATGGCGAGAAAACGACCTTTTTTGGAGGAGAGATCGTGGTCTTCTTGGTCGGAGGCGTGTCGAGGCTGACGTTAGTCATGGTACTGTCCACATTCGGCCTCCCGCCCATATTCGTGCTCGTCTTCATCCCCTTGTCGCTGAGTCTAGTGGTCGTGACGGTGGAAACAGGATCAGCCGTCACAGCAGGCTCATCGTGGCCCTGCACGAGAAAACGCAGGGCTTCGTCGACAATCTTGCCGCTGTCGTCGTTGTCCTGGGCGGTGGAGGTGGGGCAGGGGAAGTGGCGTGGTGGCGTTGGAGGGCGGGCAGGCAGCGAGGCCAACAGCGACGGGCTCGACGATGGCGACTCGGGAGCAGACATGACCGGCGTCTCTCTCTGTCTCTCTCTCTCTATCTCTCTCTCCCCTTCTCTCTCCCTCTCTCTGTATGTGTGTCTGCCTCCCTCTCCCTCTCCCCCCGTCTCTGTATGTATGTCTGTCTCTTTCTCTCTCTCTCTGTCTGTCTGTCTGTCTGGGGGTCTCTCCTCTTCAGTGTCTCGCTATTCCCCCTCTCGTCCACGTATCACACAGACATCTCGTCCTCACGCTGGTTGGTGTAAGCGATGATGAGTCGATGGAGGAAGAAGGCGCAGGCACATAGGAACGCGGAGCAGCAGATCACAAGCACGTCGACGTGAACACTGAAGCCAGCCAGCCAGGCCCATTTCAGAAAGTAAAGTCACGTCACGTCACGTCGAACTCGAACGCGAGATAGGTACAGACGCGTGGAGTTCGGGCGGCCCGTTCGGCCCGTCAAGGCCGATCTCCAGCGCGACTTCCCTGCGTCTCTGCCCTTCACATGCCAAGGCTGATGGCTTCACTTCTTCACTTTTCTGTCTATTCTTCACTTACACTTCTCCATACCATCCTCATCACATCCCCGTTCTCGCGCAGTAACAGTGGTCAGGTCGCCCATGGAACGCCAGAGCCCAGTATATCTCGCTCCAGCCTCAGGCGAAGGTGGGCTTGAAGCCGTCGTCCATTCACATCAAGCCGCTGACTTTCGTGACTCCTACAGCAGCTATACGAGAGCTGGAGCGCCTGCTGCATGATCTGGAAGACAATCTCGATACTCTGAAACTCTCCCTCAAACGTGAGCCGATGCGGCCGCTCTACGTGGCCAGAAATGGCTAGCTGATCGGACCATAGAGCAACAAGATGCCCTGGGTGAAGTCAAAGCTTTTGGCCGCAACCCTCAAACCGCACGCCCTATCTTCACAAAACAGGTATGTTGTCTACCACGTATGCTCTGGAACGTGAGCTCACACCACAATCAGGCCATCTCAACGCTGTGCAGGTATGGCTTTGATCGCCCAGAATCTACGGAGGCTGCTCGCGAAGCGCTTCGATGCTTGGCAAATGCCTTCTTGCTGCATGAACCCTCCAGGCAGACCTTCGTCGACCTTGGATATGGACCCAAGGCGGCTGAACGACTAAAATTGGACGACTACGAGGATGAATTCCTTATATCACGCATCTTGTTCTTCCTGACCTATAATACCACGCTCGATTTTGAGGCACTCATGAGCCAGAATGACCTGGCCCAGAGCATAAATCAAATCTTCTCTCATCACGCAGAGTACTATTCAGGCTTGGACATCATACAATCGCCGAAATTTACGCAGCAGCAGCTAGCAATGAGCGAAACGTTGAAGCTGCTATTTAATATCACATATCATTATCCGGATTCGCTGCCAAAGTTCGACCCCGCCGTCGAGTCGCTGGTCACGATCGTTCTTCGACACCCTCTGCCAGAGCCTCCTCTCCAACCTCCGACAAGCTACCTATTGAACGCCTTACTTAACCTCGATATTCGCGCTGTCGGAAAGGGAACGCAATCTGGTCACGGACCCAAGGCGAGTGCGGCTTCGGAAAGCCCTGACCTGGAACCTCTTGTCAATAGACTTATTCACATCCTCGACGCTGCCGTCTGCAACCATCCCGAAGAGACACTGGACCAGGCTGCAGCATCGTTGTTTACCCTCTTGAGACGTTTGTACGAGCTTGCGACACCACGCACGAAAGCTGTCATGCGTACCCAAATTCTGCCTAATGCGCAAGATCGCGACCAGCCACTTGGGAAAGGAGGGTCATTGTCCTCCCGTCTACTGCGCCTATCTTGCTCACCTAAGCTACCCACTCTCCGGAGCAACATCTCTGCGCTGCTGTTCGAAATGAGCGAAAAGGATCCCGGCAAATTCGTCCAGAATATTGGCTATGGATATGCTTCTGGATTCTTGATGAGTCAAAACATCGAAGTACCGCCGAGTGCATTGGAGGCCAACGCCTCATCGAACGGGGAAAACGTCGCCCATGTCAATCCAGTGACTGGTCAGCGCTGGGCGGCGGAAGAGCGCGATGCTTCGAGCACATTGCCCATGACTGAAGAGGAAAAGGAGCGAGAAGCTGAGAGGCTGTTTGTGCTGTTTGAAAGACTCAAAGCGACTGGAGTTGTGAATGTTCAAAACCCAGTTGAGAGGAGGTTCGAAGAGATTGATTGAGTCAGCATTGGGTTGATCGCGTCCAGCGCGCATGATGATGATGAGACATCTCCTTCTCGCGAACCTTGCCACATCGCTCGCACTTCTAGCGAGCGGCAGATTCGATGAGCTGAGCCTTGCCTCTCCTGGTTACCCTTGAAGTCAGCAAGGGGGAGGGCATGACCCAGCAAAAGCTCGTCCGAAAGAGACAGACGGTATTGAACTGATCTTCATATGTAGTCAACCATCTAATGTATCGCTATAAATCGCTTGAACGCTTTCGACTTCCTCATGTGTCTTGATGATGGTGCTTTGTCTCTCAAGAATGACCTTTGAACAGCGAACGAATCAGCGAGGGCTCCTTTCGGGCCTTTGATTTCGCAGTGTCGCTTTTGCTCCGCTTGCTGTAGCTGCTGCTCGCTTCACTCTTGGCCTTTTTCTTCCGTTCCTTCTTGTCCGATTTGGACACGACGGGCTTGAAGTCAGCCTCTGTCAATCTCCCTTCCTCGATGAGAGTTCGTGTGGCATTGGGCGTGATGAACTCCCCATCGACGCTGGTACCGAGAGAGCCAGCTCCCACATCAGCGATGCCACGTCGCCACTTCTCAATATGATCCAGCTCACGCAACTCCTCCATTTCCCCACTGGGGCTGTCTACAGGCTCTGCTGTGAGTGGCGCTTCCAACAAGCGTTCAGCTTCATTCTTGGCTTGTATTTTCTTGATGATTTTGTAACCACCAAAGGCTATGATGGTCACTCCGATGCCTACGCCGGCGGCAATTGCAAACTGGGGAGATGCGAGCAGGGCGACGATGGCGGGAAACGAGCCCTTCATGGCAGTCAACGCACCCGGCGCCATCTTGGCTGCAATGTTGCTGATCTCGGCAAGGGTCAAGGCGACCGCAGCGAGAGCATCGGGGTTCTTCTGCAGGTTGTCGATCATGGCGGTGACGGAGTGCTGCACACAATTGCCCTCGTCGAGCAGACGCTGCAGGTAGTTCATCTTCTCTCTCAGCTCCACCTCATCCTCCAACTTGTGTTCGGGAAGTGGTGGAGGGAGATGGCCATAGGCGAGGTCCATGTCAATGTCGTCCAGACTCGTGCGCGGCGGAGCAGTAGCAGCAGCAGCAGAAGCACGAGGGGAGCGAAGCTGCATGCCATCAGTGTGCCGACGTGTGAGCTCTCGGATGCGAGGCTCGTCGGCGTCGTCGTCGACCAGGAACGCTCCATGGCGCGGTGAGGGCCGAGCTGGTGGAGGAGACGCCGTGTCGTTGACATAGAAGCTGTCCGATATACCACGCTTCACTGCTGGGCGCGTGGGAACTGGCTTTCTCTTGACGGCGCGCCCGTCGTCACTAGCCCCTGGCGAGCTGCGAACCGACTGCTGGACGTCGTGGTTGACATGACCGTCGCCGTCGTCGTTCAGCACGAGGTCTTGCAGCTGCTTCTGAGCCCTGCGTTCCCGACTGCGAATGTCCTGCTCGCTGCGCCGCTGCGCTTTGATCTCTGCTTTTCGCTCGTTGTAGGCGCTCTTGGCTTCGGTGAACACGTTGACTAGATGCTTCGATGTGCTCACGATTTTGCCGCCCTTGTTGACGATGGTGATGGTTTGGTTCACCGCGACCATTTCGATATGGGAGGTACGCTTTTCGAGGTAGGTATGCTAAGGTATTGTAGGTATGATGTTGTAGGTAGGATATCGTATCGTGTCGTGTCGGTTCGTTGGCCTTGTGTCGTCTGGTATTGATTGTATCGTGCCCGTCTTTCCGTTTGCGTCGTATGGTGTCGTATGGTGTCGTGAATCTGTCGTACCTTGTCGTTTTTTGTTCATTCGTTCGGTCACTCGTATGGTCGTGGGGGTCGTGAGAGTCGTGTACTGTATATCGCCAATGTAGCAGTGGTGAAGACAGAGTCGGCGGGAGTAGGAGGACGGCAAGGCGTAGGAGGTAATGTAGGTAAGTAAGTACGGTAAGTATGCTGAGATACCTACGGCTACACACAGGCAAGGTAAAGGTGGCGTAGGTATGGTAGAAGTAGGAGGTTAGGGATGCTGGTTGGCGAGCAACAAAGAGAATCCATCCTCGCTCTCTCCCTCTCTCTCTTTCTCTCTCTTTCATTCATCATTCGTCGGTGTGCGTTGCGGCGTTGGCAAGCTATGGGGCGCGCACGCTGGCTGGCTGGGGATAAATAAACTAAAACAAACTAAGGTACATGGCCAGGCTGCCAGCGTGTCGTCCCGTTGTCCACGTGTGACTGAATTGACGATGATGGTGATGATGCCCACCAGGTTTCTTACATGATGCATCTTTGAGCTGATCAGGTAGGTCGTTATTCATCTACCTACCTGGTAAGTAAGGTACCTGACTTTAGGTACTTTACAAATGTTAAGACTGCTATATCATCATCTAAATTGTATATGGGCAATTACCTGCGGCCAAATTTGCCTAAGGCATCTTTTAGCTTGCCAGTAGTAGTAGGGAGGTACTGCCGACAGGTAGTTCGCCTGTCTATCGCCGTGTCTATCGCTATAAACCGTAGGTAACCGTCTTTTCATTTTTCCATCATCTCTTTAAATGTCTAAATATCTTTCCGAGCATACTTGGAGTGATTCTTACGTAGTGTTTCACCGTATTTATACTGAAAAAATGAGATATTAGCATACATACATACACATATCCAACGATGCTCGTATCAAGAGTGTCAGAGGAAGGGGAGAGAGAGAGGGAGAGAGAAAGGGACAAATTGACGTACCAAAACAAACGGAATCGGAATAAAAGCAATCGAGATGAAGGCGAGCGTCGAAGATGCCCATCCGACGCCTAGATAATTGTACATGGCTGTTGCGAAGAGAGGAAAACCGGCGCCTGTTGTGATGTGACGAAGAAAAGTGTCAGTCATCAGCGAGTGGTTGTTGTTCTTGTGCCATGTTGTGGACTGATTCCACATGTTGGGTAAGGTAGGTAATGTACTTACCAAAAGCCGATCGCATAAAATCGTTGCCGGCCAAGACAGAGGCGGCGTAGTCGGGGTATGCATCGGGGAGGTAGTTCAAGATACTATTGAAAAGGCATGTAGTCCCGACGGAGAAGAAGCCGCTGCCGACTGAAAGTTTTTTGTGTCAGTACACAGTCCTTAAGTTGCTTCGTAGCGAGAACAGGGCTTTGTCTTTCTTACTGATGGGAACGATCCAATGCACGCCTGGTCGACTGGCCCAGCCTGTCAAAACTGGTTAGCATACAGTCTTCCCTTCCCCCTTCCACTCCTGGGGGACTTACCGAACCAGAATAAACAGATGGGTATGCAGAAGCCCTGTGGCCCGGCAGCGGTTAGCCTAGTCATCCAAAAACAAAAACAAAAATGATTTTTTTGCACAGCCAACGTACTCCTACGAAACAAGGCACGAGACGCTTCTCCGGCTGCACGTTTCCGTTCTCGTCGACTATGATAATCATCACAAGTTAGCGGGACAGCCACATCTCGGAGAGGGTCAGATGAATTTCTTCAAGTCCTCTTACATTGAGGTTCCCTGTACGAGAAGAAAAACGTTAGCTCCAAACTCGACAACCTCGCTGCGCAATGGTCTCTCTTCTTTTCAACACTTACAGAACGTAGTGCAAATATGCGAAGAAGGGTGGCATGACGAGGAAGGCTCCTACGAAGATTCCCAAGAATGCGAGACCTGAGACTACTGTTAGTGTATATCCACCAGAAACAAAAGAAAGATGATTTCGAGGGAGCGTGTAATACCTTCGGCGCCCAATCCGAAGCCATAGATATCAACAAACACCTAATCACTGTTTAGTCACTGCCGGGCATGTTCCCGTCGAGAATTCTCAAACTTACAATGGCAAACGACTCGAACCAAATGTACAGCAAACCGTACACAAGTGCAATGTACAGATTGAGGAGGAAGACCTGAACATGAAAAATTTCAGCGGGAGGAACAATGTGGTGCAAACGTGCACGATTGTCAGGGATTACTCACCATAGGCTCCAAGAAGTTGAGAGTGAACGGTCTGACCAAACTCATCATGACCACCTCTTTTCCCGTCATTTGCTCGGACATGATCTCTGGCTCGCACGTGAGTCTGTCGTCACCAGTGATCTTGCGAAGGCGTTTGGTGCGTCGCAACAGAATGTTGTTTGCGGAAGTCTCGGGCAGTAGGAAGAAGAGGAAGACCAAGCAAAAGGCAGAAAGCCACATGAGTTCCCTTGGATTGCCGTCAGCCTGGCGATATCGATCAAATGTCGGTCATACTGTACTTACCAAAGAGGCCATGTCCAAGGTGCCGTGAAGCCTCCGTGGCCGGGGCCTGCGGGAGCATATTGTACTGCGTAGCCTCCAATCAAGGGTCTAGTCGGATGAAGAACAGGTATATCAGCATCCATCGTGCCCATGGAATATACTCATTGAGCAGGACTTACCCGAGCGTCGGCCCACAGACAGCTGCAATGCCCCAGATGGCGACGGAGTATGCTCGCTTCTTGGGCGCCCAGATATCAGCGAGCGACGCACCGCCTGTAGCAAGAACAGGAGAACCGAAGAAACCCGTGATGAATCGAAAAGCCAGAAGCATTCCAAAGTTCTCAGCACGTGCGGCTGCAGGCTGCAAACCAACGAAGACGACAAGTGTTCCCAGGTAGATGGGGTTTCGACCTGACCACCACGTCCATCATGTCAGTACCATGTGGCTACCAAGTTGGTCCAGGCAATACTGACCAATTTGTGGAATTTCCGACATGGGAGACCATAACATGGGTCCTAAGCCATATCCAGCGACGAACAGACAGAGTCCCAGGGTTGCAGCCACTTGCGAGACTCCAAAGGTAGCCATTCTGTAGCAAGCGAGCAAGAAAAGGTCAGCAGTGACTCTGTATGAATGGAATACTCTCGTAGCACAGCCTCGACTGTTTGGACTTACACGCTTTGCGTTCCCGCAGAATAGATACTTGATCCAATATAGACCTGTACAAGTCAGGACACCGCAATCAGTCACAGGAACGCCGAGAATCTTACAGAAGTAGTCCTACAAGATGGGATATGTCAGCTGGTATATCTTGTGGCCAATGTTTTGACAGTGGGAAAATTTAAGCAATCACTCACAATAAACATATCTCAAAAGTCACAAAGCACTTCTTCCCTGTGCTCCAACATTGCGGATTGCTGGGGATGAAGCAGTCAGCATACCATTTTGTCCATATCACCATATACCACCTATACCACATCATCCTCCTCCTCCTCCTTCTCAATCCCCCTCTAACACTCACTCGGTATCATGATCGCCCCACCAACTAATCACATGCTTGTCCTTGCCCTTTTCCGGATCCACCTTCACACCAGACGCCTCATTGACTTTCTCAAAATCGCTATCCCCTTTCGAGTCCAACGTCTCTCGCGAATGTGATCTTCGATCATCACCACCAGCGGTCTCCGGCTCTGTGCCATCCTCTCGAGGATTCGTGTCGCCATGATCGGCCAGATTTCCCGATTTCTTCTCGTCGATATATCTCAGGTAGAGAGAAGGGTCTGCTTCTTCGGCATATTTGAGAAGTTTGCCTCTGGATACGAAGCGGAGAAGATGGCCAAACGCGGTATCCCGGATCAGCTCTGTCATGTTTGTTGCAATAAACAAGCCTTGCTCAAGCCTTTTTTTTTCTTTTAATATCTTTCGGCTATCGGGAGGCTGTTTAGAGAACAGACAAAACAAACAAACAAAGGAGGATGAGGAGGAGGAGGAGAGTGAGGAATGTAACAGAAAGCAGAGACAGAGACAGAGAGAGAGATAGAGAGAGAGAGAGGAAGAGAGCCACCACCTACAGTACCTGTCAAGTCATTCAAGTCATTCATCATTCATCATTCATCATTCCTTACCTTATTCATACGCATGAGGCATAACGCATAATGTACGCATAATCCCCCCCAAAGTCCGGAAGCCGCATACGCAGCCATCATACATCCACCGCCCATCCACTTCTTCCAGCAGCAGCAGCAGCAGCCACAACATGACACGCTCATCACACGCCCCGACAACCGACAAGCGACACGCCAAAAAAAGAAAGTGAGTGATTGATGAACGGCTGTGAGTAAGATCTCAACACCGGAATGAACTCACTTCATCGTCATGGAAAAAAGCTTGTTTTTTGGTTTTCCATGCACTGTGTGACTGTGCATGTACAGCAGCCCAGTAGCGCCCCCGATCCCATCAAGTCTGTATCCCCTAGTCTACTACCTCCTTAGCCTTAGCCTTAGCCCTAGCCTTAGCCTTAGTTAGCGCTACCTCCTAGGAGGTACACACACCTATGGATGTAGTCTCTTTTTCTTCAACCCAATTCACTTGCCTCTGGTACATATCACAAACCTCTCATTCACCATCCACTCTCGGACGCTAAGAGCCGTGAGAACCTATAACCATTACCATCTCATCGGCCCCAGCCGCAACAAGCAGATCGCCCATCGCCCATCACTCATCGACAACATCGGCAAACATCGCAACATCGGAGTCCGCAACTCGGTCCAAGTGTATCAGCATGACTTACTCATCAATTTGCTTCTCTCTACCAGTGGTCTACCTATTAGTGGTCGACTCGTGTTTAGTCGTCATACCTCCTACCTATCATGGGAATGAGATAATAGTCGCATGGCCTCTGTATGTTTGCAACGTGAGAAAGCAAGGGCAAAGTGGAGACTGGAGAGAAAGATCAGCTACCGGACTTGGATATCTCCGAGCCCACCTTCTCTCTTCTCTCTTCTCTCCTCTCTTCCCTCATTGGACACCACCATCCACAGGGCAGTCCATAGACAGAAGCGTCAGCTCCCGATCAAACAAAGAGATGCAGTCACATAACTCATCTTCATAGAGCGTAGGAATTATACATTTGATGCCGAGGACTGCCTCGTTGCACAATACCAAACACACTAACATACAATCGCCACTGCACATGCAAGTGGTCGCAGAGGAAGAACAGGAGGAAAAGATGCTTCGCCGTCGCATGTCAGGGACATCCTAGGTATGCGGTGTTGACGTTGCCGCCGTCTGTCAGCATGTCCAGGTGTTCCTGTTCCCAGCGATCCAAGAAGACCTGCGGGGCCTGACTGCTATCAGCGTCCTAAAAGACATTCTTGAGCTCGCCACGCGCCGTTCGTCGGCCACGCATGCTGGCCATGTCGAATCTCTCACTTCCAGTCGGCCGACTGTCAGCACCATCATGTGCAGGAATAGCCTCCACGTGCTGTTCCGCGGGCTTCTCAGAAACCACCACCGCCTTTTTGGAACCATCGGCAACCTGCTCGGACCCACCCGAAGTCACAGGAGTGACAACTGTTTGTTTGGGTGCCTCTGCTGGCTTCTCGACCGTCCCTTCGCCAGTCTCGTGCTCGGGAAAGTGAACACGGCTGCGTCCTTCTTCTGCTTGGCGACCAAGAGTGCCCGTGTTGGCAGCCTGAGCAACAACGGGAACCGCTGTCACTGCATTGCCAGTGGAAGACGCGCGAGGAGCAACGCTCTGACCCGTCGACTCGTTCCTGTCGCGGTCAGATGTATCACGACGCTTGCGGCGGAAGCAGCAGAGGAGGCAGCAGAGTACGAGCAAAGCCAAAGCGGCAGCACCGATGCCGGCTCCAATGGCCACATTACGCATCGTTCGTTTGTGCCTCTTGATTGCATCTCTCTTGCAATGCTGCAAACACTCCTCGTCATTAGAACAGTTCGGCACGGGTTCCGCATCCTTCACTGGCTTGCCATGCGGCCAGACTCGCGCCAGGCTGGTTTGCAGGTCAGTATGGGCCGGAAGAACACTGGTTCTCGAGCGATAAATGATCGTAGTGGCCGGTACGACGACGTGACTAATCAGAGTTTGGTGCGGGTAGTATGTGCCCGGTTTCGTTGTCCCGTAGTGGAGCTGGGAAACCAATTGTCGCTGTTCGGAAATCCAGTGTTCTGTGTACTCGCCACTGCCGAGGGTGTATTCTACCGAGGCATTATTACCAGAGGACAAACTGGCATTCGTCCACTCAATCGGGAACTCAATTGCAGGCCAAACGCTCGTGATATCGAGAGGCTTGGAATGCTCCCATAAACAACGTTTGATCTTGCAGTCCGTCTTGTTACCCGCATACTTTCCGCCTGCTTTACACGGAGCAGTGGCGTCGAAGCGCCAGGTCTCGTTCTTCATTGAATCGGGCACGCTCGTGGGTTGTGCTGCCATGGTTGCAGTCTCGCTGAGAGGGATGTGCTTGGATACCGTGAGAACACCACTACCAGGGACAACAATGGTGGTAAGGAGCATTCCAGTGCTGATGGATGTTACCAGCGATTCGGACGAGACGCCTCCAGAAGAGTTGGCAGATATACTGCTGGTCGAAGCAGGCCCATGGCGGATTAATGGAATAGGAATCAGTCCCGCTGTTGGCAGGGATGTTCCGGACGTGACAGTCCAGGACGCCGCGCCCGTTGTAGTCGGGTTTTGCTCGCCCTGCCCCAATGTGACGGTTGTGGTCGGGGAAATGGTATTGGATGCCAATGTGACGGATGTGGCCGGAGACATGGCACTGGATATTGTCATGGCAGGAACACTGGTAGTCTGAATCTGATGCTGCAATGTACAGTCAGTCGCGTCCATGGGTGTTGTCTGCCGCACCACGTACCAGAAATGAGTCGACATCTCCGATGGCGTGGGCGACCGGCGACCCGTCCACCTCCTGTGCCAGGGCAGATAGTGGCGCACACAGGCCAACAATGGCGAGTATGTATCGCATGGTCATGGCCATGCTCGACTGATCTTGGATATGCCGGATGCTGCGCTGGGACTGTGTCGAGTGTATTCAATGCTATGCTGATGGGTAGTTCTACAGAAGCTGAAGCAGTAGAGGTGAAGCAGATCGGAGGAGACGATGTTGGAGAGAGGGAGATGGAATCGGAAGAGATGAGAGGAGGAGGGAGGGAGGGAGGGAGGCAATGGTGCATCGCAGTTGGGAGAGACATGTCAACAGAAAGAGCAGCAGCAGCAGCACTTGCCTACCTCGCTTTTGTGAAGCCATTGCGGAGAGTGTACCTGTAAGATACATGTAAGTAAGTCTGGTAGGGTGTGCCTTCCGCTGGCGGCGGCGGCGACATGATGATGGCCATGTTGTAGTGAGAAAGCAAGTACAAAGGCGTAGAAGGAGAGAGGGTGGAGGAGGAAGTCTTGGCACTGGTGGTTTCAGTGCTTACCTAATGTAGTTCTAGGTTTCTACTGGTTGCCAGGCGGACGGGGCCCAATAAATAAATCGTCATCGGCTTCACACTGGCATATGCTACCGAGACCTGGACATTTCAATCGCAAGCAACACATAGCACTGTGCCTGGGCTGAACAACAGCGACAGCAATAGCAAAAGCAACAGCAAAAGCGACCATTATCCATCGACAGAAGGAGGAGAGCAAGGAGAAGAAGGAGAAGGAGAACAAGGAGAAAGAAGAAGACTCCACAATGAAAGCATTCCGCCTGCTGTCCACAATCCTCATCGCCAGCGTCGCCGCCGCCATCCAGCTCCCCGACCTGCAGCCATTCCTCGCAGCCCTCCCGAACGTCCTCCAGGACCTCGCTTCTTCCCAAACGCTGCAGAACGAAACAGCGCACGAGCTCTTGAAGCGGCAATCAAATGGCTGTCCCAACAACTTCCGCTCTTGCAGCAATCTAGGTGCACCCAGCCTCTGCTGCATATCCAATGCGGTTTGTAGTGCCGATACCGCCGGACACGTCGCGTGCTGTCCCTCGGGCGCCGCCTGCACGGGCACGATTGCGGGAGTCATTACCGCGGGGACTGTAAACAGTAATGGGGCGCTGGTGACAGGCACCACATCTGGCGCACTAGCAGCCACGGGGCTTACCACGCCCACCACCACGTCTTTGCAGATGTACACCACTTCTGCGAGTAATGGGCTGGTTCTCGCATCATCGACCACCGATACTGCTGGGGACGGTGGCTTCATCGTCGCAGGGACCAGCACGGTAGCGACTCCAGGAAGTGCTGCGATGCGCAATGCAGAAATCGTGAGTCCGATCGAGTCCTATGCTTCAACATCTACTGACCACTGAGCAGCCCCTGATTGCAAAATGCATTTTACGACTCCTTGACCTTCTGCCGCTGTAAAGCATGGCGGTACACGACCGAGCAATCACGACCAGATTCACGACCGTACAGACGACCCACACAGCACCATAGCGAGCGTAGCCAATGAGCATTGAGCAATTTGAAGCAGTTCCGTTTCCCACAGATAGATACATACCCCCCGGTTTTCCAAGTTGAAATTGCTTTAATAGGTATCGACTTCAATAACTTCAGCCGATCAAGCTGCGTCAAAGGCATTGCACTATATGGGCAAATTTCTGAGATACGCTCATAGAATCGCGACATGCAGAGATACCACGAGGATAGGGCTAACTCCTCCTCGTCAATTGCTGTATATACGTCTCACATGAGCTCCATAGCAACATGATTTTCATGCATGAATCGCCTTCTTGGTCAAGGATGGGTAGTCTGAGCCGGCCGCCACAGTGCCGGCTATAGCTCATCAGCTCAGCTCCGAATCTCGAGCTCGCCTTTTGTTCCAGTTGGTTCACAGAGAATCCTCCATGGATCGAGATCGTTGCTCGCTTGGTGCAGCTTGGGTTGCTCGCTAATCAGTGTCTGCCACGGCGTAATTCTTATTGGCTCGTGTCGCAAAGGCTCTCAGACGGTGCTGGTCATAGCGGTCATGGCCTAGGAAGAAGTCTAATTACTCCACGATAATGATGTGCCGACGATCACTACGTTTCCCCACCAGTTCACCAGCCCAACCGGTCACCAGGTCGTCATGAATAAGGTAATAATGAGGGCTGTCCACTTCGACCTCGACGGCCAAGCATGGATATACTTGTCATCCAGATGTCGGAGGCACTGTTGACACTCGCAGATGCATTTGCCCTCCCCCCTAGAGGTCTTGAGGCGTGTCACGACCTCTAGCCTGAGGCTCTCAGCAAGTGGATCCCCCAGGTAAGGGAGGAGGGAGGAGGGAGGAGGGAGGAGGCAGGAGGGACCCAGAGCTCTGGTCCTCGACTGTCGCTTCTCCAGGTAATGTCCACCGATACGTGGACGTAGGTGGGATTTGGGCATGGTTCGTGAGATCACCACGGACCTTTTCTCGGCGCTGTGGGTGAACTCAACTTCACAGTACAATACCTATTCCAGCTCCCAGCTACTCACCTGCTACTACTACAACTTCCCGTGAGAAGAAGATTGTACAGTATTGTCATCCATACAGCACCACATCATGGCGGTTTCAACACGTGATGAGCACAAATGGTGGAAAGAGGCCGTGGTAAATATCACCTGTGGCCGTTGCACATGCACACACCATCATCCTGACATGGTTTGCAGGTCTACCAGATCTATCCCGCCTCATTCAAGTCCACGGGAGCCGGAGACACGCCCGGATGGGGAGACATTCGAGGCATCACGTCCAAACTGGACTATCTGAAGGATCTTGGTGTCGACATTGTATGGACTTCGCCCATGTACAAGAGTCCCCAGGTCGATATGGGTATGCAGCATTCACGCTCGTCTCGAGACGATGCTGACGATTCCAGGATACGACATTGCGGACTACGAAGACATGGACCCCAAGTACGGCACGCTCGCTGACATTGATGAGCTCATTGCCGGCTTGAAAGATCGAGGCATGAAACTGATGATGGATCTCGTTGTCAACCATACATCGGATCAACATGCATGGTTCCTGGATGCTCGATCGTCCAAATCAAGCACCCATCGAGACTGGTACATGTGAGTAACAATTCAGCGCGAGGACAACTCGCTTTCTGTCAAAGTATCGATAAGCTTGTGCCCAACACTACGACAGCGTTTTAAGACCAAGCTCTCTGAGACTCGTCATGGTTGTGAGATATAGTTGCTAAAGTTCATCCAATTTCTTTAGTTGGAAACCGGCACGCTACGATAAAGATGGCAAGCGACAGCCGCCCAACAACTGGGCCCAAATTCTCGGAGAGGCGAACTCGGCATGGACATGGGACGAAAAAACGCAGGTAAGCATTCTACAGAACAGAAATGCAAAGCTCTCTTGCTAACGTGGGAAAAGGAATATTTCCTCTCGCTCTTCACGCCAGAACAGCCGGATCTCAACTGGGAAAATCCCGACGTCCGAGCCGCTGTTCACAATGTGCTGCGCTTTTGGCTCGATAGAGGCGCCAGTGGCTTTCGAATGGTAAGAAGTGTGGAGTTGCGTCTTGATCTCGAGCTCTTGCTGACGAAAGTTTTCATCAAAGGATGTCATCAATCTCATCAGCAAGGTCCAGACCTTTCCCGATGCCGAGATATTCGATGCAAACGCCAAATATCAACCGGGTAACAAGTTCTTTGCGAATGGACCAAGGTGAGATGAACATGGTGAGGTGCGAGGCAGTACAATCTGACTTATTTTAGGCTCCACGAATTCTTGCGAGAAATGAACGACAAGGTTCTATCCAAGTACGATACCATCACCGTGGGCGAGATGCCATTCGTACAAGATGAAGACGAAGTGTTGAGAGTCGTCGCGCGAGAGCGCAAGGAGTTGAACATGATCTTCATCTTCGAATTGGTGGACCTCTCCAATGCCGTGGGCGCGCCCAGACTCTCGCTGCGGTAAGTCCACCACTGAGCAGAAGACACCACTTCGCCTCATGTTCCCGTTCCCGTTCCCGTTCGGCCCAGCCAAGTCGGTGCTGTGTGCGTGCTGTCAGACAGGGTGAAAGAGACATATGCTGATCTTCAACTCGATGCTCTTAGTCCCTGGAAAGTGAAGGAACTGCGGAACGTTGTCTCGAAATGGCAGAAAGCGATGCGCGAAAGAGGGGGATGGAACAGTATATTCGACTCGAATCGTAAGTAATACTTTTGTTGTGATGATCTCACACAAACGAGGTCTCTAACAAGCATTCCTCCTAGACGATAACCCGCGGCCGGTGTCGCAGTTCACAGACGACTCTGATCAATACCGCGAGCTGAGCGCGAAGCTCCTGGCAATGATGGAGACGACATTGAGCGGCACACTTTACGTGTATCAAGGCGAAGAGCTTGGGATGATCAATGTTCCCCCGGATTGGGCGCCGTCAGAGTACAAGGACATTGAGTCCCAGAACTACGTGTGTCACTCCTTCCCAAAGACCCGAGAGAGGCTGACTTCTAATGACATACGTGACAGTGGAAGAAAATGAATGATCTGTATCCGGGTGACGAGGAGAAGCTTCGTTATGCACGAGAGGTGTTGCAGAAGAAGGCCCGCGATCATGCACGAACTCCCGTGCAGTGGAGCGACGAGCCGAACGCTGGTTTCTGCGAGGCCAACGTGACACCTTGGATGCGCATCCACGACAATTACAAGAGTGTCAATGCAGCAGCCCAGCTCCACAGCACAGGCGATGAGCTGTCTGTGTTCCATTTCTGGCAACGTGGTCTCGCGAACCGAAAGAAGCACAAGAAAGCCTTCGTCTATGGATCCTACGAGAGCCTCGACGAGAGCGACAACAGCGTCTTTGCTTATAAGCGATCCGATGGTGCCCAAGAGGCCTTTGTAGTGGTACTCAACTTTTCGGGAGAGACGATTGAGTGGAATGTGCCCAAAGCAGTGACTGTTCACAAATGGGTCACGAGCAACTACACAGGCGATGTTCCCCAGGAGAGTAGTTCGGGCAAAGTCAGCTTGAGAGCTTGGGAGGCTCTGCTCGGAACTGCCGCGCCTTGAAGATGTTCGCATGATGTGGTTCGAGTCGTTTTCCGAAAGAGTACAACTTTCATCAAGACCGGGAAAGAAGAAGTAGAAGAAGATAATAATAAGAACGAATAACCCGGTTACAGGTTAGTTAGACACCTCTTAGTCTCTCTCTCGCTCTCTCCCAAATGTCTCACTAGCCATGTGCTCGGTAGTTGGTTTTTCATATACAAACTACAGACTATAATCGCTTATGTAGGAGTGGCGCTACTTGTGCGCTGTCTCTTGAAACTCTAGACTCTAGTTTTCTTGACTAGTATATAGGTCAGGTAGGTACTGTAGGTACCTCCCATGATGGGTGATGGATGTATTATGTACCTCGTGAATCGTGCTGAAATTGATAACTAATAAAATTATACCAACTCCTCCCCCCCCCCGTCTCCCCGTCTTCCGGTTCGCTTTTTTCTCTTTCTAGGAGGAAGCATGTCCACGTAGGTACCGTACCTCCTAGGTACAGGTACAGAGAGTACGACTACGACCCGATGTTCGGAATGGTCGGAAAGAGTACACTAACTAGGTAACACAACACCGCTGGTCCGCTGCTACAGCCGGGCATGGCCCCGGACCGGGAGGGTACAGTACGTAGTGATCGAGCCTAACTAGCCTAAGCCTAGTATAGCCGCGTGGGAAAAGCCGGTTGTACTGTACCTTATAACGTGTACCTCCTAAGTGCCAAGATCTTTCTCTTTCTCTCTTTTTCTTTTGGCGGGAGGGGGATGGGGGCTGAGTCTCCGTTCTCCTTTGGAAATATATTATGTACTTACCTTACTGCTGTATACCTACCTTAATGCTGTAATGCTTAGATATACCGGAATCGTCGGATTATGAATTGCGAAAACTGCGAGCGAAAGCAGCGAAAATGCTAGTAATCAGTGTAAGGTCAGGTAGGTAACAACCGGTTCGGGAGAAAGGTACTCTACTCTACTAGAGTCTAGAGAAATTCTCCTATGTTCAATTTTCGTATATCCTAGTCCTTGTAGAAAAGAAGTTTGTTGTCTTCGCGATAGGGATCGGGATTGAGGCGGTAGAAGCGGATACGGATGTGGACTACTGTACCTACAGGCTATAGGATGCGGTATATGCGGATACGGATGCGGATGGGGGATGTGGATGGGGATGGTTCGTATTTATACGTATGTAGGTACGTATACGTATGCATATGTGCCTACCTTATGCAATGCGTTGTGTTATCGAGGCTGTATGGTTTTGTAGGTAGGCAGTATTGTACGTATTTATATAGGTATAAGAGAGAGAGAGAGAGAGAGAGAGAGAGAGAGAGAGAGGAGGAAATACTACTACTACCAACAACAACATAAGGAACATACCTACCTTAGTAGGAGTATTCACAATTATTTAGGAAATACACTACCTCAGCGGCTCAGCCCCAAGCCTACCTACGCTATCCCACGCAAATCCCCCCGAGAATTCCCAACGCGAACGCAAACGCGGAGATTTGTATCCTCTTTCAAACTGCACTGCAAGTCCGTCCACCTTAGCCCTATGTGGATACAGGTAGGTAGTACCTTACTTATCCGGGTTCTAATCAAGTCAAAGTTGCAAACTACGCGGAAAAAATATCATCAAGATAATGAATTTCGCATCATGTGTCCCTTTTAATTTTTAATTTTTTTTTCTTGTCCCTCTCGCTCTCTCCCGCTTTCTCTCTCCCTCTTTCTCTCGTAGCTATCCGGCCCGCCGGATGTGTATAGGCTGAGCTCCGTAGCTCTACAGACCAGCTAGCCTGCCTCCAGCTTCCAGGTCAGGCAGGTAGTTTAAAAAGTGGCCCGACGACTACAATGTACAATGTATATGTATATGTATCTCACTACCGTCTCTACCGCGCTAGTTCAATGAACCTACGGAGATTTTCCACGAGGCTAGTTTCGAGCCTCGGGATCGGTGGGTTTGGGGTTGGAGGTTGGAGGTTGGGGTTGGGAAAGTGAGGTACATACCTGATATATATATATAAAATCTGTATGAAGATGTGAAGTGGCTGTAAACCTAAGGGTTGTCATGTCGATCGTAATTTGAAGAAAGATCGACGTGTGTCGTCGTTGTTGTTGCTGAGATTAAGTGCTTATAATTTTTTCTTTTTGCTTTTAATATGGGTACGCGAAGAAGCGAAGGCTTGGTAGCTGCTTCAATTGTTCTTGTTCTTATTGTTGCAGATGTCAAGATGTTTCAGATCTACTCCTACTCGATGTCGAAGCCGGCAGTCTTCTCCCTATTATTATGTGTGTTATCAGCTCGACAGCAAATTTTTAAGGTCAGATTGCTGCTATAGTATCGTCAAAGAGCATACACATCTCGGGCGTGGGCAAAAGTCATTCATCGGGTTGCTACCAGCGATAGCAGTCTGCGTCTCAGGTAGGTAGGGAAACGCTTTTAGACGCAGATATGCCAATACCCGAAGAGAGCAAGTGTAGAGACAGCAGCGAGAAAAAACCACGCTCCCCATCTGTGTGGAATCCAGCTCTTCTGTCTTCGGTTAGCTCTCTCCAAAAGTCCATCTTTCGTCAGTCACAGCTTGCTTACGAGACTCGCTAGCCGTTCTTCTCGTTCGGCAGGTTCAGCTCCATTGTAGTTGTAGTAAATGCTGTGCATGTGCTGGGCCTTCTCGAGAACATTACCAGCATCTCGTTGTTGGAGATTGGCATGCTTTGGAACTTGAGGCAAGGCGCAGATAGACTTGATGGACAGAGAGAAATTGCCCTCTTGTGTGCCGAAGAAGCTATATAAAGAAAGGTCAGTTCATCGTCGTCTAGCAGAATCGCATTGCTACTACAGTTCACATTACCTGCGCATCATGACACTAAAGCGCTTGACACTCTTCAGATTAATTGGCTTCGCATCCTCCTGGGGCCTTCCGCGATATGTCGCGTTGAAGCTGGCCCAGGGAATGAAGACGGTTTTGTCATGAGTATCACCGGGTTGCGTTTGCGGTGGCAGCTCGAAATCGCATTCGTAAGAAACGGATGCTTGCTCTCTCCCAGTGTTCGGGTCGGGTGGGAGCAACTCGTCCTTGAGATTGAATGTGTACCGCTTCTCTGAACATACCGAATGAGAATGCGCGATGGTGATGGCAGACCTTGGTGTGAGATGGAGGAGCACATACCATCAGCCTGGGCGATCCATAGTTCAATGCCAGCGTAGCGTGACAAGTCCCACTCGGCGTCCTCTTGAGTAGTTCTTTGACTCGCGAAGCCGGCGCCGCCGAGCGTTGTGATGTCGAGATTCCCGCGAAAAGTGCCAGTTTCGCTGGTACAGTCGAGGTATGAGATGCTTTTGCCTGGGGTTTTGGTTTAGGATGGATGATATGCATGTCATGATCACACTCAGACGGAGCTCACCACCTCGGACTCGATCATCGCTCGCAGTCCAGTCCTGGGGGTGCCATCCCTTGCTGCCACCAAACAGTGTGTATGGCTTCTCCGCGATGGATATCGACATGATTGATGTGTGGTAGATGGATGGCGATGCAGCGACTTCTAGTGGAATTGGAAGTTACAGTGCAGCACGGACTCACTTCTCTCTACCTTAGCGTCCTTGGCTAATGATGAACGCGCACCAGAGGGTTTCAGAAAACAGAGAACCTGGAAGAGCGAATATGCCGTCGTGGGGGAGATTTTCAACTTGGCACGACATAAAGGTACTCAGCTAGCTGTAGATACTGCCGAGTGCAGCAAGATTACAATGATGCTCTGTATCGCCGCAACCAGCGTGTCGTATCATACACAACACCTTTGGTTCAAGTCCAAGATGCTGTATAGATCACGAAACGTCTGCGACAATACAGGCAATAGTCCGCCGCTCCTGTACCAATGCCACCCACCAGTATAGCCTTTCGAACTCTGCAAAGCAAACAGTGCTATCGCCAGCTATCATGCTTGCTTCACACGTCTGGCCACCTTTCCGCATACCACCACCGTCGCCGCCGCCTCCGTGCTGCTCACGGCCATTCGAGGTCGATCATTTCAAGCCTCTCGTTCTCCTTCCATCGAAACACATCTGACAAACATAAGCTGTATGCTTAACGACATCATGTCAATATCCTCTATCATAAGACGCCGGACACCATCGCTTAACCCCAAGTAACAAACAAAAATCAGGTGGCAACACTTCCGCAACAAGCGTGCCAAACCGCACAGCGCCCAACTGACAAGCACAATAGACCCATTTCGCCCCACTCAGTGCTCCAGGAGAGGAGGGGAGCCTGCTTGCCAATCTTCTGATGAGTCCGATGGTGTCTGATCGATCAGCCATTGCTCCGGTAAGTGCGGCCGTGATGCTGTCTACTCACAGAACTCTGGTAAGAGGTGATCTCGTTGGCCATGCTGGCATAGCTCATGCTGAATGGATTCACCTCGTCGTCTGCGTATATTTCCTGCTTGATGGGAGTATGCATCAAGTTTTGCATCGCATACGTTTGGGCGGGTGGCATGTATTGAGGGTATACAGGTAGGTCCATGCCCGAACCACAGTATGCGGGGTACGTCGAGTAGCCGATCGTCTCTGCTGCTTGTGACAAGGCAAGATGTCCGGTGAAGGGCGGAGGGGAAGTTGATAATTGGCGAGTAAACTGTTGGGAGAACATGCCTCGATCGTCGGATGGCAGTACGTATTGCTGAGTAAGGACGTCGGGTGTCCGATGTCGTGGCCCATGGGTGTTGGATGCAAACACTCGCGGTCTTTGGACCATGGTCTCGTTCGTTGCTGTGCTTGTTCCGCTCGTACTGGGAAGTTCTTCGTGTCTTTGCTCGGGCGACGCTGAGCTGGACCCAGCTCTACGTTCCAAATCCTCCAACCGCTTCTTCAGCTTCTTTCCTGTCATGCAGTCAGATCGCTGTAGTAGCAGAGCGCCTCCAGGGTGCGGTTGCGTACGGTAATTTCGTTGAGCAATGCGATTCTGTATTCTTCGTCGCTCAGCAAGATCGGAGATCTTGGTCCAGTCTTCATTAGGGTTCGCACTGGCACTAAAAGCTATGGTGGCATGAGTGTGTGTTTCATCATCCACGCTGTTCGCTCGATGGTGAGTGTACATACCGCTGCTGGTGCTGTGCGCGGTGGGATACTTTGCTGCAGCGGGATACTGCGGATAGCTATAACGCTCCATGTCTGGGTGATCGTACATGCTCACCAGAAGGGCAATCGGTATATACTGTACGCTCGATAGCAGAAAGCAATGATATGAAGATGTGTAACGAGGAGATCGGTGAAGGGAAGTTTTGCGAGCTGGCGGCTGGTCGAGTTGTCCATATATCCAGTTCCGGTCACCCCATTCAAGGGCACTAGAAGTTGAGCAAGGTTGCGCCTTCCGAGAGATCCTACTGTTGCGACGTTCCTACGTGGACTGGGGTGGCATGCGTGGCTCGGACGCCTGGTCTCTGGAGCGCCGAGCGAGCGCTACAGCGTACAGTACCTCCACTGCTTTTCAAGGTGCCTCGACACAGGGCTGAAGTACGACTTGAAGGTGAGCAGCAGCAGCAGCAGCAGCAGCAGCATCCTCTCGTCGGACCAGACGAGACGAGCTGCTGAGCAGAGCAACCTCAGTGGGCACCTCAGCGTCGACGAGAATAGGGGCGCCATAAGTCGTGTGCGATACCGAGACCAGCGCGTCGGTGTGTGGTGAGTGCGTACTCTGACTACAACTAACTGTATGGGATGGAGAGGCGCAGGAGGCACGGCACCATGCTGCATCCGAACCTGACGATGCCATGCCAGGCCAGCCAGCCAGCCTGAGCGAGCGCCTGCTGTACATGCACCCTACCTGTCGCCGATCGGTTTAGCCGTCGCATTCCAGTGCATGGGCAGAGACGCCCATCTGCCGCATGTCTCTCACGTGAATGCCCATCCATATATAGTCTGATCGCAGGTGTGCGTGTAGCGCGACGAGACTCAGGAGGGCCATGGATTGCGGGAACCGAAAGGAGACAGGCTGCCTGGCGTTTTTTTCTGCGCCTCCGCCTCGCCAGGCCAGCAGCGGGCGGGCGGGCTATGCGACCGCCGACCGCTGCTGGCTGCTGCTCGCAGGCCCTCGCAGTTTCACTTTCATCAGGCTCGCCGGTAGGGATGCGGTGACGGCCTGATCGTGGAGGCCAATCCACCAGTAGTGTGCGTCGCCGCCGTGTTCACTCTCTCGGAGTCTCGTACCTCGCTGCGCCCAGAAATACCTGACTACGCTCATCCCATCCCATCCCATCCCATGATTCCCATCCCATCCACCGATCCGATGCTGCCTGCCTGCTGCCTGCTGCCACGCCCGCCCGCCTTCCTCCATCCTCACACCGCGCCCCCGCCAAAAGTCGCGTCGCATCGCCTCGGTCGTGTGCTCGAGCGGATCCGCTTTTCCCACGGCATAATAAGGTGATGATGGAGTGATTGGATGGGTGCTGGTGTGGTGCCCTCGAGGGACACGGAGGGCAGCCCTACAGCACAAACGCGCACACGCGCAAATTGGAAGCTTGATTGGCTCGCACTTTCTGTCCAAGCGTCGCTGGCAAATGGGCCAATTTTCTGCCTCTTGGCACCTTCATATCTCCACTGATCTACCGACACTATGTAGCTTAGGAGGTACGTACAGTAGGTGGTAATATCTCTTGTCCATTGTCGCCCAGGCTTCATCTTTGTCTTCATCACCGCGCTCACCGCGCTCGCATCTCCTGTCCATCTCCCCCGCCTCCGCCCTGGCCCGCGCCCGCACCCGCACCCTCTCCCTCTCCCTCTCTCCCTCTCTCCCTCATCACTCTGCTGTGTCGGCAGCACAGCCAGCGAGCCAGCGAGCCCTCCATGACGCCACGTGGTTGCTACGGTACACACGCTGTCGTAGCGAGATGCAAGTGACACGAACACCGTCTGCTGGAAGCTCGCTGTCTGAGCCCCTCGTTCTGTTGCTGGAAAGCCTTAGGGCACTGTTCATTGCGGGCAATGCTTCTGCGTGATTCAGCTTGATCAGCCGCAGGATGCTGCTAAGCTGTGTCAGAAGGGGTGCGAAGTCCGTAGGGCTGGCCATATCCTTCCACTCACTCGACACGTATAGGCAGAAACATGATTTGCTTTCGGATCACGACCTCTCACACCATCGAAAATCCCGAATACTCAAGCGAGGCGCCTGCAGCTGCAGCCAAGGTGCAACAACAAGCGTTCGGCCTCTCCGCGACAGCTGCCTAGTACGCTCGCTATCATCTGAAGATAACATTGCTACGCCCGCAAACGGGCGGTATTCATAGATGACTGACTGATTACTACTGACACCAGATTAATCGGTCCTTGTTGGTAGGACTTGACGCATTCGACCAACCATAGCACGACAAACTCGTGAGCTGGAGGCCGGACGAAAGCACAGCCCACTGATTGTGCACGCGAGCGCTACACAGCAGAGCTTTGTTAGTCACGGACAGCGTGAGAGAGTGCGCACGACAGCATCTCCATGGTATTGGCTGCTAATCCCGGTCCCAGCCACGCTGACAGTGCGCAAAGCTGCTGTTACATGTTCTCCATATAAACACCGCTTTCACCACGTGCGTCTTTCCCTGTGTTCCATGTGTGAATGTCACCAGAGCCTGGAACTGGGAGGCACAACAGTATAGCCAGTTTTGGGATCAATGCGGTTTCATGGTGCGTGCAACTCCGAAGTAATGTACTTGCAATGAAAGCAGTTTGATAGTCTGAGGCTGCAGCGCAGATGACCGCGACCCAACGGCCACAGGATCATCAATTCTGCCGTACCACGCAATAGTCGCCAAAAGTGCTCTTCAACTATCTCAGCTCATGGGGCCAATCTGAACCTGGCAACCCGACGTCTGTTGGTGTCTTGCGCACCTGCGGGCTTTTCTGCACTGAATTCGTGTAATGTAGACGGAATTCCTCCTTCAGTGGGCGCCACCCAACAAACACTCTTCCACACAGGCGAAGAAGCAGCTCTTGCCCGGCGCCCTGTGACCCATTGAGATCCAATGTCTTTTGTCGCAACGTAGGCGGTTATCGTGGCTGTTGAAAGATGGCTTACAAACACCTCATTTTGCTGCTGCTGCTGCAAGCCCATTGTTCTTTCCGTACTTGAACACCTTGCCTTCCATGTCGGGACCGATGAAGAGCCAAGCTACAGCCGTGACCCAGCTGAATACGGTATCCACGAACCAGTTATTGCGTGGAGAGCCACCCATCGCACTGACTCTCATTGCATGTCCGAGGAGTTGAGTCGTGATGAGGTAACCCCCTGATTCGAGACCACGCACAGCAGCTGCCGCGACCTGATCTTCGTCCTGGGCGGGGTCGTCCTCTTCCAGTATCATCGTGATTTTGTGCTTCGTCTTCTGCTCTTCCTCGTGTCCAGGCGATGTGATGGTCCCCGGGCAGACACAATGGATCTTGATATCCGCAGGCCCGGCATTCGCGGCATCTTTCCTGCGAGCGCCATTGTAGAGATTGACTTCGGATCGGAGCGTATCCGCGAGCGATCGCATGGCCGACTTGGGCGGTGCGTAGGGTGCGTAGCCGGCGACACCCACAAAGCATACGACGCTCGAAGTTACGATGAAGTGCCTTGGCTTTTGCACTCCATTCTGCGTGTTGCTGACTTTGTTCGGGATTGCGGGCTTGATCCATGCTTTCAGTGTGGACTGTGCCAGGTACGCCGCCGCGAAGTAGTTGACATCCATCTGCTGCCTGAGAACTTCCACGGAGGCTTCGAGGAAAAGCATGGGCTGGGCCTGGCCTGCATTGGCCCATACAATGTCTGGAGGCTGGCCATGATTCCATGCGGTCACTTCTTGTATCAGACGATCGTTCTCCTCGGGCTTGGTAAGGTCTGCGCTAATGGCAAGGAACCTTTGACGTTGGGTGTCTTTTGCCGCAGCCTGTGAGTTTGGTCAATATGGGATACTTGTCGTGAGCACACAAAAGAATCCGGACCTGTATGTAGACTAGTGCCTCGTCGAGCTTCTTCTGGTTTCTCGCAACAATCACAACGTTGGCGCCTTTCTGAGCGAGGAGTTTCCCCAAGCCTCGACCCATGCCCTGCGATCCGCCAGTCACAATGACTGTCTGCAATATAGAGTCAGCAGCATATCTGGTTGGATTACGCGATTGAGATCTCAGCTTACACGGCCTTCCACTTCGAAATGGTTCTTGCGGGAAAATATGCCCATGATGTCGAGGGCCAGCACGAAGACAAGAGCACCGAGACCAATAGGCAGCCAGAAATAACCTACAGCCATGTCCGACTTGCACGCATTACTGGCTGGTATATCAGTACCGTAGGTTGGCAAAATGTGCTGGCGTTGGTTCAATCTGGTTGATATATGTTGTACGTTACGCACAGACAGGGGGGACACTTTCCCAGGTGTATTACACGCGAAAAGCATCGTACCTACTAAGATTACTGTCTACCTACCTCGCTCACCTTCCACTTACTCGCTACCAACAAGACTCGAATGTGGACTTGGCTAGCAGCCAAGTAGTGCTCCATCATCACAATGGTCTTCTACTTCACCAGCAACGTGGTCAAACCCGCGGCCTTCATCTACGTGGGCAAAGACAAAGTAGAAAGTGAGGCCACCTCATATGATTGAGCACACCCATATCCACCCGTTCATAATATCAGCACATCAGCGCACACCACAAAACTGACTCCGATAGAGACGAGGATCTCATAGCGCACGGCTGGCCCGAAGACGTCTGGTTCCACGCCGACAACCTCAGCTCCGCACACATCTACCTCCGACTACGCCCCAACGAAACCTGGGACCAAATCCCCTCAGCCCTCCTGACCGACTGCGCACAACTCACCAAAGCCAACAGCATCGAAGGCAACAAAAAGGACAATGTGACAATCATTTATACTCCGTGGAGTAATTTGAAAAAAAGCGGAAATATGGCGACGGGCCAGGTGGGGTTTCATAATCAGAAATTGGTCAAGAGGGTGTATGTGGAAAAGAGGGAGAATGTGATTGTGAATCGGTTGAATAAGACGAAAGTGGAGAAGTTTCCGGATTTGAAGGCCGAGAAGGAGGAGATGGAGCGGGAGGTGAGGAAGAAGGAGAGGATTGCTGCGCAGGAACAGGTAAGCAGAAGATATACATGTTTCTACGCGGGCGGGCGGATGGCTGGTTGGGCAGAGATGTGGAAAAATTGTCTTTTGTTTTTGCTAACTGGTCTGTGTGTCTTCTAGAAGAAAGAGGATGCTCGATTGGCAGAAGAGAGAAAGCAGCTGAAGTGGCAGAAGGAGCATATGTATGATGATGTGCATACGGAGGATCAGATGCGGAGTAATGCTGATGGGTATGATGAGGATGACTTTATGTGAGAGGAGGATTGTCTAGATCAGAGAAGGGAAGAGAAGTGAAAACGATGATACCTTAGGTCCCTCAGGTATGCATACCTGAGGTACTATAGGGTTGCACACAGAGCTTTCAAGGTGGTGGTGAGTTGGGCTGTGATTGAAGACTCTCGATGGCTATGGGATTGATCCACTCTCTTCCTCTGCCTCCTATCTCTAAAACTACCTGAGGTAGGTACCTCCCTAGATATACTCTCGATCCACAAAACTCTGAATCATACCCTCTGGAGTAGCATCATACTCCTTCAACACCACCATTTCATCATCACCCCCTCCCTCCAAAAAAGTATTCGCCTGCACAAAAACCTTGCGCGGCTTACTCTGCGCAATCACCTGCGGCCGAAGTCGATTCGCAAAGAAGTCGTCGACAGTCGTGTATTGCTTGTAGAAGGCGAGGCCGTGATGAACATCTGCAGTCGCTTTGTAGATGTTGAGTTTTTGCAAAAAGCGATTGATGGCCGGGCGGCCGTGGGTGGAGATGCGGGTGCGGTCGAGCCAGATGGTAACGTCGGAGAGGTCGGGTGAGGTGTGCTGGAGTTTGCAGAATTCGGGGCCAGCTTCGAGGAAGACTTGGAGGATGGCGAATCTACGAAGAGAAGTGAAATTAGTTCACGGGGCCAAGGGAGAAAAAACAAAAGAATTGCTCGGCGAACTGTTCTTCTTACCGTGCTTGCATATGGGCTTGTCCCCAGGATGCAGTTGAGGGTTCCCAGAATTGAAGCGCTGCAATGCCCGCTCGAGCCATTTGCAGGTAGCACACATACAGCACATCTCCTGCGGCACCGTTGATGTCCTCTGTGCCATCCCCGAAGCCGAAGATGGACAGGATGGAATAGTCTGGACACAAGCTCATCGCCACAGACTCGGCTCGACACTCTTCGTAGCTGGGTCCTGCGCCTCCAAAGACTGTTCCCCACGTCTCACCGGGCTTATACCATGTGGTGACGGGTTCCTTGGTGACGGGATTCTGGGGTGGATTCTTGACGTCGAAATTGAAGACGCCCGGCTCGGTCTCTTGTAGAAGCTTACCGCATCCATGTCCGAGTAGCTCGTGAAGACCAACTTGAACTTCGAATGCTTGGTCTCGGTATCGGTCGTACACGTCTTGATCTTCAGCCCGAATGAATGGCGTGGGCTCTTTGGGAGCAGCCGCCGAAAGGACGTTTCCCAGACTGACGTTTTTGAAGCCCTCCTGCTGTCGGATTGAGTCGTAATTGGGTATGTTTATTCCTGCTGGGATCCCACTCCCAGCAAACGTTAAAACCTCGAGACTCGTGAAGTCGGGGCTGAGGAAGTGGTCCTTCTCAAAGTCCGCAGGCCACGGGAGCTTGGGAATTTGCTCGGGGGCAGAGTCCACGAGCTTGCCGAATGCTGCAGTCCGCTCTTTGTTGACCATAGCGACGAAGCCTTCCCATTCACCACGGATGCCGTGTGGGTCTCTGTAGGTCTCGATGAAGCCGATGTTGCACTCGACGATGGGGCCCTTATCCTTGATCCAGTGTCTTTGCGAATCCAGATGTGCGAGCATAGACCCATCACGGAAAGCTTTGACGTACTCGGCATGCATCTTCTCTTCATGCGGATTCAGAGAATGCTTTTGGGCCTCAGCGAGATTGTCAGCAATCTTGCCCATCTCCACCGCATGGTCGCCATAGACAATGCGAGCTTTGAGGCCATTGCTCCCCAGAGTCCACTCGGTACCCTCGATATCACGCTGCGCTGGCTCTTTGACTGCAGATGCAATCAAGAGCTCAAAGTCACCAGCAGAAGTCTTGCGCAGACGTGTGTTCTCGGGCAGGAGCTGCTTCTCTTTGAAAAAATCTGAGATGGTCGCTATCTCTTGTGTCGTGATGGTCGCAGAGTCGGGATAATACGTGGACACATGGCCTTGCTCCGGATAACCTAGATGCAGCCGAGCGACAGACGATATATCGTAGAGTGCATCTTTGACCTGTCCAAACAGTTGCGCTGAACGTTCAGAAGTAGCTGCAAGAGCCGCAAAACTATCCACGGGAAGACGGGGGATGGACTTGGAGTCGCCGAAAGACTTGTAATTGCCCGTGTTACCCAGGAACTGTGCAGCGAAATTGAGAAAATGCTTGAGATCGTCGTCCGAGACCTGTGATTCGGTCTGTAGCTTCTTCCAGTCGCCATTGCAGTGCTTGTGGAGAGCGAGAATCAAGTCCTGCGTGTGGTCAGCTCCGGTTTCGATCATCGTGGCCTGGGCGCTGGGGTTCTCTCATCCAAATGCTCGCAACTCACATAAATACTATCAAGACATCACAAATATCATCAGCCCATGTCTCCTCCAGAGATAGATCGGTTCCAGGTACACTCACGGCTCGGATTCGGGAGACACTTGACGCAGATTCACTCGAGTACCCGAAAAGGCAGCTCTACTGATGTAGTGGGCATACTTCTGTTCATGCTTTGCCAATGCATCGAAATGCGGCCGAATGGCGAGAGGAACGACGGCTGTGGGTGAATGTGTAGCGTGGTGAGCGTACAGCACAGCAGCGTCATGGTCATGATCCAAGAAGAGAGATGTTGTACTACTTACTGGGCGGATCGTCTGCTCGGTATTGGTTGAGGGTTTGCTCGTCCATGGTGACGAGAACGGTAATGACGGGAGGTATGGTGTATGTGGTGTATACCTGGTATGTTGTTGTTTTACCCGGGAGGACCTAGAGCGATGGAGTCATTAGAGCTTGCTAGACAGCCTAGACCAAGGTACATTACCCAGCAGCGGGGCCGCAACGCGGAGAGCGGTACCTTGCATAAGGTAGGTATATCAAGGCAAGGTACCACTGTTTCAAGCAATCTCAAGCAAGACACAAGACAATCAGAATGACAAAATTGCCAGGAAACTAACATGGCACCGGAAGAATCATTATACGCATGTCCGGTACATGCTACTAAGCGCGCACAAAGAGGGTATAAGTACATGAACTTTCCGCAGTCATTCACAGCGTCTCGTGCCTCCAGTATGAATGATTCACGGCTCTCTCGCCCAGAAGAACTCCTCGCGGAACAAGCTTTCTACAATGCGAATGCCATGAGCGCACCAAAGCCCAACACTGCGCCTGATGCAGCCTTGATGTTTGCGCATGCTGCTCCCGAAGACGTGGCACTGGCTTCGTTTCCGGTGCCAGAGGCAGATCCAGAAGAAGTCCTGGTACCACTTTGGCCTCTGCTCGAGCCAGAGCCAGAGCCAGAAGGAGCCTCAGTGGCGCCGGTTGCAGCGCCGGTTGTGGTGCCGGCTGCGGTGCCAGCTGGAGCGCCCGGGGGAAGGACAATGCCAGTGGGCGCTTCGCCGAGGACATAGGTAGTAGAGCTTCCAACAGAGATGGTGAAGGAGCTCGCGTTGCCGTATGCCAAAGTGTACACGGAGCCCGACGCGAGACCCGCAGGAATGGTCGCTACTGCAGGCTGAGAAGTCTCTGCCACCGGAGCATATCCATTGCTGAGGGCTGGCATGCCTGTCACGACACCGTACGAGTTGGTCTCGGTCAAGAAGTTGGTCATGGTGTTGCTATACGGCGGGATGGTGGTGGAGGTGGACTCGTCGGCGGCGACAGCGGCAGCGGGCTAGACGTCGACCATTAGCAGTGATCAAAACACAGTCAGGCCCACGAGCACGGGAAAAGAGCGACGGCGCGTACAGTGGTCTCTTGTGCGTATGCAGCAGCCACGAATGGCGCCAGAGTCAGGATGGAGTAACGCATGTTGTTCGAGTGGTGCGGTTCGTGTGATGTGGGCTTATGATCTGGTGGATAGATACAGTATGTATGTAGTTGGTGGTAACGAGGGCGAGAAGAGGGCAAATACAAGTAAGTATGGTACTGGTAACGAGTGTGGGTGCCCGGGTAGCGACGTGACGAGGTGAGTGCAAACAGCAAAAGGCGCGACGAAAGGCGGGCGCAACGAGTGGGAATATGCGAAGAAGGGAAGGAGTCCGTGCACTGGGATATACAGCATTAAACATTTTTAGCTCTATTGCCAGGACGCCAGCTACCTACTTCCGGACACCCTGCCTCCTATAATAGGTATTTATATTATTCTGCTGTAATTTGTCGACAGGGGCCGGAACAGGCAGCCCGTCGTCTTCTTGGCCAGTCGCCACCTCCTACAATAAACAGCTGGACGAGAAGAAGCCTTCTCCATTGATCGTCGCCATTCCACGCCTGTACATTTCTCGAATTTCCTAGGAAAACCTCATCGTCCATCATACCTACATGTATGATCTATCTGTGTCAACTTTCACGTTGCTTGGGTGACGCGTTCGACAATCAAAGCTAAAGGTATCTCAGGGAAATGTGATCCGGCCATGCGTCTCGCATTGTCATTGGCTCGACTGATACATACGAGCACACGAACCCTTCCATCATCTCTCAGGTAGGTATCGACCGTATCGTTGTGAGTAACGACCAGCTGTGCGGAGATCTGGAGAGGATAGGTAGTACATGTAGCCAGAACCATGACGACAATCGAAATACGACGGCCCTACGGGTATGTGCATTGAATATGTCGAGACGGAGCCCGAGGACTTTCAACTCTCCAGCAGTATATACCTCTATAAAGGGGTCTTTGGTTTCACGCATCGGGCTACATCGTAGAACAATAACATACCTAACCTAAAGTGTACGAATCGTGTGTACAGGCTACGCCGCCACGTGAATGGGTAAGGTAGGCAAAGTAGGTAGGTAGGCCTTCAGCACTCACAACATTCACACACTGCCTAGGAGGTACATACCTTATATAACCGTCTCCGCTGCCCACTTGATCAAACCATGTCTCACACCAGTACGGACGGATACATGTAGCTACGAGCAACGAGCCATCTCTACGCTCTACCCGACCACCAAGCTTGATGGAGACCGGCAGCCAGAATGACGAGATTTTTCGTTGTCCGGTGTGCACCGTATTCCGCTTGCAAAAGGTAACGTTCGGACTGCTTGGGCTTGGATCGACCCCAGATTGGCTGTTCTCGTGCTAGGCATTGGTGGCTCAGGCTACTAGCTGAATACTCCCCGTCTCTCCTACATGATTATTATATGTCATAAGTGTGCTGCTCTTCAGGCACGCTTGTTGAGTAGGAACAGGCAGGCCTCACTACTACGACTACCACTGCCACTACCACTACCACTACTATCGCCACGACATGCCACACTGTCGAATAGAACCATCGTGATTCAGCCCATGCTTGCTTGGTCCTTGCCGCCGCCGCTTTGAGGCCGACACCCTCCCCCCCCTCTCGCTCCCGCCCTACCACCACCCGACTCCTCCTCCTCCTCCTCCTCCTCCTCCGCCCTCTCCGCCGACTCGCCTCCGCGTGAGGACGCGCAGAACATCGAACGATCCTCCTGGCAGCCATGTCGAGCCAGCCTCCCGGAACCTTTCTCCCCAACACCAAAATCAGGGTCGGCGACCACAAGGTCTACATTGAGAAGTACTTGTCCGAAGGAGGCTTTGCCCATGTCTACGTGGTGCGCATACCGCGCGAGGGCAACAAGCATGAAGTCGCGGTGCTCAAGCGGGTCGCTGTGCCCGACAAGGACCACTTGGCCAACATGCGCACCGAGGTGGAGACGATGAAGAAGCTCAAGGGCCACAAGCACATTGTTACCTACTTTGACAGCCATGCCAGTCAGCTGCCTGGCGGTGGCTACGAGGTCTTCCTCCTCATGGAATACTGCAAGGGGGGCGGTCTTATTGACTTCATGAACACCCGCCTGCAGCACCGTCTGACGGAGCCCGAAATCCTCAAGATCTTTGGAGACTGCGCCGAGGGCCTGGCGTGTATGCACTATCTGAAGCCTCCGCTGCTACACCGAGATCTGAAGGTGGAAAACATCTTGATCTCCAAATCGGCCGCCGGCACGCCTATATACAAGCTCTGCGATTTCGGTAGCACTGCGCCACCCAGACCAGCTGCAAAGACGGCCGAAGAAGGAAGGCTCATCGAGGAGGATGTGCAGAAGCACACGACCATGCAGTACAGGAGTCCGGAGATGATTGATGTCTGGAGGAAGCAGCCGATCGATGAAAAGGCGGATATTTGGGCTCTAGGGGTATTGCTATACAAGCTATGCTACTACACGACACCTTTTGAGGCAGTAGGTCAAATGGCCATCTTGAATGCCAGCTTCAAGTTCCCACCACATCCACAGTTTTCGGAGCGTATCAAGAAGCTCATCAGCTGGATGCTGAAGGAAGACCCCAAAGATAGGCCCAACATCTATCAGGTCTTGAAGGAGACATGTGGCATGCGGGGGACGCCTGTGCCAGTCCAGGACATCTATACTGACCGAACACAATCTGAAGCCCGCCGGAACGAGACGCTCCCACCTACTCATCCGGCATCACCAGCGGCGGTGGGACTACAGAAGGTGACGCCACGCAAACAAGAGCAACAGCTACCTGATATCACCCCTATGCGAAGAGGGAGGCCAACCGCGCCCGCTCAGCAAGGGCCAGTTGCTGCCCAGCCCGCCGTGAAGGCTCAGTCCACTCGTGCCGGTGGAGACCCCTTTGCAGCTCTGGACTCCAAGGACTATGAGGTGCGAGCAGGAGCTGTAGATGAGCTCGCCAAGCGATTCCCGAGTCTGGACGAGTTTGCGATTGCTCACGATGGCAGTAAATTTGCCTTTGCACCGACCTCGCCTCCCGCTCCAGGATCGTCACCGCCCATGACCAGCCCATTGAACGAACGTGTGACGAATGCCTTGGCGGACCGAGTATTTTCAGGCAAGGCTTCAGAACAGTCCGCCTCTTCCCCGAGGCTACAGGCTGCGCGCTCCATGGCATCTGCTCCCGCTCCTCGTCGTGATTCGCCGGTGCGTACATCCACTCCGCTGACGGACCCGCGTGCACCACTGGCCGTTCAACATCCCATGCCGATCCGGAACGTGTCACCTTACAAGTCTACCGCAGTGGGGACCTCTCCGCCTCCACAGGCTAGCAAGCAGTTACCGGACGTCAGCAAGCGTCCCATTTGGCGGGTGCCAGAGCCCAGTCAAAAGTCGAGTCAGCCTCGAGCTTCAGAAGACGCTCAGGCCGCGGCGTCATTATTGAAGCCCGGTCTGACACCCGCGCAGCGACCTGCGCTGCTGGACGTGCATCGATCCAAGTCGCAGACCGTTACGGTTCAGGCAGAGCACGCGCGGTCCTCCAGGCCATCCCTGGAGGGACATCGACCCTCGGCGCAGGATTTGGGAGCAGCCAATGACATTAGTCGAACGAAGTCCTTGAGTAATAGGTCGAGGCCGTCCAGTATGTATGTGAGTTCCAACATGGACTTCTTGAAAGATCAAGAGCAGCAACGCAAGCGTCCTTCTTTGGAAATCAGGCGCCATAGCAGGCAACCCTCGCAGTCTCGTGATTCTGAAGCCGAAGAAGGGAATATTCGGGATGATATGGACTTTCTACGAAATACCGAACATAGTGACAACACTCGAAGGTCGTCTCGAGGACTTCACAAGCAGCGATCCAGTCTCGGACAAATCGGCAGCAGTGCCAAGAGCATGTTCAGCGGGCGCTTCGGTGATGCATTCAAGCGATTCGAAAGCAACGAGAAGAGGGGGCCAATGACACCGGAAGCACGCGAGATGGAACAACAACCGGAGCTACTGTCGCCCATCACCGGATCAGAGGCAACGCCAGGCAGGCACTCTGATCACGAGGAAGAGGTGGAGCTGCCGCCTGATGTGAAAAGGGAGATTGAACGTCGAAGGCTGGAGGAAGAAGAGAATCGCGTCGCTGCTGCAGCAGAAGAGTACAGGAACCGTGTTGCCACACAAGGCACCGGGAATATGGGGTTGAGCCGAGCGAGCACTATTCAAAAGCGTGTTCAGTCGCTGCTTGATGACGGCCGGCAATCGCCCGCACCACGAAGGACAGCGGAGGGCTATGGCCGATACACTGAAGAGGATGCAATCGCGCCACGTCCTGCACCGATGCAGCCACAGCAGCCATTGCATAGTGGATTTAAGCCTTCCATCATATCTCAGAAGCCGACTGGCGTCGGTTCCAACACGTCCAATAACCCTTATCCCAGGACGAGACAACAGCCCACTGCTACTCCAGCAGCAAACTTCATGCCTACGCCGGTCCCGGCGCCTGCAGAACAAGCCACTGTGCAGAGAGTGGTATCGAGGCCCAGCGCGCCTCCCAAGCCGAAAGCGCTGCGCACTGGAGGAGCCGTCCAGTGGCCACCGCCAGAATCCCCTGATTTGGAGAAACCGCTCCCAGCTAAACCAAGTGGCCTTGCTGCTCTTCTAGCGAAGGACCTGGAAGGTGTACCAGATTATCCTCAGGGAGGGAGTGGTGATGCGCAGTCACGGCCTCGAGACAATCTGATCGAGCTGTCTCCTACATCGCCGCATGATCTGGACAGTTTTAGCAAACGCTACCCAAGCTTGAGCGGCATCGAGATGGTAGAGACGGAGATTGGGGGCGAGAGGAAGATGATGCGCGTGAGAGAAGTCTGAGTGTGCTATTATCACGACTGATGTCGAAATGTGTTGGAGGCTAGGTATATACATATACACTGGCAGTGCTGCCGAGTTCAGCAGATAGCATCCCTGTACAATCACATGCAAATTCGGGAGTGGCTGGTCTAGGAAAGTTAGTTCTAGATGCAAATGGCAACGTCATGCATATCATGCATCTACACCACCCTCACTGACAAGCAACGTGAACGTATTCCACACTTGGACATATTGACTACAACCTCATCCAATGCAGATGACACCGCGCCTAGGACGTCTTTCTCCCTTTGCTGCTGCCAGCTGTACCGGAGTATTATTCGCCACATCTCTGCCCACCATTATATCATTATCAAGACGATCATCATCAGCAGCAGCAGCAGCAGCAACAACAACAACAAAAACTACACCACCACCAACAACAAAAACAAAAACCAAAATGTCCCCCCCACCCTGGCCCATCAAAAAATACTCTCCTCGCCACTCCACCTGGCCCTACACACCCCAAGACTTCCATCGACAAGATGCTTCCCCAGACACACAATTTTACCATCAACCCCGCTTCGTCACGCACATTGACGATGCGGCAATTGCGGATTTACGAGAATATTATCGGAGCGTACTTCTTCCTTGTTGTACTGCAGATGGCGGTGGTGGTCGTATTTTGGATTTTTGTAGTAGTTGGATTAGTCATTATCCGGGGGAAATTGAGGACATGGTGAAAGATGGAGAGGAGGGAAAAGGATGGAAGATTACAGGTTTAGGAATGAATTACCAAGAATTAGAGGCGAATCCCATTTTGAACAATGGAAGAATTTGCTGGGATTTGAACGTGGAGCCGGATTTGAAAGTTGCTTTGACCTCTTCCACCACCACCAACACCAACAAGACGATATCAAAATTCGACATCTCCACCTCCGCCCTCTCCATCGACTATCTCACCTCGCCCATCTCCGTCCTCTCAAGTCTTTTAGATCTCACCAACGAGGGAGGAAGTGTACATTTGGTGATTAGCAATCGATGTTTCCCCACCAAAGCGATTGCGCGATGGTTACGCGTGGATGAGGAGGAACGCGTGCAGATGGTGGGGGATTTTTTGCATTTTGCGGGGTGGAAGGGGATTGAGATTGTGGAGGTTTGTGATGGGGAGGTTAGGGTAGAGAGTGAAGAAGAAGGGGGAGGGGAGGAGGAGGGGTTAAAGAGGTTGATGAGGTTGATGGGTAGGAGGAGGAGGGATCCGTTGTGGGTTGTTAGGGGGTGGAAGATGTGATTTCTTTTTTTTTTCGGTATATTTGTTTGATGTGCTCAATATCTGCGTGTTTAACTTTTCTCTTTCTTTCTTCGGAGAGCCAGAACTGCTGGAAGATCTCGGTAAACGGACAGAAAAAAGGACAGAAGCAGAAAAAAAAAGAAAGAAATGTGAAATGCTCCCTCAAAAGAGATCCGTCCTCGCATTCTTTCTACCACGCTCCAGGTCAATCTCGACACGTCTCTCAGGTCTGCTCTTCCGCCTGAGATAATAATTATTATCGCCTTCTTCACTTCTTCCTCTCCCCAACGGCGGCGGACTCAAAACTTTCCCGTGGCTACCATACGCATAAAAGTCCACACTTCGTCTCATGCTCTTAGCCATCGACAACGTCATTTCCATCTGTCTCGCGTCCGACTCTCTTTTCTGAAGGAGCTCCTCCATGTCATCTACTGTTGTTCTTCTGGATCGCTTCCTCCTCCTCCACCACATCCGCGCTCGCACCCAAGTATTATTGACCTGATCCACCGAGAGCGCCACGGCGATGGCGGGCACAGAAATGGCGAGTCCAATACCGAAAATGTACGCGGAAGCATATTCCAGGGGGATTTCCGCGCTGGAGCCTACACCGCCCGGATGGGGGAATTGTTCGATATTCACGGCGAAAAAGGCGGTGATGAAGGAGAGCGGGAGGAAGATGATGGTCACGATGGTGAAGACCATGATGGTTTGGCCTTGGCGGTGCGTTCCCGCGGCGGAATCGCGTGCGAATCGAGCTTCAAAGGCGTTGGCGTGCTTTTGCTTCAAGTCGAGAAGAGATCGGATGCTTTCGTAGACGCGGTTGGCTTGTACTTCCATGCGATTGATGTCCTTGATGGGATTGGAGATGGTTTTCTCCTGTTCATCAAACGCTTTGTCGCACTTGCGGACTCGCATGTGTGATCGTTCGGTTTGGTAGACGGCCTTGACTGCATCCTTGAACTCGGGCAGGAGATGTTTCTGGTGATCTAGGACCATGCGGATGATGTCGAGCTCATCTCGAATATCTTTGATTTCCGCAAGTAAATCAGTCTCTGCGCCCACGTCTAGCAACTGGTTGATGAAGGCTGGATTCGTATCGGTAGGATCGATATCATCATACCGATCCGGATGTTTCTTGACCGTGTGTTCGTATGCTTTGGAGTCGGCTTCGAGGTGCTTGGAGAACCTGTTGGGTTTTTGATGACTCTGCAACCAGTCCGACGCTTGACGACTCGCCTTGGAGAACCCTTGGAACAGCGACGCCTCGTTGTCCATGGCAGCACCGATGGAGCTCTCGAACATGTCAAGGAATTGAAACTCGTCGTCGCCCTTTCGATGTCTGTCAAACGTGCCGAAGCATCTTCCCGCGATCGTCATGGCCAGCTCATACACGTCTTGCACCGGCTCTCTCGTCTTCGAGTTGATATCCTCGATAATCCCTTCCAGAACATTGAGAGGATCGTTTCGTGGTTGTCGCCAGCGCTGAGGGAAACTCGTCACAACCAAGTCTTTGCCGAGAATCCAGAGCCAGAGCTGATCTACCATGAATATCTTCGGTCCACCTTCCTGGTCTTTGTGATGTTTCTCCTGGAACCGATACACCACCTGGTCACTATCGCGGACACTGGTATCAATGTTGTGGTAGAAGAACTGGTCGAGTGTGCGTCGGACATGCAAGAAAGAGGCAGACTTGCTGAGATGCGCGCGGATCAACACTTCATCCGGCACTGCAGCTATCGTGTGTCTTTGCGGATTTTGCATTGCCATCTGCCTAGAAGGAGTAGGCCGAAGAGTTAGCAAGTATTTCATGTTAGAAATCTCGCTCTTTGAGCGCACCGCCCCAGTGAGGGTCAACTCTGGTGGGATAGTGTGACTTCACTTACATCTCGCGGCGCCGGCGGTCTGTCTCGAAATGGAGGTACGGCATGAACATGAAGATGCTGCGCGAGCTTTGAAGTCTTCTCAAAGGCGTGCTGCCACTCTTGCCTACGCTACTCTTGGTCGACTGTCTCGTTGACGGCTTGCGTGCCTCTTTCGACGTCTTCGCTGCCGCAGTCGCAGCCTTGGCAGTCTTTCTATTCGTACTTGTTGACGCGGTGGCTGTCGTCGACGTCGTCTCTTGCCGCTGGGCTTGTGGTTTGCCAGGTCGGCCATTCAGCCGGGGGTCGACTGATGCATCAGAGGCAGCCATTGTCGAGTTTGTGTCCGTCGTACTCTGTCGCTGGGGCTTGGGAGACTTATTCTTGGACCTGGCATGTTGTGCTCCAGCAATGGTATCAGGCTCTTCGCTCTGAGAAGCCTCTAGCTTCGATCTATCGAGCTTCTCGAAGCTCTTGTTCCTAGTTGGAGTGCCTGGAAAGGGCGAAAGGCTGGCTGGCTCCTCTACGACGACTGCAGGTGGTCCAGATTCTTCCAGGTCTGCCTCCAATCGCTGAACCACCTGGCACATGGGCCGCATAAAACGTGAATGGTGTTGCTGACCCCGATGCTGATGATTGAAAGCAGACGCCAGAGCCTTGTATCCCTCCACGTCCGTAGCTCCTTGTTCGATGAAACGTTTCGTGAGCAATGCATCACACCACGTGAGATTGTTCGCTGGTAAGTGGATCCAGCGGAATTGTGTAGCTTTGGTCATTTCTGGTAATGTACTGATTGAGTGTTTCGAGGGATCCTTCGCGCTGCGAGCATACAGCAATTCATACACCGATCGACGCTGCACTCGATTGAAGTCCTTGTGGTCAAAGTCAACAATCGTTGCACTAAACTGTTGCGCTGCCTCCACTTCGTCCGCAGAGAGCTCTTTGACGTGATTCCAAGGCGCGAGCATCTCCACGATCTTTATCTGGCCCTTCTGGGCCGCAATGAGTAATGGAGTGTTCCCGAAGCGATCTTTGACCGATCGCCTGGTCCCCGAGGTCCCCAGCAGGCATTCAGCAGCATCGATGTTGCCGAATTCCGCAGCAACATGCAGAGGCGTTCTACCGTTCAGGAGTTGGCCATTCACGTCCGCACCAGCAGCGACTAGTCTCTGTACCAGAGCACCAGAAGAAGATTGACAAGCATTGTGAAGAGCTGACCAGTCGCCATCAGATTTCGAGTGTACATCGGCTCCATGCTCGATCAAGATTCGCGCCAGGTTGTCGCGATTGTTGGACGCAGCCAGCTGTAGGGGGCTTTTCATACGCATATCTGTTGCGTTGACCCGGGCCTGAGGCGAGGCACCACCAAAGCGCGTTTTCAGCAGGATCCTGAGCAGGTCTTCGTGGTCTGTGACACAGGCCCAATGAACAGCTGTACGGCCAAGCTCATCTTCAGCATCGATATTGACCCCGGCCTGAAGTAGATAGTGCACAATGCCCATGCCGCATCTGCGTTTCGGCCGGTCTGATGCACTCGTGAAATGTCTTTTGTCGCCCTGATCTGCCGCAAGGTTATGTAACACGTTTCGACGCCGCTTGTCCAGAGTATCGACGTGGGCGCCACGAGATACGAGAAGCTCCACGATGGTGCCATGACCTTTCCACGCTGCAGTCATCAGAGCAGTGCGGCCCTTTTTGTCCTTGGCTTCCAGGTTGGCACGATGATCGATCAAAACCTCGATGAGTTCTGCTTGTCCATGCTCGGCGGCTCTAAGCAATGCTGGAGGTTTATTCCCAGTGGCATAGTCCGGATCAGCTCCCCGGATCAATAGATATCTGGCGACATCGACAAGTCCTTTGTCGCAGGCTCGAACCAGGCCAACCGATAGGAGGGTTGTGCCAAAGTGGCGTTCATTCTGAACATCCTCGATCACATCTTGGACTTGTCGCACGTCGTTCCTCTCGACGGCCTTCAGTAGCCGAGGCTCTGGTCTAAGATTTGTGCTGTCGCCGCTTTGAAGGCTGACAGGTCTTCGTGGCATTGTGAGGAGTCAGTGGTGTTGGGTCTATAGCCCCTGAGCATCATAGGAAAAGCCGCGCCCGCGAGTTTGTTGCATGATACATCTCGGTCTATCTGGAGCCATAGCAAGGGACTGAACGAAGACTCCAACCTCAATAATTATTCGTGCAGAGGGTTGTGCATGTACTACTGTGGCTGCACGATAAGCGAGATGGCTGTGAATCCTTCGGGACGCAGAGGCGATCACGACCGATTTCTGTCGATTTGAAGTGAATTAATTCAGTATCCAGACGTTGACGAGTAGAAATACCGGGAGATGTATGCAAGTATGGCGTTCCATGCTCCAAGCAAGCACTTGGAGAGTGAGAAAAGTAAATGAATAGGTATCGTCGGGGTGAAAATATATTCGGGGAACGGCGCTGGTGTCTGAAAGTAGTAGGACGCTACCTCGCAGCCATATATCGATGTATCGATTAGTCCAATTGGGTGCCTCGATATATTACTTTTTCGAGAACTTGTTTTCAATGCTTATGGCTAATGCTACTGTTACGTTACAAGTGCATCCAACTCCAATTGCCTTTGTTACCCCCCCGATCGGGCCAACTGCCTGTAGGCTGTAGCAAGCCCAGAAACAGGCCTGCTACATACATTATTGCCAAACCTGAGCGGGTTCTTGCACGTCCCTCTCCAAAACTTGTGAATTCCAAAAGCAAAACGTAGCAAACTCCCCATAAACAGTAGCACCATGGCCTGTAAACCCGCATCCATCGAGCTCATGTTGGCTCTCATGCGGCTCTCGCTTTCTCAGATGCGAAGTTCAAAAGCAAAACTTTTTAACCTCCCCGTAGACAGTACCTTAGCGTCACGGCCTGTGAACCCGCATCCATCGAGCTCATGATGGCTCTCATGCGGCTCTCGTTTTCTCAGATCTTTGTAAAACCAACTGGCTGGACCGAATATTGCCTAGGAGTCCGGCGTCCACGTCTTCGGCGAACAGCTGACTTTACAAAGACACTCTGGATAATCGGAATCAAGTACTCTTGCTGTAAAGTCGGCTGGCTCAAGCGCTGGTTGCTCGTCGTACTCCTGGATCGGATCTTCAATTGCCACCTCGCTGGCACCAAGTCTCACTCCGCCGTCCTCTTCGGCATTCCACTCCGCATATTCCGCCACGGTGGCATATTTGTAGCCTGCTGGAAGCGTTTTGCACCACTGCAGGTACTCGGCGCGAATTTCGGCACACTTCTTTTCAAAGTCCTTCTTCTGCTGAAGTTTGGCGAAACCTTGGATGGTCACCTCGTTGCCGGCGATCCACGGCAATATGTTCTTGAAAACGCGTTCAACAAGCTTGTACTGACAAGGCACATAAGTCCTCGTGCTCACCCAAAATATGTATCCCGAGGGCGGCTGTAGCTCGATGGTCAGATGATCAAGCTTGAGTTCGCGGACGAGCTTTGCAACATCGTCGAGCTGGGGATTGTATATTCTCTGCGACGGAGGGCCGAATACGTTACCATAATCCTTGTGCGACAGAGAAATTTCGAGTCTCTTAACCCGCTCGCTTAACATCTTGTGCTTCACCAGCTTCCTTAGCTGTGTGGTTCCCACCGCACGAAAGACAGCGGTCTGGAAGTATACGTCGCTGCCTTCATCGTGAGTCTGGCGGTTCAGTTGGAGGATTGTACCGTACAATTGTGGGACGACCCTGCAATCGCAATCCCAGACGCGGGGTCTGCCGAGACGTGCAAGGCGGTACGTGTCAGTACCCAAGACTGGGCCTTGCCTCTCTCCGAGCGCAAAGTCATAGATCTTGATACGCAGTTCGGCAGGAAGTTCGAGCAGCCGAAACCTCTTGTTCTGTGTTTTTTCAGCCCATAGCCAATAGCGCCATTGCTTATCCCACAGGTCAACTTGCCGAGCCAGCCTATACTCTTCGAAGTGATTCAATTGGTTTCCATAAGTTGTGACCTCCTGCATGAGGAATTGCGTCAGTCTTATCCAGAAGGGTTCCTTGTACACCCAGATCTTGTGTTGGTGGTCGATGTCGATCTCAAGTTTCACAGGGTCGGAAATCCAGTCGGCAAACTTGTAGTGAGTCCATCCTATGTGGGTGTGCCGCGAGTCGTAAAGCTTGGGCGCTCCTTCAGCCTTTGTAATGGTAATGTCGAGGTCACGGTGACTCAAGTTCATTAGGTTGAATCTGGAGATCTCGGCCTCGATCATATTGAGAATGAAGTCGCGCATATCCGCGGCTCCAACTAGCGGTCGAAAGTGCGTGGGACTGGCCACGAATGGTAACCAGTATCCTCTGCGCATCGTTCTTGCCTTTGGAGCACAATGCCTGTGCTGTGTGAGTGTGTAACCTTAGAAGAGGTCAAAGTAGTTTGTGTTCAGGATGTGCTGCGTACCTTATGCAACCGTGATGTTATTGTCGACGAAGAAGAGTTACCTACAGGAAGGCAACTATTTAAGGGGAAGAAGGGGCGTGGCAAGTGCCGAGGCCGATCACGTGCATTTGCATTTGCATGCCGTGTGAATGAGATTGAAGTGAAGTAGGTATAGCAACCAAGAGAGGTAAACAGCGGCTTAGGGCGCTTGATTCACCGCAAACCATGTGTACAATGAGAAGATGAATGTTTTCAGTACGCCTCACTAGGGCACATCCTGTCCATGAGCGTACTTGAGCACGCTGTCGAGCAGCAGAGGAGGCAGACTAGTGGTCAGGCCAGCCACCGCAGGAGCCTGAGGCCCATCCACATCCATCCTGTCTGCCTCACCAACCAGGTCGTCCTTTTCAGCTTTCCCCTCGCCGTCTTCATCTACATCATCGTCGTCGTCGTCGTCTTCTTCGTCTTCTTCTCCCTGATCCAACTTCCGCTTCAGGCCTGTGATGACCTTGTCGACGCCCATCTCGCGCTCGCGTATCGTGTAGTCGTCATCCCAGACTTGGTCTTCGGTCAGCTGAGCGACCATGGCCTGTTGGATTTCCATGGCCGAAGACCACAAGTCTCGCATGTCCTCGGCCTTCAGGACACCAGCGGCGCCGTTGCTGCGCGGGTCATCACTGATGTGCACACTCTCTTCGATCCAGTCCTCGGCTTTTGTTTCCAGCTTCTTACGCAGCAGCTGTTGCAACAGCGCCTCCTGGGTGTCGCCGGGAAAGGTGGGCAAGGGGTAAACGTGCAGGGAGGTGAAGAGCTGGCGCTGCGAGCTCAATGCGCTGGCGAGTGCCTCGAGATTCGCGCCCAGCTTAACGGACGCTTTCTGCAGCTCTGGCCTGTTGATTCTTACCTTAGCGAACTTACCTCACTCAGTGTACGCAGCGAACATGGCTTGGCAAATGCGCCGACTGAGCGACGTACCATGCGAGCAACGGGTCATGCTTGGGGCTCTGCAGCTCGGCCAGTAGGAGGCCGATGGAGGTCGACAGGCCTGACAGGCGCATGCGCAGCTGATCAATGGCCTTGACGTGCTCCGGCGGCAGCGGCAGCGTCGATGTCTCGGGCTGCGTGTGCGCCATCGAGCATCGAGCGGCGCGGCGAAACGGTCTTGATTTTGTGAATGTGGGTGGGATACCACTGATGACGGGATGTTGCTGATGCTACTGATGCTGCTGATGCTGATGCTGATGCTGCTGATGCTGCTGACGATTATGGCCGGCGAGGTGGTCTGGTCAGGCAGGTCCATGTTTCTGCCTGGCGTATTCAGCTGCTCGGCTCGGCGCTTGCCAAGATATATGTATCCAGGTACCTACAATGAACTACATGTACTCTCTCCCTCTTCCTCCTCCTCCTCCTCCTCCTCCTACGCCTCCTTTCCTCCTTCCTCCGCAACCTAGTCAACCTCCTCATCCTCCTCCTTCACTGCTACCTACATATTGTGACAATAACAAGACTCCTACATGCCCGCCATGTAAGCCTGACGCTGAGCAAGCTGAGCGTAACAAAGCCGCGCTTCATGTCTTATGCATGCAACGCGCACTCTTGTAGCACACCGGCTACAGCGGCCGCCTCAATCACTGTTTGTCATCTATGTAGGTGCCTATCTTACGATAGTCCTGCGGTAAGGCCGCTCAGCTAGGTATTATTCCACTCCCATTCACCAAAGACTGCTATACAGACAATATCGTACTTCTTTCCTCACTCTTTTATTCACCTACCCGACATCTTCATTCACCTATCCGACATCCTTATTGCACGTACATACGCACACTCGCGCTATGCCAGGACGCGGTGGCCTGTTGAGCCTTGTTGGCAAAGGAATCGCCATGGGAGCCGAGTACAGAGAACATCGCAAAGAACAGAAGCAAGCTCGCGCCAATGCTCAAGATGAACACACTGAGCCCATTGAGCAGTCAGACTGGAGTCCAGCAACCCAGTTTCAACATGGAAAGGCGGAACCACCTCCAGGACACGCAGATGCAGCTCTTCCATCGACAGCCTCCAGGACACTGAAAACAGGAGGACCACCAGCACTGCCAGATGACAAAAGGGGAGAAATTTCCTCGGAAGAGGACTTTGATTCCGATTATGAGTCTCTCGAAGATGACGAAGAGCTACTAGAACTGGACGAAGCACTAACTTCAACCGACGCCAAGGGACTGCCCACCTACGACGAATCTGAGCAGGAATATCAGCCTGTCGATGAGCTGGTTCGTGATGTCATCAACACCAGTCGACCTCCTCCAACGAGCACATGCAGTGGGACACCAGTCACGAGTCGATCACAGCTTCCATGTCCTGTCATACTCCCGCAAAGACGTCCACGCAAGAAAGCCAGAGGGTTCATCAGAGCCTACAGTCCCGTTTTGTCAGACTGTGGCATCTCTCAAGAAGTCTTTCTCAAGTTTCTGAAAAACTTCCACACATCCTCGCAGGCATCTCCAATCTTCCCTATCATCAGATTCTCCGCAGCTATTGCAGGGCTTGCACCTTCCGTCATTGCCATCGCCATCTGCGCTGCCGCACAAGTTGCAGCAAGCGTAGGCGCCGAAGTGCAGTCTCGCGCTCGCACCAACGACTTCCTCGACCGCATGAATGAAGAGCTCTTCAAGCCTGCAGGTCTCTACTGCATGATTGTCAAATACAAATCCGACGCAGACATGCAACAAAAGTCTTCTTCTCTGATCAACTTGATCCGTGCAGAACGAGTCGATGTCACTACTACGAATCAGACGATAGCAAAATACACTCGTACAACAGCATCTGGTGACGGTGACCCCACCAGAACCAGCATGAGCATGAGCATGAGCAATCGAATCCAGAATCTCCGACTCGCGAGTGCTTCAACCAGAGGAACTGCCATGCTTCCCGACTCTGCGCCGCTAATTTTTCCAGACATTGATCACACCGTCGCTCAAGCAGGTCCGGAGACATTCAAAGACAAGACCCACGATGCGAAGAAGTTTCTCGCACACTATCTCGATCGAAGAGCACAAATGGATCAAGTCAGCCTTCTTTTCTATTCCGTTTTTTTCTTTCTCTTTGCCTCTTTTCTCTTTCTTTCAATTTTCGTTTTCTTTTCTTTTTTTGGTTATGAAATATGTTTTTTCAAGCTGATATCAAAATTCCAGGCAAGTCAAGATCCCAATTCCTCGCTCACGAGATCAAATCAACAACAACACAGCTTCAAGACCTCCATCGCAGACCCCAACCATCCCATGCACTCTGGCGGCTTGATCGCATTAGTCTCTGGTGGAAAATTGACGCCTCGAATGGATAAGCGTGCAGACAAGATGGAGAGAGATTTCTCTCGTGACACGCGCCGGGTCACACGGGGACGAGAATCGAGAGGCAGTAGCAGCAGCAGTAGGAGAAGAAGAAGGAGAAGAGGATACAGAAGCGCTTATCATGAGGAATTGTACGCTCGACTGGGTTTGCACGGTGATCGAGTTGCGGAACGTCGAGGGCAGGCTTACGTTGAAGATGAGCGGAGCGATGATGCTGGAGAGGGATCTTCCCATCGAGCTTTGCAGTATCGCGACGTTCGTGGCAGAGATCGTCGGAACGGGAAGGGTGGTCCCTTGGGCGCTGTCAAGAGGATTATGAAGGAGGATGTGCTGTATCTGATGATTGTGAACATGCCGTCGGAGTCTGAACTAGTGGAAGCTAGGCAAGACTTGGCAAGGGTCCAACGGCACTAATCAATTAGTACGATGGGCATAAGATCGCCGCGATCAAAATGAAATTTTATTATGAGCGACAGACACGACCCTGCATCTCTGCAGAGATCATCAGTCAAATCATCCCCTTCTCCTAGTCGATGGCGAATTCTTCTGCCTTTGGCTGCCGCTCGCCTTAACCACATTCGCATAGCTTGGTGCTCCCGCTTTCGTAGGAGTTAGCTTCTCCTGGTGCTTGGTGCTCGGACTGTTCCAGTAATAAATCATCTGCAACGCAAGGACCAGATTCAGGGAGAAGCCAGCAAGGAAGCCGTACAGGATCAGCTTATCGTCCACTTCTTGCAAAGTGGTGAAGATCCGTGCCAACGACCCAGCGAGATAGTTGAAGATCTGAGAAGCAAAATCATCAGTATACCTCCGTTTTATCTCTCTCCTCTTGTGTTCTTTCTTCTTTGTAAAACAGCCATGCATGCTGAGGGATATATCCCACTTACCGCAAAAGCACTCAATTGTCCGGTTCCCCCTTGTGAGAAAATCGTCACAATCTGAGGCAATTTACTCGCCACGCCCAACAAGCCCGCTCCAGCCTGAAAGTACTGCAATTGTGCCATGCTCACGACGCTCTCATTGTACAAGGCATATCCCGCAGCGGCCAAACCTCCCACAAACACGGCAGCAGCAGGTGCTTTGCCCGAATACTGCAAGACCAAGACACTAATAGCCACATTCTGCACTGCAATCAATGCAGTCTCACCATATGTGGAAAAGGGAAACTGATTTCGCACGTTGTAGACGAGCGTGACGAGGTAGCTGACGGTTTCGAGGAGGTAGGAGAGGAAGGAGATGCCATCGGCGGATTGGCTGTTGATGAGTTTGAGGAGTTGCGGGATCTTGACGATGCTGGAGGCGCCAATGATGGCGATGCCTAGCGCTTTGGAGATGGCGAGTTTCAGGCAGACGGTGTCGGAGATGGTGATGTTGTGGACGAGACTTCGGTAGCAGCTGTCGCCGAGGAGTTGTGTTGCTGCATCGCTGATGGGTTGGGGCAGGTTGCGCGTGATGGGCGTGAGGATGCCGCGGAGTGTTGTTTCGAGGGCTTCCATCTTTCTTTTCCACCTGTGCAGGCTGTGCTGGTGCTGTTCTGGTGTGCTCAGTGCTGTATCTGTACAACTCCAGCTCGAATAGTTGTTGCCAAGGCTCTATAACTATTTTGAGATTATATAAGCGATATAGGGGTCACCTTTACCAGGATTCTTTCGTCATCACACGCTAGCTACTATGTATATACATGTACACGAGTTGCAGATCAATCCTCATCCGTTCATGTTCTTCACATATCCACATGCTCAATCATGAATAATTCATAGCCATTTGGGCACAGAAATGCCGGTGGAAACCCCTTACCGCGATGACTTTGAGCTGGATCTAATAGACGACCCCGATCTGCCTTTACCTCTTCCGCACAGTACCGGCGACCGCGAACCCCGGTGGCTACAGAGCACGCCTAACTGGACACGAAGGTGGTTCCAACAAGTCAATGGGCATATGGATATCCTTCAACCTCGATGGCTAGAAAGCCGTCAATCGTCACATACCCACAAAACGAGTGACTTCTTCCGACCTCGTCTCACTGCGGCCTATGTATGCTGCTCTATAGTTGCCTTATACGTGCTATACTGCTACATTGTCCGGTCACCTCTCTTCGCTTCGAAACTGCCCAAATATACTGGTCGGTTTGACGTGGGCGCCATCGACATCGAAGTTCCCGTGGTGGAGCCTCACAACATTGTCAATTCCGTTTTCAAGCAAAATGGCGAACCGGCCTTTCGCCTCGATACTGTCCTCTTCACTCTCTACTATCCTGCTGTGAAAGGATCGCGGAGCTCGAAACCACGACACAAATGGTTCCCCAAGCCAATCAGCCTGATTGCAGAAGGTTATGCACACGCCGCTCACTTCAACAACTTCTTCTCCCGACCTTTATTCACATTTGCGCTATGGGGTTTGGCAAGTTCCATCGATATTCCTGCCAAGGTCGACGTGCCTTTGATTGATCCTTCTTCCTCCATGCAAGATGCAGACGGCGACGAGGCCGACCTATCACGGCTTCCCGTAGTGGTTCTCAGCCATGGCGACGTAAGCTCACGGACAGACTACACTGCCTACTGCGGCGAGCTCGCCAGTCGAGGAATCGTTGTAGCGGCGATCGAACATCGAGATGGATCTTGCCCGGGCAGCATCGTTCATCTGCCTCACGGCAAGACGAGAAGAGTACTGCTTTGGAGAGCCGATCAACTGAAGCCAGAAAACGGGAAAGAGGAGGTGAGCAACGATGAATGGAGATTTCAGAAACTGGCCTATCGAGATGCCGAGATCCACGAGACCATACGTGTTTTGGAAGATTTGGACTTGGGTAGAGGAGATGAAGTCTTCTCGTACAACTATAGGAAGGAAGGCAAGGATCTTGAACACTGGAAGGGTCGTCTCGACTTTTCGCATCTCGTGATCGCTGGGCATAGCTTCGGCGCGACAGGTGAGTTTGAGCAGTGCCGAAAGCGTGACTCCGTGTTTGGTATCGAGCCTACCGAGACGATAAGCTCCGAAACAGATGCCGTTCAGACCGGATTCGCATTATTTACAGAAAGAAAGATGTATATGCTGACCTGGTGAATCCGTCACTACTATTGTTACAGGAGCACTCCAAGCACTCAAAAGCGCAAACTCAGCAACTGGTGGAATCATTCTCGACCCGGGAAAGTCCAGCGGGCAGCTGAATACCGACATCGACGTCCCGTTGTTGGTGGTGCACTCTGACTCGTGGTCCAAGGCTCACACAATCTTTTACAACCGGCCGCATTTTGACACGGTGCGCGACATTGCGTCTCACGTTTTGAACCGCACTGGCGCCAGCTGGTTCATGACGAGTTTGAAGACGTCTCATCCTTCTTGCACCGACGCACCGCTCATCGAGCCTTTGTTACTATCCTGGACGACGGGCGCAACGATCAATGTCAGAGAAGGCTTACGCGAGTACGTCCGAGTCAGCATGGAATTCATCGAATTTTTGCAGACGGGGAAGCGCAGTGGTGTGCTAGATATCGGTCCTACACATGAGTCGTATGGGAATGATACGAGATCTCTGGAGCAGAAGAATAGCATACCGCATTCCATTATGCGTTATTGGCAAGTCCATGTGGCTCCCGAGGTGAGGTTTCCAGAGGAAGAAGATGGCGACTCGATGCGAACCAAGGTGGATGATCGATCCATGCGGTATGACGAAGATGGCTACTCTGTGCAAACGAGAGTGAATGATGGATCCATACGGTACGATGAAGACGATGCATACTCTATGCAAACGAGGGTGAAGGATAGATTCTTGCGTTACGACGAAGAAGATGCAGACTCTGTCAAAACGAGGGGCACACGATAGATCCATGCGGGCAGTGTGACGAGAATTTCGCGACAGCAGCAAGCAACTCTCTTTTCACACATCAGTATTGGAGGAAGCTTTCTTGAGAGAAATGAAAGTCTGCATGTCACACGTCGTAGAGTGTAACTTACATGTAGACTTCCACTGCAGTGCCTCAAGATTCATCCAATCTACTCTAGAACAAACGGATTCCGCGTGCCGACGCGTTTGTGAAGAATTGTGACTCCAAAGTAAAAACGAAGTCTTTATGCCGCTATCCAATTGCCCAGCCCGCCTACCTACCTTAAAAAAGGTACTTGGTAAATTCCCCATGTCAGTCTTGTCACTCTCACTCCCGTCCAGTCCAGTCCAGTCAGGTAAGGTATTGCATGCAATAATCAATGAACTCACAAAGGGCAAAACAAAAAAAAGGGAAAAACCGGCAAGTTAAAAATAAAAATAAAAAAATTGTCCAAATTCCAACATTGACATGTAATCCATGTTGACGAAAATTTATCTCTCTGTCTCTGTTTCTCTCATTAGGTTAGGTATAGCGGGAAGGTGGAAGGGATTATACCTCAATACCAGTGATACTCGGCTGCGAGCGGGATTGACGGATCCCAATGACTTCTTCTATACTTTCCTTGACCATCCGTGAAAAAAAAAAGGAAAACCACAATGTCGGTACCTTACCTCATCTCATTTGCATCCATCTTTTCTTACCTACCTTACCTTCTTACGCAAGCCAAGAGAAATGCAAGAAAAAATGTCAATGCCTTCATTCATGCATTCATTCATGTTTTTTTTTTTTAACTTTCTAAAAAAAAAAAGAAGAAAAGAAAAAACTCCGACAAGTTCCATCGTATCGGGTTCCTAGTCGTATCCGTATCCGTATCGCATCGCCAGACGCCAACATCCTTCACTCGGCAGATTCTTGTACATGTAGGAGGTACAAGAATCCTAGATTCGGCAGTGTTACATGCTTACCTGCGTGGCTGTTAGGCTGTTAGGAGGTAGGCTGTTAGGCTGTTAGGCTGCTGGTCTGTCACATGTTACGGGCGGGTATGCTACATTTGGTGCGTGTTACATGTTACATGTTACATGTTACCTGGTTGGTGGTGGTGGTGGTGGTGGTGGTGGTGTACTATTACTATTATCATATCAGACCAGAATCAGACCAGATCAGACCAGACCAGACCAGACTCGACCAGACAAACTAACCGAACTGAACCGAACTGACCAGCTGAACCGAACTGAACTGAATCGACCTCCCTAATAGACCACCGCAGTAGATTGTTACATGTACTTATTGATTATTCAAAGAGAAAGAGAGAGGAGAGGAAAAAGTCAGCCACGAGAAAGCCGAGTTTGAAAACGACAAGAAGGTACTTGCCTGCCGACCGACAGGAAGTCACCAGCCAGGTACCTACCTAGGTAATCAGTGATCTGATGTATAGGTATGTATAGGTACATGTCAGGTAAGTTAGTCTGAAGACGAAGATCGATGATAGTGGTGATGATGATGATGATGATGATGATGATGATGATGACAATACAAGCCTAGGCAGAGAGGTAAGGTAAGGTAGGAGGTAAGGTAAGGTACAGGTACAGCTTACAGGTACAGGTAACAGGTACCCGACAGGATGTCTAGTGGGCTGACATGTTGGCTTGAAGAAGCTCAGCTGCATACCTGACCTGACCTGATGATCATCACTAAGGTACCGTCAGTCAGGTAGGTAGGTATGGATATGGACTTTCCTACAAACCTCCGGCAACACCTAGCAGAGTGCTATATCGTGACGTTGATATGCACGAAACGAAAGAGAGTAGGTGTTAGCTGACATGAGATTTCCATTTTCAGCTATAGCACTATACTGTGCTGTACTGCTATGCGCGCTCTATACAGGTGTTGTTGTTGTTGTATGTCGAGATAGATAAATCAGGTAGATGCATGGAACATTCGGCGTCCGATGTTTGGCTTCGATTGGGCAGAGGAAAAGCTACCTTACCTTACCTTACCTTACCTTACCTCCTACTGTTGGAACTTGGAGCTCGTCGTGTTGGATGTTTCTCTCTCTCTCTCTCTCTCTCTCTCTCTTATCATCAGACCGACAACCCCCTAAAGGTACGTACGAGAAGGAACTACAGCATCATCGGTATATACAGTAGTACCTTACTTGGCTGATAGTGTAGTTCTTTCCTTCCTTCCTTCTTCCCTTTTCAAACAGAACCCGAATATCCCGAAAGTGTTGTAATGAAACAGAAAAGAAAGGCGAGCAAGCCAACCAACCAACCAACCAACCAGTAGGATTGACTGCCCTGTGAATACCTTACCTTGCCTTATCTAGGTACCTTACCTAGTATAGGTCAGTCGGTCGGTCAGTCAGTCGGTAGGTCATATGATGTCCACCCACGCAGTCGTTAGCGAGCGGGAGGCATGTACAGTAGGTAGATAGGCGTAGGAGGTAGGCCATAAAACATACAGTAGGCAAGCCTAGGTCGATTACCGTAATCACAGTACTAGCTGGCTGGTACTAGACTTTGCTAGGCAATACGTGCATTCGACATGTGTATGGAGCAAGAGAAGCGAGGGGGTAGGTCTTCTTTTTGCTTCTTTGAAGACATTGCATGATGCCTATGGCTGGGCCTTTGCAAGCCACGCAGAGAGTTGTAGTAGAGCGCCACATCGCCTTGAGCCGACAGTTTTTTACTATCAGGTACCTGTACCTGTACCTGTATCGTCGTCGTCGGAGACAAGCATACTCCGCGTGTACCTGCCAAGGCGTTCATCATCACCATCAGCAAAGAATAAGAGTCCAATCTGTAGACTATAGCCAAAAAATTGGATTCTATATGTATGGATGAACCTTCAATACAGAGGTTAACCGAAGGGCAGAAACGTTCAATTAGGTTGGTATTTCGGAACGCGGCCAAGGAAAAAAAAATAAAAAATGCAGAAAAGAGACTGTGACAGACAGACAAACGTGGCCCTGATGAAAGAAAAGAAACAACCCTACCCCTGCACGCGAGCCGCTGGTTCGGTACTTACAGGTCCAGGTCAAGGTCCAGGTCGTCAGGTTAGGTCAGAGCCATGTCAGAGCATCCAGGTTGATCCCTCCATCCGATCAGTGAGACAGACGAAGAAATGACCACAAGATCCCGCGCGCTGGAGCCCAGCTTGGAAAATCATCAATCATCACATGGGGGGAAAAATCTTCTTCTTCTCTGCTCTCTCTATCTCTCTCATATCACACATATCACAAACACGCGGAAAGAAAAGGAACAAACGAAAAAAAGAGACTTTGTTGGTGTTTGAGTCTGATTCCTACACACTACACACTACACTCCAACCTTAAGGAGGTATGGTAGGTAGACAAAACAACGCTATAGCCAATGTTTCAGCGCCCGTGCGAAGCGAAGCAAATAAAATAAAATAAAATAAAATAAAATAAAAATGCGTGTATTATGCGAATGGATGCGTGGTGAGACGAATTATATCGCTCGCCCGTTCGGTCCCGTCCAAAAGTTGCTGCCTGCCTGCCTGCCTATCTTCGGAAAGCGCGACGACGTATACGTACGTGGGGACTCTGCCAGCTCAGCCAGCCAGCCAGCGCACAAGCGGGAACAGAAAGTGGGCTATAATTAAAAGAAAAAAATAATAATCGCCAATCATCATCACGCGAAATGAGGACACGACCACCCACCTGCAAGCTGCACCCCCCAACCTGAAACACATGGACAGATGACGTGCGCGTAGGGCGGCTCTTCCAGTTTTTTTATTTTGTGTGTGCGATATGCAACTCCTGGCGATCTCATGCAGGTACAGGTTGTGAGTCGCGGGGGGCCCGTGGCTGGGATGCGTGGCGTGTAGCGGCGGCCCTCCCTCCTTGTTGCTTGCTTGCTTGCTTCCCATTCCCTTCCCATCCCTTCCCCTCCCCTTCTCAACACGTGTTTTTGTTTGGCTCTGGCGGAACCGGTGACCAGACTAGGGCTGGCTGCCAATATGTCTCTCTCTCGCGCCCGTCCCGTCCGCGGGCCATGGATCGAGGGAGGCCACGTTGCAGGCACGCGTGTACCTAGATAATGTACTATACTATACAATACGGGGGGAAGGGAAGGGCGGTGACAGGCCGCCGCCGCCGACGACGACGACGGCGGCGCAGAAATTCTGCTCTGCGGGTTTATTTCGAGATGCAGGCTAACAGAGCGCGGGTTTGGCGGACGCGGTGGCCAACCAGGCAGTGCACGTGGGCTGGACAAGGGAGCGAAAGGCTAAAACGACAATGATCAGCCGATGCGAACGAGGACGGGAGCGCATGGGAGAGTAGGGAAGGGAAGGGAAGGGAGCGAGCTGCTGCAGGACTGCAGGACTGCAGGAGCACCACTACGGCATGTCAGTGGAGTGTGTGCATCACGCGGCGTAGGAGGTACATTGTAGCATGTACAGTCTGGTACACTTCTCAGTAGTGAGGTGAGCGCATCGGGAGATTCGCGTCGGCCTACGAGCAAACGAGGTACTGTAGGAGCTACCACCCGACGACGGGAGACGACGACCTTACTATCCTCCCTCCGCTGACCTCACCAACACGTCCTCCGCGGGGGACAGGAATGTCCAAGACATACAGCAAGCTAGTGGCTGAAGTACCTGATGGCTGATGGCTTTGTGGATGCATGGCTGACAGGCCACGGAGGAGAGTCACCATGACGGCTGGGTCGGTACAAGGGAGGTAATGTCTGTATGCATGTGGACGACATGTATGGAGTCGACGGAGTCGGAGAGCAGCAGCAGCAGCAGCAACGGCAGCACATTGATGAGAATCTGAAGCGTGCAGAACCGGGTTCCATCACCGGAGGCTTCTAGCGGCGTTCCATCCTTCCCCCCTGCACGCAGCCGAATGAACAAGTTGTTAGGAGGTACGTGCCGGCAAGGCTGCTACAATTTGCCACGGACTCGAACCGACAAAGAGGGAAGGAAAGAGAAAAAACCTTAGCTACATGAAACAAGCATACAATAGTACACTCCACCAGGTACATGTACCTCAGTAGTGGTAGACTCGTGGTAGTGTGGCAGCTCCTAGGAGCCTGTAGTAGTCATCCATCATCATCATCATCATCATCATCAGGAGCCGTGGACCTTGCATCTCAAACTTTGGTCCCCTCACCCCTGCTTTGCTCTCTCGAGTTTTGGGAACAGCTGTTTTTCGTAATCGGCCACGAGCTATTCGCGGCTACGAGCGGAAGGCAAAGGCATAGGGACGATGAAGCCGACGACTGGAGACGGGGGGAGCTCGATGACCCGATCTGGAAAGCTCCCTGGGCGGTGGCTTCATGCGCGATGGACAAAGAGTGCAAGTGCGTTAGGTACAGGTACAGGTATAGACAAACACGTAGGTGGTCACTGGAGGAGGAGGAGGAGGCGGAGGATGAGGGCGCACTGGCATACGCCGGACCCATACGGGAAGCTGCACCAACAGTCGTCGGGACAGACGCCGTCGTAGCACATTGTAGTACCTCCTAGCAGTAGCAGTAGTGCCTGAGTAGGTATTATTGTACTGTAGTAAGGTATTAGGTAGTAAGAAAAGTGCGTTAATAGAAAAAAAAAGTATTACGATAGTCGTAATGAAGGGAGGTCCCTGGGCAAGACGGGAAAAGGTGGAAAAGGGCTGGCTCCTTGGCTGAGTTGGCTCCGGGCTCCTGGCGTTCAGCCTTTCGGGCTGCGATGGATGCGAACGGGAGTCAAGGAGGAGGGCGGGTGTCAAGGAGAGTGATGGGTGATGGGGGATGTGGTCAGGTCAGGACCGTCAGGCAGACAAGACTCAAGTGGTCATGCGTCTGCAAACTTTAGCCCGGCCGCCAAGGGTGCGGGTGCGGGTGCGCGGGCGTGGATGGGATGGTGTGTCTCTGTCTCCTTAATCAGGCAGCTCTCGTTTGGCACAGACTCACCGCCCGGTCCAGGATTATTCGCATCGCGGATTTGCGGCCAGGGCGCCGTTCGCTGCGCCAGGCCAGGCACCATCAGACGAAATGATCGTGTCATAGCGCAGCATATATGTAATAATCTTCCCCTCGACTCCGTCTGCCCATTTCACCCCCATCGCTCCCGTCTTCACCATACCACCACTACCAGTCGACCACTACCTCCTACCACCACTACTACCTCCTACCACCACCACTACGAGTACGACTGAGCTAGCTGGCATCGACCTGTTGACCACATCTCCACCACCACCACCAACCACACCAACCGACCAATCAGCCAATCACCAACCCGCTGTCTAAACCAACTCTCACCAACCAACTCACCAACCAATCAACCGCTTGCCGCTGCGAGCCCATACACCAACCACCCACCTCACACATCCACAATGCCTGCGTCAACATTCCCTCCGTGCCCAGGCCCACCACCCAGCCGTCCACTGCCTCCGATTCCCACCAAATAAGAGCATGGCGACACGACGCGACCACTTCATACAGGCCACTGTGGAGCCCTTGTCTCATACCACAGACATGGACTGTCATCACAAGATCCCAGCGAGCACGCTTGCACCACCTACTTGTACTTGACAAGACGATGCGAACTGGGTGCAGACGAGTGTCACCAGGCGCAAGCCTCGGACCACACACAGGCCAACACATACACTTCTACCAACATTGCAAATCGACTACACCAGCTGGCCTCGTCTCGGTTTGCTCTACAATGTCTTGAACAACACTTCTTCTCACTACGATCTGGATTACAACCTTCCTTCTCTCTCTCTCCAGACGGTGATGCCTGCCGTCTGCGTTCCGAGTCACACCAGGTTTCTGGCTCGGCCGTTCTATGTATTACCACCAATTTCCCTTCTTTTTTTTCTTCTTCTTTACTTTCTTCGTTACTTGGGGACATTTCTTGGGTCCGCTGAGCGGCTTGTGTTATTATCAACTTGGGAGGACGGGGGCCATTATTGTCGGTCCCACCACCACACGGAATGGAAGCGGGTTCCCCTCGGCGAAGGATGCGACGCATGAGCAGGAGATTCCCGCGGGGCTTTTTGCATGGGAATTAAAGGCGCTGGAATTAATATATGGAATGGAGAACGATACCCCCCGGGCTGCTGCAGATATTGCGCGCCTGCCTGCTTTGCTACTACCTAGCTACTGCTATATGAAGACAATAATAATTTGACCCCGGCAAACGGGCGAATGAGCCCACTTTCTCTCCAAACTATATGCATATACATGAGGTGTACGGGCATGCATGTAATCTGTTTGTGTTACCCATGTACTCTACTCATCCTGCATGCAGCAGCAAGGCGAACGAGCGAGTGAACGAGCAGACAGAACCTGGAGGAACGGACGAACGAACCAACCAACCTGGACGAACGAACGAAACGGAACCGGGAACCAACGAATCTGTAACACAGCACAGCCCTACGAGCCTACCGCAGTTCCCTTACCTGTACCCACCTTACTGATGATGAAACAAAAAAAACCCCATCTCTCCGAACGCCACGTCTCCGTCTCCCGTCCCCTCCTAGGAGGTACGCCTTTCGCCTACCGCTTACGCCTACCCTAGTAGGAAGAGGAGAGGAGAAGGAGGTACGTGCGACTGTGCGACTGTGCGCAAGTACTGTATGACTATGCGGTGCCCTTGGCCTTATACCCGGCTAAAATGTATCAATAACTGCGCTTAAATTTTCTGCTTTTTCACTTTTTTATTCGAAACATAGGTGGGGATTTTTGCGGATTTTGGTTTGTATTGTATTGCGCATTGCGCATTGTCTACCGGATATTCGGGGTGGGTACCGGTATACAATATGTGTGTGTGTAGGTAGAACTTTGGGTAGGTAGGTAGGTGGAACTTTGGGTGCATGAGCATGAGCATGAGCATGCGCATAGGTATGAGCATAAGCATAAGCATGAGTATGAGTATGTTTTACATGTCGTGTCCGTATGTACCTTACCTTACCTTACCTTATCTTGGGTACTGCAATTGCTATAGAATGCTTGGATACGGTACGGGTACGGGTACGGGTACGGTTAGGGAAGGGAAGGTATACGGGATACCTTTTTTAATACCTACATACTTGACATCTGATACCTACCGGATACCTTACAGGTATGTAGGTAGGTGTTGTTGACATGTGCATTAAGCCGTAAAGCGGGCGTAGATACAGGTACTTTGTTTATGCCTCTCCTACCCGAGAACAGAGAATAGAGAAACGAGGCGTAGTACGTGCCTTACTCCTAAGGGGGAAAATGCTCATCATGTTTCAACTTTGACTATAGTCTGTTTTGCTATCTACTACTATATGTACCTCCTACCTGACTAGGTAACTAACTTCCTAAGGAGGGACCCAATTGCACTTACTCAATTGAGGAGGAGGTCTTCGTCGTCGGTCGATCGTTTTCTACGACTCGTTTGTTCAGAACTCCCTTTCCTTTCCTTACCTTTTCTAAAAGTACCTAGAGGTACCTTACCTTTCTACAAAACGAGAAGGAGAAGGAGAAGGAGGAGTATAGAATATCGAAACCGCCTACTTTTTTCAAACCTCAAACATCAAACATCTAAACTTTACCTCCTTACTTCCCTCTACCTACATAAACTCCAACCTTACCTTCCTAAAAGTGATGTATACACTTTTCAACTCTCGTCAGATACCTACCTTACCTTATATATGCTTTCTTACTCTCCCTCTTACTCTCCCTCTTCCTCTTCTCTTTTTCCGCGGAGTTGTCTTCCGTCTTCAGACCTATATCAGGTGCCTACTAACAAAAAAAGGTTTCTACCTGACTTTCGAATTCTTCAAGAGTTGTATAACAGTTTTGCTCCTTACTACTTACTACTTACTACCTACTACTTACTACATTGTACTAAGTACATACCTCAAGGAACATAGTATATATGTATGAATATAGCAATAACGGGATCAAGAAGAAAAAGGCATCTCGAACCTGATCTGATTTTGGAAAATACCTACCTACCTAGAAATTGGTAATTTTTTTCTTTTTCTTTTTTTTTACTCAGGTAGGTAGGTAGGTAGGTAGGTAGGTATAGGGACTAGTATATTAGAATGACAACAGGTCAGTCATATGAGAGAGGAAATCTGCTGCTTCATCTTCTTCTTCGTGTCATCTACTCGGGAACAAAGTACGTCGTATGCGAAAAGATTTCACTGCACTAGAGTCTATAACGATACCGCTCGCTAAAAAAAAGGCAATGCCATGTCCGTGGTTCTTCATCATGTACATGCTCAATTCGTTGCCATCCTTTCAAGACGTACGATCCGAGCCGCCATCATTATCAACATGAAGTTGGGAATTCCCTCCATGACAACAGCATTGACCATCAGACAAGAAAGCGAAAGCGAACACGCCCCGCCGCGCCATACCCATACCATATCCCAGCAGCAACTCAAGCCCTCGCTCAGGGTCTAGCCTCTGCACGCCATTTTAGTGCATTTATCCTTCCCTTCCTAGTGCTGGTCATGAGGCTAACGATGCGACGGCGTCGCAACAGTGATGGAGCTCATCTCACAGAGATAATCTCCGAAGTAGCAGAAAAAGAGAAAAAAACCGGGTGGGTGGATCTTACGTCGCACTCTGCAGTCGTAACGAGGGAGAACAGGGAGTGCATGGATATTTGCGGCTGAAGCCCGGTCATGGGAGAGCCATGCTGGCCACAAGAGTCTTGTGGAAGTTGCTCCTCATGGCGTGCCAAACGTTCAAGTCATGGTGTTCATGTCTTCGACCTCCTCTCCCTCTTCGGATGCGGCAGAATCACCACTTCCACTGTCGTCCGTTTCGCGCTTGGGAGGCACGATCCGAACTCCGGGGCTGAATGTTGGGTATGCTTCCGGTCCTCTCACGTTTGGTCCTCTCCAGTTGTATGCTGGTGGTGAAGGGGGCAGTGAAGGCTCGAACGACGGTCTCTTGCATTCCGTCGAGACAGCTTGTGGTGCGGTTGACTCCACGTGCCCTTTCATCGAGCGATCGAGTGGAGTCGTTGGCGCCGACCCTCTCTAGGACGTCGCCGCGGTCGGCTTCTCATGCTCCTGCTTGTGTCCGAACATACTGTGGCGCTCTCCCTTCTTTCCCTCGTCCTTCTCCTTTTTGGTATCTGCTTTCTTCTCGCGCTTGGCGGTGGCCTCGGCCATGAGCTGCTCGAATGCCATGAATTCGCCCTCTTCGTCGGGGTCTCGCTGAGCCTATGTATCCCGTTAGCATTTCCTCCCCAATGACGTAGAGGTGGTGGTATGAATGCTGTCCTGCATACCTTTGCAAACATTTCGCCGATGATGATGAGTGCATGAGCACGCTCGATGCGCTTCTCCGGCTTCACCTTCTTGTCGTACAAGACCTTGTCACAGACGTCTCGCAGCACACCCGTGATTTCGAACTTGCTGCCTCTCCATGCAGCAGCCAAGATCTTACCAGTCACGCGCTTTTCATATTCCGCACGCCTCTCGTCAGTCCAGTCTTCGCCGCCCTTTTCTTCCGCGCGAGCCATTTCCTCAATCTCCATCTGGGCCGAAATGGCCGAGGAGACGGTCCCCCAGGTATCCTTGACCATGTTGCCCTTATCCTTGAGTCGACTGAGGAAACCACTGACACCGCCAATCAGCGGCTTCTGGCTCTTGATGTAGGTGGATGCCTTGGTGACATAGGTCTGTCCGATGGCGTGAAGGATCTCAATGCCAAAGGACTCCATCTTGAGGTTCTCCACCTCGAGCCTCATCTTTTCGCGAAAAGCTTCTGTCACGTCTTTGCCTTTGTCGGTCTCCGTCCACACACTGATGCGGTCGCTGAGTTTACTGGCCAACGTCTCGATGCGCTCGTCTCTGATCTTCTTGCGCTCGGCCTCAAAGGCAGCCAGTTCTTCGCGCTGCTCTCTCGTCAGGCCACCCTTCTTCTTTTCCTTCTCGCGCAGCCGCTTCTCCTCTTCCGTCATGCCCGCAGCAGTGGCGGCGGCCTCCTCTTCTGTGCGGTCGGTAATGGCAAGTCTCGTGGGCACGCCCTGCGGCCTTGGTGTGGATGAGCCGGATGCGGGCTTCGAATCGCGGATCGGGATGTCCTGCGTAGCACCCGCAGCGGGGGCATGATCTGGTACTGTCTCTGCGTGTGGCCGGGGCGGCATAGGTGGAGGAGCAGCACCAGCAGCAGCAGGTGTCGCATCCTTGGCAGCAGCACCAGCGGCGGCATCTGTAGGAGCTCCGGTGGTCTCAGCAGCCCCTTCGGCCTCTTCCTGTTCGCGCATGGAAATCTCCATGCTCTTGGTCAAATCCTTCATCATGGAGATCTCGCCGATATAGTCCTGGAAGGCTTCACCACCGAAGATCATGGTGAAGAACTCTGCCGGATCTTCGAAGCCTGAGTCCGGCTTCGCGCCCTCCTTGCCCACTTGGTCATATCGTGTTCGCAACGACTTGTCACTGAGGACTTGGTATGCCTCGCCCACTGCCTGGAATTTCTCGTGCGCGGTCGGGTCGTCGGGGTTCTTATCTGTGAGCAGGCAGTCAGCAGGGCAGCGGATATGACGAGGGGAGAGTCGGCGCACCTGGATGCAGCTGAATGGCCTTTTTGCGGTAGGCCTTCTTGATCTCAATCTCGGTCGCGGTGGGCTTGACGCCGAGCGCATCGTAGTATTCGGTGTCGACCACCATGTTGGCGGCGTGCGGGTGTGATGCTGCTGCTGCTGCTAGCGGCGGGGTGTCTGCCGAAGTGGTTGGACAGATGTCGACGAGGGTGTTCGTCCGCAGGAGGCAGAGACGTGAGAGTTGGAGTGTTGGAGTGTTCGGCGCGGTGATTGTGTTGTAGTAGGAGAGTGTGTAGTGCGTACAAGTACTCTCTAGAGTGTCTACCTTCAATTCCATCCAGTTCCTTAGGTAAGATCTCAGCTGTGCGGCATGACGTGTGCGTGTGCGAGTGCGAGGTTTCCCGAGTCGGCAGGCAGGCAGCAACAATTTGGGTGCTCTATTTTTTGCATGTGACGGAGCAAATACAGCCTGTTATACCATTCTATACCTATACAGGACATTCAACTACCTCCTGGACTCCTTCACAGCCACAGTAACGACACGAATGCTGTCACTGGATACCTCTTCCATCGTCATATCATGCTTGGCAGTGTCGGAGCGGTCCGCTGCTCTGCCTCGACTACAAAACCACCGTAGGAGGTAGGAGAGTAGGTTGTTCTCGGGTAGGCTGAGCTATACAGGAAACCGAAGCCAAAACGAGTCTCGGATGCTCGGAGATGTAGCGGTAGAATGGCCATGCCGCCATTGTGGCACAGTTCAGCTTCATGTTCCCTCTGAACCAATGACTACCTACGCTGGCTGGTAAGTACTGACGGGAATGTCCATCGGCGGGTGGAGGTAGGATATTCCGATATTACCATGCGCAGGCTCAAAAAGTTACCTGAGGTCCCGGAGGTGGTAGGTGGTAGAGAACGGAGGTGGAGGTAGAACGGAGAGACGTGGTAATGTGTGGAAGAGGGCCGACCGACACCATCACCCGCTGGACTTCTTCTTCTTCGGCCGGATGATGGAATATGATGCCCTGAGCTGGACCTAAGGTAAGGTAAGCAGCCTTCTTACGTTGACTGCTTCCTCTGCCTGGCCGGCCGGCGAGAGACGACGATGAATCCCTTGCCCTCTCTCGCGCACCGCTTCCACCGCTCCGCCCATTGCCTGTCGAAATCGACTTGTCGTTCGAGAACCTTTCTGTCCCTCCAACCGACGACCTCACGATCCCTCACAACCACCATGACGCGATCGTCCATGGCCCCTTTGCGCAAGAGCCCGTTCATCGATGCCATTGAGAAGCACGATCCCGAGTCGACGGCCGTGATACATTCGCTGAGCGGGCGCTGTTTCAACTATGGAAGCTTGCTGCACGACGTGGCCGTCCGAAAAGAGCAGCTGTTAAAGGACACGAGCAAGGATGACGAGAGCATTGTCGGAGAGCGCATTGCATTCTTGGTGGAGAATAGCTACGACTATACAGTGACACTTCTCGCATGTCTGGCTTCCAACGCCATTGCCGTGCCTCTGGCGCCATCGTTCCCCGCGGCTGAGCTGCGCTACATTCTCAACCATAGCGAGGCTCTGGCTGTCGTGCACTCGGCAAAATACTCGAAGCTGGCTCACGAAGTGCTGAGTGAAGGCGTGGACCATGCGCCTCTGCGTGTGGCTGTGGCGAAGATCAAGCAAGGTGTCCCATCATCCTCGTCACCTGCTCTTTCCAGCTCGTCGCGGCCTGCCACGAATGAAGGCGGCATGATGCTTTACACCTCTGGTACCACCGCGAAGCCCAAGGGCGTCCTCTTGCCCACATCTGTCCTGGCAGCTCAGGCTCAATCACTCATTGAGGCGTGGAAATACACTCCAGATGACCACTTACTCCATGTTCTCCCGCTCCATCACATTCATGGCACTGTAAATGCCCTTCTCACGCCTCTCCTTGCTGGCAGTACGATAGAATTCATGTTTCCGTTCAACGTTGACAATGTCTGGAAACGCTTCGCAGCCCCATTTCTCAATGGCAACAGCGAGCAGAGAAAGCCCATCACCTTCTTCACTGTCGTGCCCACCGTCTGGTCACGCATGCTTCAATCACACCCTGATCTCCCCAATGACCTCCGATCTGCAGCAGACGAAGCAGTCCAACGCAAGCACCTCCGTCTCAACATATCCGGCTCAGCAGCTCTCCCCACCCCAACGAAGAAAGCATGGACATCTCTCTCCTCGGGCAACGTTCTCCTCGAGCGCTATGGCATGACCGAAGTGGGCATGGCCTTGTCTTGCGGCTTGGACGACGCAGACCGTATAGACATGAGTGTAGGTTGGCCTCTTCCCACGGTCCAAGCCCGCCTTGTCGATACCGACACCGGCTCCATCATCGAGGGAGAGGTCAAAGAAGGGGAGAAGGAACGCTCGGGAGAAATCCAGCTCAAGGGACCTACCATCTTCAAAGAGTACTGGCGGAATCCCGAAGCGACTCGGAAGGAATTTACCGAAGACGGCTGGTTCAAGACAGGAGACATTGCGATTCGCAAATTTGTTACCAATGGAGCTGGTCAAGGTCAAAGCGGCACGTGGGCAACAGGGCCCGCATATTTCATTCAAGGTCGCAAATCCGCAGACATTATCAAAACCGGTGGAGAGAAGGTTTCTGCGCTCGAAATCGAGCGTGAGCTTCTCTCTTTACCCGAGGTGCAAGAGTGCGCTGTTGTTGCTCTACCCTCGGAAGCCTGGGGACAAAAAGCTGCTGCTGTGGTCGTTTTGTCAGAAAAGGGCAAATCGGCAGGGCGAAAAAGGAGGAATTCAGAAGAAGCGCAGCCGTGGAGTGCAATGGACATGAGGCGTGCGCTAAAGGATAAGTTGGTTGCGTATAAAATTCCACACGATATGAAGGTCGTGGACGCCATTCCGAGGAATGCCATGGGTAAAGTCAATAAAAAGGAATTGGTGCCTGCTGTCTTTGGCGATTTGGAAAAGATCAGGAGAAGGAGTATCAGCCTCCAGGAAGAGAAGGCTTTGCAGAAGTCTCTGGAGAGTGAAAAGACTCGAGCTTCTCACCAGGCCAATGGAGGTGCTGTAGATGCTCATACCCATGGCAGCTCTTGAGGCAATATGAGAGTGTTGATGATGGGCGAGAAGGTCAGCCCACTTGACTGAATGGCCAGGGAAGGTGAAAAGATCAGCTGAAGCGGTCCGAATTCGTATTGCCCGTTGTCACTACTGCATCTGGACGCACCGGAATGTCAAAAGTGGTCAGTGATGTCGGGAGATCCCGATCGCAGAGTTTCGCTCTGCATAACGTGTCCAACCACCTCTTGGGGCCTCCTCTCCTGTACATTGTCCCATTCCCTACCTCAAGTACGCCTTCCGGGGATGCAGAAACTCAAAAGACCATCCCATGGGGAAATGCCACGCACACTGCATATATCGCAGGGATGTGCAACAGAGAGACTTCGCCACCGTGAGTGACTACCCTAGGTAGAATACCCAATGGTTGCATTGGGTCTCAGCGATGTATGTCTTTGAGCATGCATGTTGAGCAAGTTAATGAGTGAAAAAAAAAGGAAAAACAAAAGAAAAAATTCAACTTATACAATTACCCACTTGTTGTTGTCATGATTCCATGTATCGATCATCGATCCATCGATCCATCGAGTAGTCATGTATTCAAATGGTTCGTTGACACATACAGGCTAATCTAGAATATTCTTGATTACCACGAGGAGGTCACGATTACCATCATACATGTAGGTTTTGACATGAAGCTTTTTCTTTCTCATTCGCGCACGCCTAATCCAACGACACCCCCCTCTTCTCCTCCCCCTCTCCCGTATCAATCAACCAAACCAATCCAGTCCCAATCCAACCCATAACCCCCCCACCCCTCTAATGCACCGGCGCCGGATCGTGCGCCCCCTCCCACTGCATGTCCCCCACCCACCTCCTCAAGCTCTCAAAATTGCGACATTTTTTCCTTCTCGCAAAATCCACATGCAGCGGAAATTCTGCTGCCAGTAACGGTAGCACGTCGGAATCGGACCAACACATGACGAGTTGTCGGAGGGAGTCGACGCAGTGTGCGAGATGGTTGCGGATTTGGGATTCGGGGTTTGGAGAGGAGGATGAGGAGGGGCGATGCCAGAAGGTGTAGGAGTGGTGAGAGCGGTAAAAGGGGTTGTTGTAGTAGAGGGCTTGGCGGAGGAGGTTGATGCAGTGGAGCTGATTGGAGAAGGAGAGGGAGAGGGAGAAGAAAGGGGTTAGTGAGTTAGTTTGGGTTATTGGGATGGGTGCGTGATGAGTGGGGGATTGATTTTTGTTGGCTCCTTATGCGGGGTTTCCGGTCAATATTGAAGCGATGCATCATGTTCGTGGACCTTTTTTTTTTTTTTTTTTTTTCTCTCTCTCTCTCTCTCCCTCTCCTGTTAACACCTTTCCATGTCAAAAAAAAAAGGAAAAACAAAGGAAATTCCAATGGCTTTCGGGAGTGGCGAGCCAGTGTTTCTCCTCGGAAAGATTGTATGCTTCAGCATATTGAACGGGAAGAATGATGAGTTTATCTGTGTGCGCCTCATCAATCAATCAATCAATCAATCCTCATCTGTCCTTTTTTCTTTTTTCCCCCCGACTTTGCTTGAGATAACAGGCAGGTATTTCATAAGGAGGATCCACGAAAAACAAAAAACTTCTTACCATAAACTCCCAATTCCTTCCAAGCATCATCCACGTCGTGTCCCACATCTGCCGTATCAGCTGCATATCGCGTCGGAATCTCGCTCCAAGGAGAGAATTCCCTCATGTGCAGACTGTGGTCGACTTCGGACATCCAAGGAGCTGGATTGGGGAGAAAAAAAGAACAAGAAAAAGGAATTGGTTAGATTGTGATGACAAGAAAAAAGGAGGGGTTTGGGGGCTCGAAGTGCGATTATACATACTGGCAGGTTCAACGTTGCCGACACATTCACCAGTGGCGGTTGGTCGTGGTGGTGGTGGTTGGTGATGGAATAAGAGGTAGAGCACAAAGGCGGTGGAACAGTTTGTTAAGAGGATGAGGAAGAAGAGTACGATGATGGTTCGGTAGGAAGAGTGCTGCTGCTGCCGCTTTTCGTTTGTCCAAGGGGTTCTGAGAGCCGCCGCATCGTCGCAAGAGGAGTCGGTCACGCTGATCACTTCTTGTTCTTCTTCTTCTTCTTCTCCTACTGGTTTGTAGTCGAGCTCGCTACGAAGATTCAGCTTCCACATTGTAAATCAAAATAAAATTGGTTTGTTGTGAATACGCCAGAGGACCTTGTTATGCATACCTAAGGTACCTCAGGTAGGAATCTGGAGACGAGCTCTCATTCTTGCTCAGGAGACCCTGCACAGAATCAGGGGCCTGTCCGTTCGAGCGTGACGTGCTCTTCGGAGACACTTTTTCAAAGTACATGTATGGTTCGACAGGTTTGGTTCACATGCCTGATGATCATGGGCCCTGGAAACAATTGTAGCATAATGATATCTGGCTGAAAACGTGGATTCCCCTCTCCCGCAACTGCACGCACCACGTGTTTGGGCAGTGGCCTAAAATTCTCCGATAACCCGGCACGACCAGCATCACTATGGACCGTGGTGCTCAGTTCTGGGACAGGGGCCGTTGCTTTCTGCACCTCACTCGTTCCATATCAGTCTCATGTACGTGGAGCCGAGAAGAAAAGATCCGCCTCACGAGAGTAGCTAGCTCATCACCAGTAAATCATCAAGACCCCGTCAGAAGGACTACACCACCTCTTTTCCAAAATCTCTCGGATCAGACAGGATGGTATCAGGCGGAGCGGTGGATATTTCCATTCCAGGTCTTCTGATGTACTTGGTGGGATCAGAGAGAATACCTCGAGATTTGAGCCATCGCATCACGGCGTCATAGTTGTGGCATTTATGCTCTCGTCCAAACTGAATCGTCGTCTCGTCGGGGCCGATCCAAATGTTGGGAATGACGCCGAGGTCTGCCGTGCACATTAGACGTTCGCGGATATTGTCGATGCAATGATCTAGATGGTGGCAGTTCGTTCAGCGTCCCATCATCATCATCCTCATGCCCAATGCACTCAGCGAACTCGAGGGAGACTCACTGGAGTGCCAGATCCGAAATTGAGGAGATACCAGCGTATCGTTATGAAACTGACGATAGTAGTCGTAGTTGTAGTACAAGCCCTTTCGCAACTCGTTCTGCATTGTGGAGAAATCAATGAGTACCGACTGATATATCGATGACGGCCGATGATCTGATAGGGGTTGAAAAAGGAAACGGTGGACCTACCAAACAGTGCAAGTCATGAGTCGCCTGGACGATGAGGGGAAATGCTTCCTCCTCCGGGTCCATGAAATGGCCCTTGGGGAAATACACATGTTTCCTGCGATCCAGATTGAAGATTTCGCGTCCCAATGCTTCGGGCAGGTAAAAGCCAAGGTCGGAGACTCCCAGCTCTTTCCACGCGATATCGACTTCTCTACTCGCCGCGGCTGTCCATCGACTTGGCTTTGCGCCGCCAAACTCGCTGAATTGCACGGTTGAAGTTGACCGATCTAGTCCAGTATACACTCGCTCCACTACATTGGTTCGAGTTTGTTAGTGAGATTCAAGGCGTTTTGGACGGGCCTGGAAATAAGCATGGCTTACTTACGTCCTGGTAAGTCCAGTGAGCCTTCTTGAGCAAATACCACCCGAGTGATGCAGAAGTAGTAGGTCGAAAGAATCGAAATGGCATTTGTGATGATGAGAATGGTGATGATACATGGCAACCGCTGCCACTTCGACGATGTGTAGATGAATTCGTGTTCCTCCTCGGCTGGGAGCAATGTGTACGCCCTTCGTGGGCCATTTCCAAAAGCCATACTGAGTGAGAATAGAGCAAATCGCGAGTTGCTTGATGATTTCCACAGGAGAGGTGTCCCGCCAGTTGGATGGCACTGGCAGAGCCACGAGGAATTACAGCTATAACCTTGTTGAGCAGGTTACACGGAACCACAAGGCATAGAACTGTCCCGGGAGTTGCCCACATCCATGCTCTTGCAGCAATCCGTGGGGTTCTTAGTGTGTCGTCGTCGTCGTCGAACACACAGGGACTTGTTATTGCCGTCGGATCGCCGATGACTAGTACTATGCTACTTCCGAGTGGTGAGACTCATGCATCTTGGGTATTGCTACGGTATCCAGCCACTGGCCTGGTCAATAAGCTCCCCGGACATAGACTTCAATCTTCGATGGGAAACACAGTGGCCGTAGGCATCACGCACCGAGACCACTGCACTGGCAGGCATTGATGAGCGCTTTTGAGAAGCAACGAGTGAGCATTGTGGTCTCATGGGACAGTTCAAGCACTTGCGATGCCTCTGAAGATCTGGAAGATGTGCTGGCATCGGCAGAAACGATTGCACCAGCATAGAACTCTGCGTAGGCTCCGACTAGGTCCAGAGCTCGTAGACGCGCTTTAGTAGCTTGCAAAGCAAGAGTTCGAGTATGGGTCTTCCGTGAGAGGCGAATCGACGGTGGATTGGAATGTGCTGCCATGTTGTTAGCAGGCAACAATGCACGTTGCACGTACTGCAGGGCCACTCGAACGTCTCGTTACTTGCGAGATCCTTCTGTCCAGAGCGATGTTACATTAGAAGGGAGGATGGCAGGGCAGGTGGTACGGAGCCCTTGATCAAGCTCAGAAGCCTGGGGACCGCTGATCAAAAGGTTTGCCATGCGTGTGGGCAAAGTATGCGCGCCAAAGCAATATAAAAAGGGCGCCAGATTGCCGTCGTCGACACTCGAGCAGATTCACCACTCACCTCCACTCACCCACGTCCATCCAACACTCACCCACTTCCAGCACTCACCAACATTTCCCCGAAAATCTCCATCTCGTCTGGCGACTCGGCTGTCAAGATGCAGTTTTCTCAGTTCCTGACTATTCTCGGCCTTGTGGTCCTCGCTGCAAGCACTCCGATCAAGCCTCGTAAGCGGTCCATACATTGATTTAGCACTTGTCGTGACTTTGCAGGTACTTCTTACTTACATTTCCTGCAGTTGGCGACGACAAAGTCAAGAGGGGCCCATACTGGACCTTGGGCTTTGACCGTTATGACAATCCCCCACTCGGTACGCATGCATTGGCTTCAAACAAAGAATACCATTCTGCCCTACTAATGCTCAGTGCAGCGGACGAACCAAATTTGGAGTAGGCTGAATTGATGATGCTCCAGGCCGGCTTATACCGGGCAATCAACTTGCCGCGATACGTGCACCAGGTATTCTGCCAGCCAAAGACAACTGGAGGATGTGTGTCGGGACAGCCGAGCACAATGTGGAGGAGGATATGTGTTTGGACAGCCTATGCCTAGGGAATTTACTATGTGTATGTAAGCGGTCTGCAGCCGGGGAAAGAAAAAGCGATTTGCAAATCCATCTCATCGTCCTACCGAGCCCGTGGTCAATAACTACCTTTAAGGAGTGTATCCATACAACACCGCCAAGAGTAACGGTATATGGAAGACGAGGAGGAGGTACCGTACCTCCTAACAGGTACCGCCAAGGCGTAGAAGTTGTGTTGTGTTGTCTGTCGGACATCTTGCCCGCCGCTTCCCCGCGGGCTGAGGTGCCGAGTGCCGATAGCCCGTTCTGATTGGTTGGAGTTCTCCGTTGAGATCTACCTCCTCTGAACTCCAAGTCTGACTCGTGTCGCAGACTTTCTTTCCACAGCTTCCCACCACCACAACATGTACCACCAAGCCATTCGGAGAAGGCTGCTTGCTGCATATACGATGTCCGTCAAGCCGACCCAGATGAACGAAGCCGTGCCTCAGCCCTCACCATTCTCTCAACGTCCACGCGGGCCCGACTCATCATCCTCCCTCCTGTCCCCTTCAATGGTCCAGTCTTGGTGAAGAGCAGGGCGTCGTCGATGGTGGCCCAGAATGGATATATCCCACTTCACTTGCCGAGGCAGTCTTTGCTGTACGCAGCCGAACGGTCCACACTCGTACGACAGACAGAACATAGGAGGTGCACGGTATAACGTAGTTACGCGAGAAGAAAGGAGCCGCGTAGAAGCACGAGAAAGCGAAGCGGAGCGAGGCGAGGCACCACCGGAGAAACGTTCGGCCCGCCCACGCTCCTTTTGCAGCTGCTCGGAGGGATATGTGCAAAGGCAGCAACAACAGTTCCTCCTAGCTCACGTACATCGTCGCAATCTTGCCAAAACGATACGCTCAACCGGAAATGAAATCCATCACGCGATGAGGGAGCCCTGAAAGCGGTGAGGAGCATAAGAACCTGCTGTTCCCCCGTCTCATCTTGTCTTTCCTTTTTCCTCTCCTCCTCACTCACTAAATCATTCTCCTCATACACTTCGTCTCCGTTTTTCAATATCACTCTTCTGAACAACACTGCCACAATTGCACTTCTGTCTCCGCATTACTCCAGACATTCTCCACACAGTGCGTCGCATCCAATTGGACCTGCCGTTGCCCACGCAGTGTTGCTTTCACCGTACCGCCATCAACTAATATTGTGATTCAGCCAAGCAAAATGGCTCCTCATGCAAATGACTCGGAAGCCTACTCTGCAGGCACCCCATTGACGCGAGGTGGCAGCTCTACAGACTTCACTGTCGACGCGACCAACGTACAATATACAGGCCAAGACATCACGAGCAAGTATCGCTATCGCACAACTGAAGTCAAGCGTGTCGACGGCAAGTACGTTGCAAAGCCCAAAGAGACTGTATACGACTTCAAGACGCAACGCAATGTGGGGAAAGTTGGCGTCATGCTCGTTGGGCTCGGTGGTAACAACGGAACCACTGTGACTGCGGGTATCATTGCCAACCGCCGCAACCTGACCTGGGAGACCCGTGAAGGTCCACGCGCCGCAAACTACTATGGCTCGGTTGTCATGTCTTCCACTGTCAAGCTTGGCACCGATGCCGAGACTGGTGCCGACGTGAACATTCCCCTGCAGAGCTTGCTACCCATGGTGCATCCCAACGACCTGGCAATCGGTGGCTGGGACATCAGTGGCATGGACCTCGCTTCTGCTATGGATCGTGCACAGGTCCTCGAGCCCACCCTGAAGCAACTAGTCAAGAAGGAAATGGCCGGCATGAAGCCCCTGCCAAGCATATATTACCCAGACTTCATCGCCGCAAACCAGGGTGATCGGGCAGACAATGTCATTCCCGGCTCCAGAGCCTGCTTGGAACATGTCGAACACATTCGTCAGGATATCCGCGACTTCAAGTCGAGCAACCACTTGGACAGAGTCATTGTCTTGTGGACTGCCAACACGGAGCGTTATGCCGACATCATCCCGGGCGTCAACGACACTGCCAAGAATCTCATGACGTCCATTGAGGCTGGCCACGAAGAGGTCTCTCCATCTACAGTGTTTGCAGTCGCTTGTATTTTGGAGAACGCACCATTCGTCAATGGGTCACCGCAGAATACCTTTGTGCCCGGTTGCATCGAGCTCGCGGAGCAACACAATGCTTTCATTGGCGGCGATGACTTCAAGTCTGGTCAGACCAAGATGAAGTCTGCGCTCGTTGATTTCCTCATCAATGCAGGCATCAAGCTTACATCGATTGCGAGCTACAACCATCTCGGCAACAATGATGGCAAGAACCTGTCGTCGCAGAAGCAATTTCGGTCCAAGGAGATCTCCAAGTCGAACGTGGTCGATGACATGGTTGCTGCTAACAATGTGCTCTACGAAAAGGACGAGCACCCTGACCACACTGTGGTGATCAAGTACATGCCCGCGGTGGGCGATAACAAGCGTGCACTTGACGAGTACTATGCCGAGATCTTCTTGGGTGGGCATCAGACCATCAGTATCTTCAACGTCTGCGAGGACTCTCTGCTGGCGTCGCCCTTGATCATCGACCTGGTCATCATTACAGAGCTGTTTACACGTATTCAATGGCGCCACGATGGGGAGGAGGACTACAAGAGCTTCCACAGTGTGCTGAGTGTGCTGAGTTACATGCTCAAGGCACCACTGACACCGCCCGGCACACCCGTCGTCAATGCTCTTGGTAAGCAACGCAGCGCGTTGATTAATATCTTGAAGGCATGTGTTGGGCTGGAGCCTGAGAACGACATGACGCTGGAGCACAAGATTGGCTGCTGAGCGGGCTGGGCAGCCACTGATCGTTGTTGGTAATGGCAGTATAGATAGATGATATAAAGACTACCTACCTTAGCGTTTCAATGAGAGATGAATGATTGCATAGAAGAATTGAGTGATTTACACTGTTCAATATTTGGTCCGAAACTTTGTAGGATCTCGGACACATGGTGTGTACAATACTTGGCAGTCGTCGACGCTAGCGGAGGGACTTTTTGCTTACCTCCGCTGAAATTCTTCTGTCCGAACAAATAGCTCAACTCCCACCTCTTACTACCACGGCAGGACATAATGGCTCCTGCAGCGAAGCGACAACGACTGTCTGATGGCAGTGCAGCCGCAGTACCCCTTCCTCCCACCACACAGGCAGGCAGTGGTGTTGGCGCAGGTGGTGAGGGCGGTGGACTGAGCATCGAACAGCAGAAGCAGGCCACGCAGAAGCGCTGCTCGCTCTTTGTGCGCTCGCTGCCCGCCTCGACGACCAACGACCAGCTGACTGAGCTCTTCTCCGACGCCTTTCCCGTCAAGCACGCCACTGCTGTCATCGATCCCGAGACCAAGTTGTGCAAAGGATACGGTTTCGTGACATTTGCCGATGCGGAAGACGCTGCGCAGGCCAAGGCGCAATTCAATGGCCACGAGCTCGGCGGCAAGAAGTTACGTATCGAAGTCGCCGAGCCTCGTTCCCGCGACTCAAAGGCAAAAGACGAGGGCAAGGAAAGCGTTGGCCAGCTCAAGCGCAAGGAGGCAGAGGTCGAGCGGCAGCATCAGCCCTCGAAACTGATCGTGCGCAATCTGCCGTGGTCTATCAAAGGTCCCAAGCAGCTTGAAAAGCTGTTTCAAAGCTATGGCAAAATCAAAAAGGCATATGTGCCACAAAAGGGCCCCGGACTCATGGCGGGGTTTGGGTTCGTGATCATGCGTGGGCGCAAGAACGCGGAGAAGGCCATCGAGGGAGTGAATGGCAAGGAGATCAATGGCAGGACGTTGGCTGTTGATTGGGCTGTCGAAAAGGATGTTTTTGAGGAGAATGCAGACGCAGATGAGGGGAACGAAGCCGAGGATGCAGAACATATGGGCGAAGACCTCACGGGGGAAGACGAGGATGATGATATAGAGGCGGAAGGAGAGGAGGGAGAGGAGGAGGAGGATGCATATGAAGAGAATGGGAGCGCCGACGACGCCAGTGAGGACAGTGATACGCTCGAAGGAGACGACGACGATGACGGTGAGGGAGACTGGAATGACCGCCAGCATGAAAACGCCGATGATAAGCCTACCACGCTATTCATCCGCAACTTGCCCTTTACATGCACTGACGAAGACTTGGAGGACCATTTCCGAGAGCACTTTGGCAGCACACGTTATGCAAGAGTGGTCATGGACCACGGTACCGGACGTTCGAAGGGCACTGGGTTTGTCTGCTTCTACGATAAAGCAGACGCGGATGGGTGTCTGCGCGGCGCTCCTCTCAAGCCGGTCACAACGGCTCAAGAGAAGAGCAAGGAGGCCAAGCCCACACAAGCTTCACACTCGATCCTACAGAACGAAATGGCTGATGCCACGGGTCAATACACCATGGACGGCCGTGTCCTGCAGATCTCTCGCGCTGTCGACAAGTCGGATGCGAACAGATTGGCTGAGGAAAGTGCGAGCCAAAGACACAAGCGTGATGGGGACAAGCGCCGGCTCTATCTCTTGGGCGAGGGAACCATCGCCTCCAACTCCAAGGTCTGGGAGCAGCTGGCTCCTTCTGAACAGGCAATGCGTGAAGCCAGTGCAAAGCAACGCAAGCAACTCATCGAGAACAACCCATCACTGCATCTCAGTCTCACCCGACTGTCAGTGCGCAACATCCCCCGCAGTGTGACCAGCAAGGATCTCAAGGAGTTGGCACGGCAGGCCGTCGTCGGCTTTGCTACAGATGTCAAGGAAGGCCGCAGAGCGCGGCTGTCAAAAGAAGAACTGCTACGCGGGGGCGAAGAGATGCAGGCTGCAGAGGCTGCGCGTAAGAAGTCGGGCAAGGGTATTGTGAGACAGGCCAAAGTTGTGTTCGAAAGCGCTGGTGGTAGCAAGGTGAACGAAGAAAGTGGAGCAGGAAGAAGTCGAGGATATGGTTTCATTGAGTACTACACTCACCGAAATGCGCTCATGGGTCTGCGCTGGCTCAATGGACATGTCGTGAAGTACCAGGTGAAGGAGGGCAAGGGCAAGCTGAGCCGAGACGAGATCCAAGATCGAAAGAAGAGGCTGATCGTGGAGTTTGCCATCGAGAACGCACAGGTTGTGATGCGCAGAAACGAGGCAGAGCAGAAAGCGCGGGCGCGCAGTCTGGCTGTCGAGCAGGGCATGGCGGCTGCCAACAAGGATGCGCCGGCCAAAGCTGCTTTCAAGCCTCGATTCAAAGGTGACAGGCCCGGTTTGCGGAAGCGCAAGAGAGATGCCGATGCTGTGCCTCCATCGAACGCGGCTGCGGACACGCCCAAAAGCGTCGAGAAGGAAAAGCTCGCCAAGCGAAATCAGATCATCGGCAGGAAGCGCGCTATGCGTGCGCGTCGCAAGGACGGGAAGCGTTGATATACTGTGTGAATGGAATACATCGATTGTTACACCATTGTTCTTCACGTTCCACCGCAGTGCCCACGGACGCACAGAACAGGCCCTAGATGCAGAGATCGCGCACAGCCTCTAGCATAATACCGGATTGTATTGTGGAGTCTTCACGAAGGAGCCGATCGGGCTTGCGGTGGTGTATGGATTCTGGAGCTGCCCGAATGCTATATCGGCTGTTGAGTGAATGGAACACTCTGGCCAGCATGTCCTCATGTCTTGCGGGACAAGTGACCCTCGAAAACGACCTGGCGTGGGCTCAGTCTGGTGACACCATTGCACGCCACCAGAAGAAACGAGCGATCACAAGTGGGGGTGGGCAGTCATCATTATCACGGGCCCGCGGCATGCCACAGCATACATCGACAAGTCGCTGTCGACGTCCATTGCCCGAGCTTTTCGACCGGGCTCGAGGGTTATAATGCTTGATCTGTGCCACATGCGTATGGGTCCGCAGCTGTCATGGCGGGAGGGACTACAGTACGACTCTCGCAAGCAAAGCCTAAACTAGCTGTACAAGTTCTCCGCTCTGGCCATTCTGCATTGACCAAATTCTGTGGCCACGCCAGTCTGCAGATAAGTGATAGATGGCAGACGCTGGGACTCTTGCGACACCTTTTTTTGCTGGCGGATGGATCGTCGAGTGTGTGTGTGTGCCCGTCCGCTCCTCACTGGGACCTATTCCTGGTCACTGAGCTCGACGATGGTAGGTTGCTGCTTCATGTCATGTAATACAGCTCTTCGCACAGACATCAGTCCAGTCTCTGTTTCTTCCCAGGGTCGCCACTGAGCATGCACTGAACCAGGCATATCCACCGTGATATGGAGCGTATTGCACCATACCATGTCATGGCCCGAGCAGTCTGTTCTGCAAAAGCATTGGACGTGCATGGGGTGTGGGGGGGTTTTCCTGACACAATAGACGTGCATGCATGTTCAACATGTCTAGACATAATAACACGCCAGCAAGGATATGGCAGTGTGAGTCCACGGCGTGGCGATATGCGTCCGTCGATCGAGCGAGTGGAGGCACCGTTGTCACCAGTCTGGACGAGCTACAGCAGTGTAGTGCAGCCTCGAATCCTGAGCTTTGCAAGTGATGTAGTAGCAGCAGTAGCAGTAGTGGTAATGGTAGTGGTGATAGGAGTAGTGGTAGTGGTAGTGGTAGCAGTAGCAGCGGTAGTAGTTACTAGTATAAAGCAGGCCAACACTGTCCCTCCCCAGCTTTGCTCTTCCTCACCACATCTCACAACACTCATACCTCGTCCTCATTCCAAGACAAGATACCGCTTTCAGTTGCGCAACTCGGTGGCTCCTTTGTGAACTTGCACGTTCTTCACGCAAGCCCTTGGCCCCTTTGAGTGAGTGAACCCACAATGCAAAGCGAATTCGTCTTCTTTTCCAAACACACACTGACGAAAGACAATCTTCTCCCCCAGCTCCAGCTGTGTTGAAGACCCCAAGACTAGAAGAACAAAAAAAAAATCGAAAACAGAAAACCCATCAATCATGTGCCAAGTAAGCACCCCCCCCCCCCTTCTCCCCTCACATCTCCTCCTCCACCTCCTCACCCAAACCCACCCAACCCACCTCCAGTACCTAACTAACAAAAACAAAAAAAAAGTACGAAGTCATCCACTTCGAATGCGGCCACTCGGGTCGCCGTCTCATCAAACATTGCCATTTCGCCCGCAACGACGCCAATCATCACTGTTTCAGCGCATGGGTCGTCAAACGCGAATGGAGGAGTTTGCAGGTGTGTCAGGGGTGTGGACAACAGGCCGATGTCAGGAGGAATCAGCAGGCGCAGTTGAGGTTGTGAATTTTCGTTTTTTTTTCTTCTTTTCTTTTTTTGTTTTCTTTTTTTGGGGATAATGGGGATGGGATTCGTGGGATGGGAGATGGGGGATGATGAATTTTTCGGTTTATATAAGGGAAGGAGGGAGAAAACGAGTTGTGGATATATACCCCTTTGAGTGATTTTTTCTTTTTTGCTATTTGGTTTGGTTCTGATGCGAGTTGATGGTTGATTTGGTTGATATTTGGAAAAAGCGTGAATTTAGAGAGGCGCGAAAATAACGAAAAGAAATGTCTCATAACAACAACGATTGATTGTCTTTCTTTCTTTCCTCTCAAACTGCATTCCATATCTCTTCCTCTACCGCCTCCTCTACTCTACTCTCCCGTATTCTCCGCCCCCTCCACTTTCCCCTTGATATTGTACCGCTTACTGAAAAATGTACACCAGTCACTCAACACCTTCTTCTGATCATCCGTCAAATCGTACCAGTCCGGACGACATTGATCTTCCTTGAGAGAACTCTGCGCGAGCGCTCGAGAGGCATCTCGTCCTGCAAAGACTATATTTTTTACGGGTTTCCCCCATACAGGGCATCATGTCAGCAACTGACTGAGACACGCCGAACTATCGTGTGATGATCAAACCGGAGGGGGGGGGGGGGGAAAAAAAAAGGGGAGAAAGAAAAGAAAAAACGAAACCTTATAACTTCCATCA